AGATGTGTATTCCCCATCATTATCAGTTCGAATACACTTCAAGGGTAACCCTGTCATCATTTCAACCATGACATGAAATTTTTGAAAATACTGTTGTACCTGATTTTTATATTTCAACATATACACCCAAGTCTTACGTGAAGCATCATCAATAAAAGTAACAAAATATCTGCTACCACCTAATGACTCAACCTCAATAGGACCACATACGTCAGAATAAATTAATTCCAATCTATTTTCTTTTCTCTGAGAACTTTTACGAAAAAAAACTCTATGATGCTTACCAAACAAACAATAATCACATGAATCGAGAGACATACCTTTGGTCAAGGGAATGAGAGAGTGCCTTGCCAAAACCTGTAACCCCTTTTCACTCATGTGTGCCAGCCTCCTGTGCCACAAGTTTGCTGAAGCATCATTTTCAATGGTATTTACCTGGTTACCGTTTAATTGCATCCATGTCTTATACATTGTGCAGCATAGTTTTCCCCTTGCAACTACCATAGATCCTTTGAGAAGCTTTCACTATCCATTCTTTTATCGGCTTTCATATCCCTCCTTATCAAGGACATTAATAGTAAGCAAGTTCATTCTCATATCTAGAATATGTCTGACATCCCTCAAAGTCAACATGTAGCCTGTACTAGTTTGTACAACAATATCACCAATCCCAACAATCTACGACACACTCTTGTTTCTCATCTTGGTACAACCAAAGTCTCCTGCTTTGTAAGTTGTAAACAACTCTCTCTTAGGAACACAATGATATGCCGCTCCTGTGTCAACTATCCACTCAATGCCAGGATCACTAACATGATTACAATCATCATGTGTACAAATCAAAGTAACTGAATCACTATCTGAATTCACTGCTGCAACATTGCCATCATCTGAACTCTTACCTTTCTCATCTTTTCGCTCTTGCTTTAAGATTCTACAGTTTCGTTTTATATGACCCATCTTACCACAATGAAAACACTTCACTTTACCTCTAGATTTGGATCTATATTTAGACTTACCATGGCTTTTTGAGTCCTGACCTCTGTCGATGTTTCTACCCCTATTCTCTGTGACTAGAGCTTGATTCTCAGGGTTTACATCTTTTCGCCTCGCTTCTTCATTAAGCATACTGTCCTTTACCATCTCCAATGTCACCTTATAATCAGGAGCTGAATTAAGAACAGTCACAACTAAAGTATTTCAGCTGTCTGGCAATGAACCCAAAAGAAATAATACCTTTATTTCATCATCCATCTTAAGCTCCATAGTAGTCATTCGATTAAATATATCTTGAAAATCACTCAAGTGCTCTGTAACAGATCGTCCATCCCTGTACTGTAAAGTTACAATCTTTTCAACAAGCATAACTTTATTCATACCTGTTTTTCTCTCATACAATGCTGCCAATTTTTTTCAAACAATGTGAGCATTTGATTCCTGCGCTACATGATGGAACACGCTGATATCAACCTATTTTTTGATTGTAGCCAACGTTTTTCTACCTAGCTTCATCTAGCTTTCATCCTTCATATCTGCTGGTTTAGCCGAATCTCCCAATACTGGCTCATACAAATCTTTGCAGTATAGATTATCCTCCATCATAGGCTTTCAAATTGAATAATTCGATACTGTCAATTTTATCATGGAACCTGTATCACCTTTCATGATCTCAAACAGAATTTACTTCTATCCTGAGTTGCTTCTGTATCGATGTCTTAAAATAACCCTCGCTCTGATACCACTTGTTGCGCCTGAAGCAATAATCACAACAATACAGAAGCAATAGACAGCAATCAATAATCAAATACGCAGGAAAAATAAAGCACACCAAGATTTACGTAAAAACCCTCTAGTGTAGAGGAAAAAAATCACGGGCCACCAGAAAAATCTTCACTATTAAATAATAGTTATACAAAGTTCTTCTCTAGCTAAAACTAGAGCTAATCAACAACTAGAGAAACAATTGGAGAAATCTCACCAAATAAGTGACTCAACAAATACACCTTGAATTTGTTCCTAGAGAGCTTCAAACCCAATCTTCACCATTCAGAATGTAAAACTCTGAATCATAAACCTCCTGACAAGGTTCCAACTCAACGGACCACGGATTGACTTCCGTTCAACCAACTCTCCCTTCTCCTTTTTTTCTCTCTGCTTTTCCTGACTTTTCATATTTCTCTGCTTGGTTTTCGACACACACCTAAAACAACCCCACCTCTTTTTTTATTAAGTAGCTAGGGCTCTGTGTAAAATAAAAGATCAAGGCCCATTACCTTTACTTGGTCCAAAACCACTTACATGGGACTGGACTTCATTTTCTTAACAATCTTCAACATCAAGTTAGTTTCAAAGATAAACATCAGTGATAACAATATTAGTGGCGAAATCCCTCCTTCGATCTCTCGTTGTACTTCACTTACTTCAATTGATTTCAATCAGAACAGGCTCACTGGTGAAATTCCAAAAGGAATTGACGGACTGAAAGAATTAAACATTCTCAAATTTTCAAGAAACCAGCTCACTGGTGAAATCCCTGCTGAAATACAGTACATGACGAGTCTCACAACTCTTGATCTCTCCTATAATAATTTTGTTCGCAGAATCCCCACTGGTGGCCAATTTCTTGTTTTCAATGACAGCTCCTTTACTGAAACCCCAACCTCTGTCCACCTCGCAACGTTACCTGTCTAGCTTTGATAAACCAAGCTAAAGGTTCAGGTCATGGCCACTCGGCATCTTTCCCTGCTTTAAAGCTCATAATCATAACCATCGCGTCAATCACAGAATTGTTATTGATAATTGTCACGGTTTACAGAGTGAGAAAGAAGATGCTTCAAAAATCACAAGCCTGGAAGCTCACTGTTTTCCAAAGGCTAGATTTCAAAGCTGAGGACGTGCTGGAGTGCTTGAATGAAGAGAATATCATAGCGAGAGGTGGAGCTGGGATTGTCTAGCGCGGTTCCATGCCGAATGGCCTTGATGTGGCAATTAAAAGATTGGTGCGTCGTGGAACTGGAAGAAGCGATAGGTTATCGGCGGAGATTAAAACTCTGGGTCGAATTAGGCACCGGAACATTGTGAGACTGTTGGGTTACGTGTCTAATAAGGACACGAATCTGTTGCTGTATGAGTATATGCCTAACGGGAGCTTAGGGGAAATGTTGCATGGGTCAAACGGTGCAGATTTGCAATGGGAGAGGAGGTATAGCATTGCCGTGGAGGCTGCCAAGGGACTGTGTTATCTTCACCATGATTGCTCGCCTCTGATTATGCATAGGGATGTGAAGTTGAATAACATATTGCTTGATAAAGATTATGAAGCTCATATTGCTGATTTTGGGCTGGCTAAGTTCTTGCAGAATGCTGGTTCATCCGAGTGCATATCCTCCATTGCTGGTTCCTACGGCTACATTGCGCCAGGTTCGTGACCCATTTCCTTATCTTGTTTGCCTGCCAATGTCATGATGATAAATTTCATATTCTTCCATAACTACACATTCAGTTGCGGTAACTACGTGACTTTGAAGTTTGAATTAACATCAGATGTGCATTATGTTATCCGATTTCTTGGTTGAAATTTGGAGATTTGGAAATTGGAATCCGATACCTCATTCTCGATTAATCAAGGATAAAAAGGAGTACAAGAAAATATAGCATCTGTAGTATATATATATATATAACAAAAGATTTTGGGCCAAGCTAATGGGCAGCATTAGGGACTTGGGGCATGAAATATGGGCTAACTAGCAGCCCTTCTTAGATTATAAGCATGCCTTGTATAGTTTTGCCCGTTAGCAATCATCCGCTTGTATAATAGTTCAGGACCTTCTGGAGGCATGATCAGGCATGCATATCGAGTTATTGACATATTGAGGAAATGGTTTTTTTTGTCAATGTTTGGTCATTCGTGTCGTAAAAGCTGCATAATCAAAACTTTTGGCCATGAAAACTCTGATTTCTTAATTAAATTCTCTATGGTTGCTGTGATGTAAAGAACAGAGTACGCTTACACACTGAAGGTTGACGAGAAAAGCGATGTGTACAGTTTTGGTGTCGTGCTGCTGGAGCTGATAGCAGGGAGGAAACCTGTAGGGGAATTTGGAGATGGGGTGGACATTGTGAGGTGGGTTAGGACAACCACATCAGAACTCCCTCAGCCGTCTGATCCTGCTTCAGTGTTGGCAAATTTGGACCCCAGGCTAAGTGAGTACCCACTGACAGGTGTCATCCATATGTTCAAGGTAGCCATAATGTGCGTTGAAGATGAGAGCTCTGCTAGGCCTAGCATGAGAGAAGTTGTTCGCATGCTCACCAATCCTCCATAGACTGTCCCAAGGCCAACCTTCCTTACCTTTTGATGCTTTATCAGCTCATGGTCTTTGCAATTAAAATAAAACGTAGAAAACTGAAATAAGTTTCTAAGCAATGTTTGGGATATTAAAAAAATGTCACACTAATTTTCCATTAAGTCTTGTTAGTAAAATTTTCTTTTTCTCAATGTAAATTTATGTTTTTCCTATTTTTGTATGATATATCGGTGTATTAAAGATACAACGTGGAAGCAATTGACAGAGTTGTATATTCGTTTTAAAACTCTTATTTAAACTTCGAAATTTTATTGGCTTTAAGCATTTCATACACGTGTATAAAATCCATTATAAACTCAAGATTAATCCAATGAATTTATACTGTTATTTTTAAATGATAATATTTAATAAATTTGAACCAAATTATATTATTTAAAATATTTTTCTCTACGTGTTTTTTTAAATATATATAAATTAACTTTAAGCTTGTTGAAAAATTAAGTTAAATGAGATTTATGTTTGATTTAAATTCAACTTCAATTTCAATTTCTTTGAACATCTTTTGTATTATATTTATTTTAATTACTAAAACTAAGTTTTATTCTATATTTCATTGGTTTTACCTTGCTATATAATTTAATAGTAATTTTTTTTTTTATCGAAGATGGGCTCCATGAAAAAGTAAAAAAAAAAAGGTGAAACATAGCCTCTTTCTTAGATATAGAGTTAAAACATTCCGCTCTAAACCCAATCAGAATCCAAACGGCCCAAAAAATCCAATTATTATACTTATGTCTGTTTAAACCCCAAATTCAAAACCACGATTCCGCCTTTTCTGTTTTGAGACGGACAGCGGGAGAGCATGAGAGAGACCGAAGCAATGGAGACGAAGAGTCCATCCACGTTGACCATCCGGCGAAACCCTTATAGGAAGGCTAGGGCTACGCCGTTAACCGTTTCCTCTCGACTTCCCTCCCATTCCACTTCATCCTCTAAATTACCTCAAATTTCTTCTTTTCCAATCCACGACATTCTTTCCGAAGAAATACCCCCAAACCCTCCGCCCACCGTAGCCGCCGCCTCCCCGTCACGGTCGCAAGACATGATCTCCGAAAACCTCAAAGTCTATTTGAGAATTCGTCCTCTCGTGCCTCTTAAAAGTTCGACAAAAATTGTAGGAGATCAAAATCCAAGGTCCAGGCCGAAAAACGTATGGCCTCAGGTCTCATCGAAAAAGAATAGCGTAAAAGAGAAGAAAATTTCAAAGAAGAAAAGTAACGAGAGTTGTATTATGGTTAGCGATGATTTTCACTCGGTTACTTTATCACCTCCTTTGCCTCTACAAGAAACCAAACGGATCAAATCGGAGGTCTACGAAGGGTTCTCTCACGTGTTTTCAACTGAGTCAACTCAGGTATATGTTTTTCCTTTTTAAACATTCTTTTTATTTTGGTGATGCATATGATTTCGGAAACTTTTTGTTTAGACTGAAGTGTACGAGAAGATGGTGAACCCTTTGGTTGAAGATTTCCTCAGGGGTAAAAGCGGTATGTTGGCGGCATTGGGGCCAACCGGCTCCGGCAAGACTCATACAGTTTTTGGTAGTCCGAGGGAGCCTGGCATGGTTCCTTTAGCCCTCCAAAGGATTTTCAAGCCTGATCAAGAGTGGCGATTTTACTTATCGATTTTTGAAATATGTACCGAGCGAGGTAAATCCGAGAGGATATCTGATTTGACTTCAGATGGACCGGATTTGTCTATGCAACAATCAGCAATTAAAGGGCTTCAGGAGGTTGGTTGTTCTTTTCCCTTTTTTTTCTACATATTATGGTGGGAAAATATTTGATATTGTGTTCCCTTCACTCTTGCAAACAGGTTATTGTTAATGATGTTGCGGAGGCAGAGCTGTTAATAGCTCGTGCTCTGCTGAAACGTTCAACGGCTATGACAAATTCCAACAGCCAGTCAAGGTTAATGACTAATTACACTGTCATTTTTACTATATGAGTATTCAACATTATGTAATTTGAATAGATGGGAGTGCAACTTTTACTAATTTGATTATTGGTTGGCATAATTGCAGCCGGTCACAATGCATCATCAACATTCGAAGAGGAACTAACAGGTCTGATGCAGAAACTGATGAGCAATCAAATTCTGCTATTTTATCTATTGTTGACCTTGCTGGAGCTGAAAGAGAAAAACGAACAGGGAATCAGGTATTACTTATATTCTGCTTTAAGATGTGGTTGTTAATTAACTACCTTTCCAGGTAGAAATTTCTTTAAAAAATGAGCTGTGGCCTGTGTGTAATATAGTAACATGAGCACACACTGCCAAGTGCCAACTGTGTGATTGCTGGACAAGTTGCTTGTTTATATAACAGTTGTATCTGTATGTTGTAATGCTATTTAAACCTAGGGTAAGCTTCTAAAATTATGTTGGCCAATGACCTTAGAATGTTTCAGGGAAAGTTTTAACTTAACTAAATGATAACCATGGGAACATTGGGAAAGTTTTGCACTAATTTTGGTTTAGAACAGTTCTTTCAGGTGTGATCTACGCATTTGTACACAGTTCAGAAGTAAAAATTATATCATGACCAGTTGGGATTGATATTTGATATTTAACTATTTTAGGGAGTCAAATTAGTAATACGAAAGGTCAATGCCTCATGTATCCTGGTTGATGTGAGCTTGGCCATTAATGAAAATTTTGTGTAAGCTTTTTGAAATAAATGTCTTATCGCAGGGAGTAAGATTGGCTGAAAGCAATTTTATCAATAACACATCGATGGTTTTTGGTTTATGCCTCAGAGTAAGTGGCTTCAACTTGTTTCCTGGATCTTCAAGGCATTCTCAAGTTTCTTCTTGATCAGTAATTTTCTCAATCACATATCTGCTTGATGTTTAGCGTAGTTTATGTTGTTCATTCACTTATCCTTAGCAAACTTTTAAGTCATTTCTCTCAGCATTTCTGTGACTTTTTTTTTTTTTAATTTTCCTTTTCTTTACCACTGTTTTCAGTCCTTGTTGGAGCACCAAAAGAATCCAAAGAAGGCATTGCAGAAGCACTTCCAAAATTCTTTGGTACTGCTTTCTTTGATGAATTCATATGCTAAAAGTATTTGATATAGTTGTCTTTTCCTTTTCACTCCCAATCTTTTTTCTTTTTTCTTTTTTGTCCCTGTTTAATGGTGATAGTTAGTACTTAGTTTTACTTTATTGTCATGTAGCTGACAAGGTACCTGCGAGATTATTTGGAAGGCAAGAAGAGGATGACATTGGTATGAGGTCTTCATGTTAATTGTTGCTAATTCTTCTTCTAGTACTTCATTTGCTTCTTTGCTTCATTTGTAGTCTTAGATCTTAGTTAAGAAACAGTTTTCAATTTCGTTTTATCTTATTCTATTTTCACCAGCTATTTAACTGTTGTTGGAATTTTTATTCTGTTACCAGATTTTAACCGTAAAATCCGGAGAAGAAGACTATCTGGACACATCGTACTTGCTAAGACAAGCTTCACCATATATGAAAATCAAGTAATTATTTCCCTCCTTCCCTCAATTTCATTCGAAATTTAACCTGTAGACCTTATAAGATGCAGTATTTAAATCTATTTCTTTTAGGTTCACCACCATTGAGGCACAACCCAATTTGCTTTGCAACAAGAGACAATTCCAAACACTTTCTAGAACTGAGCAGCCCAAAAGAATGAAACTTGGCAACCCTGATGCCTCAATGGTATTTTCTTTCCCCTTTAAAAGTGCTGTTTCTTCCTTTCTGCTTGTATTAGTCTTTCTTCCTCCTCCCTTTCTTCTGACTTGTGATCCAGCAGACCATCAGGGTGAATTTTCAACTTCTTAAGGTCCAATGTGTTCTATGATTAAGTATTTACATAGTATATTCCTAACTTTAGTTTGAGAATGTCAGTTGTGTGTATTTTTGCAAAAGCTGTAAATCATATCCTGTTGTGAGGCACTTTTTTTTCTTGAACATTCTAAAGCGTTTTCTATTAACTATTCAATAAGTTTGTAGATGTGAGTGGTTTGAGGTTGTCCATGCTTACTTCACATAATAGGTTGTTCATTGCATTATGTCATGAAAGTGTGATTTTGGATGAAAGTGTTCGTTGCATCATATCATGATTTTGGATCAAAAATCAACTTGCTGTTCTTTAAACTGAAAGTAAACTGTTATTAGCATGCCTTTATCATTTTTCATATTTAAGTTTGTTTTCAGATTGAAGGAAAGATTGTTGGAGATGAAAACCAGCTTCCTAATGAAGGTTGTTAATATGTCCAATTAATTTCTATGGTTCTACCAGTTTATTCTTTTATTTCCATTGTTTTGCTTCTTTATCTACTTTCTCGAGCCTCCTTTTAGAATTTTAACATGCTTTCTTATTACATTACAGGGAACCTGACACACTGCAGTGCAGACTTAAAAAATAGTAGACCTCAAAACATGAATTCTGATGACTTGATGAAGAGGGAGAGAACTCATCAGATCACGCAAAGTTTTGCCAAAGCTTTATGGAGTGTTTTGAAGCAACATAATGAAAAACTGAAGGTGATAGTTATGTGTGGCTTGATGAGTTAACCTTCCGCTAAATTTTATGAAGCTTATTGTGGGTTTTAATATGATTTCAATGATAACTTAATTATAGACCCTTATCATAACCAGGTGGCAGAGAGTGAAAATCAGATTCTAAGAGAAAATCTTAGAAATGAGAAGAAAAGATCTAGTGAGATGCAGAAAGAGCTGAAGAATTTGAGATCCTGCTGTACTTGCTCCAAGGGCAATTCAGTGGCATCAATTGTCGTAAAAGTAGCTGAGAATTTTGAGTCCATGCTGCATTTGGGAGGACAGACATCTTGTGGCATTGATGAGGTATGTATATAAGTAGGTACTTATCCAAATTGCTTCACTATATTTTATAGAACTGTTTTTGTACTTGCAATAACTTATAGTAGCTGCATAATAATGCTCAAAGAGAATAACTCTATTTGAATTTTTATCTAATGTTTAGACAAAATTGGATTTCGATTCTTCCTATCACATCAAATCTGAATGCAGTAGCAGTCCCAGAATATTAGACTCAACTCCAGGAGAGGATCAAGTACTTTCTCTTGTACTTAACTAATTGTTTGTTCATTTAATATCATTCTGGTTACTTCTGAGTCTACTTCTGCTTGTAATCTACGAAAAGAGTTTGATTAGATTATTTACTTACAATATCTACTCGATTTTGCTCCAAGGAGTTAATTTACTTGTACAAGCCTTTTTCAATATTCAGACTAATGTGAAAGTTTATTCTCCCGACTGCAAGTGCTCACCAGAAAAAGGTAAACATTTTCCAAGACAGCAACAGGACATATGTTCTCAGGTATATGGATCACTAGCCATTTCTTTAGATAATCCAACTTTGATGTTATTGTATTTACAATCCTTCCATTGCAAAAGTTGTCTTAGTTAAGGTCAACTTTCTCTTTTACAAATGAATGTTGCAGATAGTCTGGTTCTTGCTTCTTGTTAAAATGATAATACCTTGTCACATGGGGATTAAGGTGTATAATCAGAGTGGCTCTTTTCATATCTTGTCATTACATATCTGCAGGAAAAAGTTCTAACTATGCTTTTGTGCTTTATCATGTCTAACCAATTTTTGGTTGCAAATAAAGGTAATAAGTCACAATACTTCTTCAAACTTGAGCGGGCTTGAATGTTTTGATGATAAGCAAGAGCCTGAGGCCATGGTAGGCTGACACTCAAACATTTTTTCTGGAATCTTTTTTGGGAGAAATTGCCTTTGATGGAAAGAAAATTTTCCCTTTCATTTCTCTTATCTTTGATAGGACGGATTTGATTTCCTCGATGGTCAGGTAAGAGGTTCTGAAGAGGTTGCTAGTTCTCAAAGCATTTGTTTTTCAAATGATAACTGTCAGAGTTGTCAGGTATGGTTATCAGAAGTTCTTTGGTCAGGATTGTCAGATTATATACATGCCATGCAAATTCTTAATGGCTTTGACATAAATATCATAATATGTCTAAATTAGATACTTGAAAGCTTTGCTGGGGCTGGAAATATTCAAGATAATTCAAGTGAGTCAAATTATGCAGTTACTGAGCATCTTGATCCTAATTCAGATGTACCAGGTTTGGTTTAGAAACTCAACTTTTATGTTATGGACAACAATTGCGAAACATTTCACATCTTAGAGAGCCTTGTTACCATTTCTCCCTTGGATGCAAAATGAAAACTAGATAAGGCCCTATCGTACATGTGATGAATTGTAGTTGATGTTTTATTTCCTTGCCCTTCGGTCTACTTTTTCACCATGATTCTATATGGCTGATAAATTTAAGTCTTTCAGGTTTTGCAGTCAGCAATTTGGGCAATGACAGCGGTACATCCAAGCTGCCAGGTCAACAGCTTGGTGAAAACGATGAGGTTAGTGTCTGCTCCATGTTCTGCATATGGTCATTATATACATATATATTTAGAATATTTCCTGCTCTCTTTTAGGACTCATTGGATCCGGTGGTATCAACTAAGGATGTTGAACATTCTCAACAGCAAGATGCTGTTGATGTTCCTGAGAGTGAAATAAGACCTGATACCTCCTGCAATTCTTTAAAGAAAGAAAAACCAAAAAGGTAAGTTGGGTGTACTTCAGATCATGCTAATTGCATGGCTTCTCACTGGCGCTAGTACATGCCTTGCTTTTACCATACATCATTATTTGCTCATGAATGTTTTTCGAATTCCCCTATGACCCTCGCTATATATTGCACAAACAGGAGACTTTTACCTGCATCATCCATTCTAGTGAGAGAAATCAGCACTTTTGATGCTGATGAGTTAGACAAACCAAGGGTTAGTTGACAATTTTCTATCTCCTTCCATTACTTCTCATGTGCTCCTGATTTAGGTTTTCATCGTGATCTGAAGTGTTTGACACCAAAGTATCTTTCACTTCACAAGAATTATGATGCATAAAACTTTACTGTTGCTTCATTATTCAAAATTACAGCCACTTGGGCTTGAACTTTGATCAAACTCATGCTATTCATTCTAACATAGAAGCATGTCTCCTCAAAATCTTTTTGCAGGGGAATGGAGGTGTAAAGAACTTGGATGCTCCTGAAAGGCAAAGAACTCAGGGCAGCATCTCTCTACTACGCTTACTTAAGAGCAATCTTCATTCTTTAGTATAGCACCTTTCATTGTTTTATGTAAAGCTTGCTTTTCTTTTTTGTTTGTCCTCTATAACTATATATAATTTGGGCATTAGTTATTATTGCTTAATGGTCTGCACCCACAAAATTCAATGGTCTGGGATAGATACCCAAAAAATATAGTTTAGATTTTCATTCCAAAATAATGGTGGCTCTTCAAGAAGTTTACCTCACTCAATATGCTATTCGGTGGAGCTGTAAATCTAGTTAGGCGTACTTTCAAAGGGCGGCTCCAAAGTCCAAAGGGAAAGCAAGAGGAGCTTTGCTCTGATTAATAGGTTTGTGGACTCACTTGGACTGAGTTTTGGGCCATTTACAATGGCCTCAATTTTTCGAACCAGTTGACCCAATTGACCAACCTCTTCCCCCCCCCCCCCCCACTTTTTTTTTTGTAAGTTTTCACTATGAATGAGATTGGAAATTTCAAATCTGATGATTAATAGGTTCCTGAAAATTACGCCTCCCATGTTGGTCCACTGTTGAAACCAAGGTGGTTCATGTCTCCATGAACCACGAGGCTGCTGATGTTCCTTTTCCATTATATATTTAATTTAGCTAATACTATTTTGTCAAGCTGTCATCATTCTAGTTTCCTTTTAGAAGTTTTGATGAGAACTTTTGTTTTTAGATTCTAAGCACCCTATAATGGTCAAGACTTAAAACTAACATATGAGTGTGATGTATGATCGCACCTAATGTCTCCATCCACAGTTCTACACTGATTACCTCAAATCTTTTTTCTCTTATCTTTTTCCCTCTTTCATCACCCCACCTTTTTAAGCAATCTTGTCAACCCCAATATTATGCCTTTTTCACTTTACCATTTTCCGGCTTCACTGTATCGAGTATTGACCCACTATGCACCAATATCTTAAAGAAAATAGTGTTAAAAAAGGAAAGAAGAATATTGGTTTTGGCAACTTTTTTCCTTAATATTGGATGTAATTGAACGCAACCACGCCTCAATATCGTAAGAAAAATCTATCCATTTAGTGCGTTATTCATTATCAGCAATATTTTTGGACAAAAATTGAAAAAACGAAAAAATAAAATCAGTGATGAAGAGAGATTGGACCCTGAAAGATGGACTTTCGATTTAGTGGGCTTCAAGAAAACTTTGGGTTTCGGTGCAATCCAGTTTCTGCTTTCTACTCCACATCGAATCTACCTTCGACGCGAAAGGATGGAATTCCCTCCCCAGATGAGCAAAATAATCACACGTGTAAACGTCACGTGACTCAGAAAAAATTTGGGGACCTCAGTTTTGAGTGTGACAAGCAGCAAACATAACAAACGATAAGCTGTTTTTCAAGGTGGGGCTTAGACCAAAGCGACCCTCTTCCCCTCTCTCACCCCTATACGCATCATAAAAGCCCCCCACATTTTTTAAAGCGATAGCCTAATTAGCTGTTTTTTCGGGTGCAACTCTTATCTTTTTTTTTTAAATTAATATTAAAAAAATGCATATCCGTTTTGACCAATCGACCCGACCCGACTTTTGCACCATCTGGCACGCACTGCACATGCCATCACCCAAACTGCGAAACTAAAAATAAAAACCGACCGGGAATTCGACAAAGTAAAATCAAAATTAAAACAAAAAAAAAAAAAACCCCAGAAAGACATTTAAAACAGAAAAAATTACGAGGAAGAAACGTCGCTCTCTCTCTCTCTCTCTCTCTCTCTCCATCTTAACCTGGTTCGAAAAAGGCGTCACAGAGGACAAAGCGAGGGTTTTGTGAAGGGACGGAAAAACAAAAAAAAAAAATTTAACCCCTGAGAAAGAAAAACACTATCTCCAAGGAGAGGGAAAGCTCAAAGCCAAAGGGTATAAAACAGAAGAGAGAATTTTTTAGAGAGAGAAACAAGTGTGGTGTCGTTTCTCTATTGGAGCTGAGCTTCAGAGCTAGGGTTTCAACTTCCCCCTTTTTTTGAAGCTTTTTTTTTATTATGAAGGTAAACTACGTGTCACCCTTGTAATTATTCCGATTTCTTGCATTTTTTAAAATTCTTTTTGGGTTATTATCTTTTTTATTTGCATATTGAGGATTAGCGTTATTAAAAATCAGCTATATCTCTGCATTAATTAAGATTATTAAATCCGATATCTTTTAAATTCAGAGCAATCCTCAAGATATCGAGCAATAAAGCTAGGGTTTTGTCGTGCTATTTCTTCTGGGTTTTGATTTTTAGGGTTAGATCTTCACTTTATGGTGATTGCTCTTTCTTTTCCTGATATAGAAGAAATTAGAGTAACTATTTCATTGTTTTTCAGGTTTTGGGTTTATTTGGCCTCTAACTTATGAGTAGGTTTTTTTTGTCTGTTATTTTGTTTTTGGCTTAATTCTATTTTAGGACTGAAATTCAATATATTTGTAAATCAAAGAATTTTCTGGTAATTCTGATACTTTTAAAAGCTTGGGATTTTAGTAAGTTATTTTATTTCAGGTGTTGAGGAGTGCCATCATTTTTGTTTGTTGAATCTGTTTTGCATGATCAACTTGCTTGGAATGTATATTTCAGTTTTTCTAGCTTATTTTCTGTCCTTTCATTTAGATAATGATAATCAATTTTTTGAAGTAAAGGAATTTATGGTTCTCTTTGGGAGAGCATTTTTCTAGAGATGCTGAGAATTTATTGAACTCTGTAAAATTGCAGTTATATCCTCTGTAGATCACTCTATTCACCCTCTTTTCCTTTAGGGGAGGAGAGTTTAATCATTGATGGTTCTTTGTTGTACGTTTGAATATACAATTTGCTTTCAGTTACATCATAGAAGGTAGCCTTTCCCATCCCATAAAATCTGCATTCCTTCTAGTTGAAATTCTCAAGTTTTAGCATTCTCTAGATTTTTTCACTAGTATAACAAAATACCCTCTCTTTGACCCATCGGTCCACAACCTCCTATAAACTCCAAACATGGCATGGCAAGTGGTGTCCATATCATGCCTATTTGCTACCTATATGGCATGCTTTAAAATTTACATTGCAAAAACTTGTCCTCATTGTAATGAAATGCAAACAAAAACAGAGTATATTTTCTACTGTTTTGTTATCTTTTAGGAGCTTTTATTACCTCTTGTAGATTGCTCATTTAAATGCACGAAAGGTCATGGCTGTAATATTAGATAATTGCATGTTTTATATGTGATACTCAAATCAATCGATAAGTTTTTCCATCTATAGTTAGGATTTGTATTCAAAATACAGAATCAAACAACTGAGGCTGCTGATTAATGAATATCTACAGAGGACAACTGCCTTTAATGTTATGCTGCTTTTTTTTTTTGGTTTGATGAGCTTCATGCTGCCGTTTTAATTAATTTTTTGTGCTTGTATGGAAGAATGCATGGATTATTCTGTAACTAAAATATTCTTTTCAAGAAATGTAGTGTTGTTTCCTTCTTCAAATCCGCCTTATACGTGGCTATGCTACTCAGTTTGATGCTGGATCCTGTAGTGATTTTCAATACCACTAATTTGTTAAAAAAATGTAATGTTTGAGCACATATTTGGTGTCATAATTGATAAAGATCTTAATATTAGAAATCTGGAGCTGCAGAATTAACCATTTATGTCATGCCATTTTACAGGTTTCTATTCAGATATCATCTTGAAGCTTCACTCTTGTTCTAGATGGAACAGAAATTGTCAGTATGTTACAAAGTCTTCTGTTTTTGGTGGTTTTGCATCTGATGCACCATGACGCTTGAGGATTTTTTTACCCTGACTGAGATGAAAGATGGGCTTACAGCCCCTTCACGAGTTGAGGAACTACTAACAGTAATGAAGAAGGAGAAAGATTCTGTTGTGAAGAATGTCGGTGATGCAACCAGGCAGTGGACTGCTGTAGCAAGCACAATTGCTGCCACCGAGAATAAAGATTGTCTCGATCTTTTTATTCAACTAGATGGACTCTGGTTTCTTGACAGATGGCTCAAAGATGCTCAAGAATTGGGTAATGACTCAAGTGACAGTTTTGTGGAAGAATCAATTTCTGCACTCCTACGAGCACTTGAAAAGTTGCATAGAAATAATGAGAGGTCTATTTCTTCAGAGATCTGGATTACGGTCAAGAATCTTCTTGGCCACAATAGCTCTCGAGTTCAGGACAGAGCTAGGTTACTCTTTGATAACTGGAAACGAGTTAAAGTTACAGATGATGTTCATGATGTTGTTGATAGTGGTGGACATGACTATTGGACTTCGGACGGTGCAACTGTTACTGGAGAAGGTAGTGAGCCAGAATGTTTTGCCAAAGATGGTCCTGTTTCAAAAGGAAGTGCCCATGAAGAAAATGATGGAGCAGATGCAGCAAAAAATGAAAAACTTCCTCCAATCATAGATGCTGTTCAACCAGAAAGTGCTAAAGATTTACACATTGAAACTGCTAATGATAAGCTCGAGTCCCACATAAATTCAGATCATTCACAAATGGAAAACAGATCTCCAAATCATATGGCCCCCTCTTTTGTGTCAAATCCTGTACAAGAAAACTCTTCCATGAAGGAAGAGCTCCCAGAAACAACAGTGGAAGAAACTGCCTCCCTTGAGGCCTGCAGTTTACCAGATCCAAAGCAAGAAAATGTTGAAGTTTCAGATGCTCAGAAGTTGAATGGGCTATCAAGTGATGAAAAGCAGTTGGATGCAACAGTTTTTAACTCATGTACTATGGAACATGTACTGGTTTCTTCTGGTGCTGGTGTTGGAAGTGCTCAGGAGGCTACAGAAGAACCTAATTCGCAAAATGAGTCTGAAGCCAACAAGAGTGATGATAGGACACCTATATCTGAGCCAAAGAAGGCAATGGGTGATATGGGGGCTATGAATCATTCGGGCAATGGTTCACAGCTATTCAAGATTGCAGGTCAAGACACTGAGTCTCATTCAGGCTTGTCACGGAGTTCCTCTGACAATGGATTCATCTATAGAAAGCCTGGGGATCTGAAGACTGCCTTTTCTGGGATGGGGGACACTGGAACAGCGGAAAAAGATAAGGAGAATTGTGGAATTGAGGATTTGAGGGGTGGTTCCAGGTTTACCCATAGTCCTGATGTGATTGATACGAGAATGTCTGATATTGAGCTTGAGTATGGCATAGTTGATGCTCTAGAAGTTGCCCGAAAAGTTGCTCAAGAAGTGGAGCGAGAAGTGGTAGATGACAGAGAGCCTTCCTTTAGCTCTTCAGAGAAGATTTCTGAAGGTGGAATTCGGCAACCCAGTACCGAAGGATCAATGAATGAAAAGCAAGACCTACCTACTGAAATCTTACCTAAGGAGGTCTCAGTTGGACCCAATCAGTCTGCTGGAGCATACACAGAGGGGGACCAGCACATAATTAATTCACATAATGCTGACAATGAACCAGAAAATAGATTGCATGACATGGAGTCCTCTCAGGTGACTGTGGCTCAAGAACCTAAAAATAACACCGAGAAAAGCCTATGTAATTTTGATCTGAACCAAGAAGTCTGTTCTGATGATATGGAACGTGCAGTGATCTCCACCCCCATTTCAGTGGTTTCTGCTTCAAGGGCGGCAGCAGCTCCTGGCTTACCTGCAGCTCCTCTGCAGTTTGAGGGGGCTCTTGGATGGAAAGGATCTGCTGCCACAAGTGCTTTTCGTCCAGCATTGCCTTGCCGAAACTCTGATGGTGATAAGACTCTATTCATTGCAGGAACAAGCGGTAGCTCAAAACAAAGGCTTGGTTGCCTTGATTTCGATCTTAATGTTGCCGAGGCTGGTGATGAAAAAGTTGCTGAACTAATGTCAGTGAAACAGGTTACAGCCTCATCTGGCCTCCATTCTGCAGAATCTTCAATTGAAGTGAGTCCTAGAAAATCCGAGAAACTTGAGCTGGATTTAAATCGTATCAGTGATGATGGTGATACTCCAGCATTAGATTCAAGAGTAGAAGGACGACTCTTTTACAACAAGAATGGGCATCGTAGCCCATCACCCGCTTCATCATCATCATCAGTGCAGCCTTCTCTGAGGAACATTGATTTGAACGACAGACCTTATAGTCATAATGATGCTTCAGAACAAGGGCCTTATCATGGTAGATATTCCCGAAATGTAAATGCATATGGAGGGCCTAAACCAAATGATCCTTTTATTTCTATAATGGGTACTAGAGTGGAAGTCAATAGGAAGGATTTTGCTTCTCAGGTTGCATCCTTAGCAAATGGCAAGGGTCTTGAGCCTGCAACCGATGGAAGAAGCATCACAAGAACTGGAGGGTTTATGGGGTTGGGTCCCACTTTGTCGTATACACATTCTCCTGCTTTTAGCTATAATGGACTAACTATGGCGCCGACGATGTCCTTTTCTTCTACCATTTATGGGGCTAGTGGCTCAATACCCTATATGGTCGATTCAAGAGCACCTGTTGTGCCTCAAATTTTGGGCTCGACATCAGCTGTTCCTCCACCTTACTCTCAACCACAGTTCATTATGAGCATGAGCAATGCACCTGTTAGTTTAAATGGTTCAGGCCCCTCACGGCCTAATTTCGATCTGAATTCTGGATTAGCAATTGAGGGAGGAAATAGAGATTCCATGGGTTTAAGGCAGCTTTTCTTGCCTGGTCCAGGCAGGTCAGTAGAAGAGCAATTGAGGGCAAACTCACAACCCTCCTCTAGTTCTGGGATTGGAGGGAAGAGGAAGGAAGCAGACGGTGGATGGGAGCCATACCCATTTAACTACAGACAGCAGCAATTTCCACGGAGGTAGTGAGTTCATGTTTATGTTGCTCCTTCCTCTTTTTGGGATCAGTTCATAAGTTCAAGCTAATTGATGCTTGCATTGCCAATGATACCTGGAAAATCAAGAGCCCATTGGCTTTCGTGGGAGGGGAGTTGAACTGAATAAAACAGGGAAATTACGAATGTAATATGATTCATGAGATTGATTGCCGAAGGGGGGAAAATTAGGTTTCAATTGTTTAAGTTTTGGCTTATTTTCTTGTTTTTCTTTTCTGTGTTCCATAGAAGGCCATTGCAACCATAGAAGGCTTGGTACATGTAGTTGTAACTTAATTTCCATATATGTCAACAAAAGTTAAAAAAACGGAGCTCCTCTGCCATTTTTCTTTGCTTTTTGGTAAGAACAATTTTGGTTAAACATGACTGATTTTCAGTTATCGACAGCTAGATATTGGTGTATTCCTTCACATTGTCACCTTTCAGTTTGGCAATTGTTCTTTTCTCTGTATCTAATTGCATTTATTTATCCTGATGCAGTGAAAAATGAATACTGCAAAAACATGAAACAAAGTAACAAATAACCAAGGTTTAATAGAAACCGCAGGACAAGAGGCAAAAGAAAAGAATACAGAATAATGAACTAAATCTACATAACCTAAGTATGCCAATGGTCATTGGCAACATTTTCAGAATATTTTTGCTTTATTTTTGCTTTTCTTCTTTGTTCGTTGGTTAACAACAGTATCAACATATTTGCTTTACGTTTACATTTCTTCTTTGATTGTCCACTTACCTTGCATTTTTCATTCTAAGTTACGAGATGTTTGATTATATTGCTTTAACCAGGGCTTGCTCTTACAATGTCGTGGCCTTGTCTTTTTCCCTTTTCCTTAATGTAGTAGCACAACTAATTTCAGACTAACAAATCTTGGGCTATCGCAAATTGCAAAACATGCATCTCCAAGGAAACTTATCAAGTGAAGGCTGACGACTTCAATAACAATTTGAACAAAATTGGCTTCCATTGGAGATGTATTCGGGCATTTGGTTAACAAATGCATTTTCGAAATAAAAAATGAATAGCTTGCAATATTTGAACACTAATGACTACTTATATAATGGCAGTATACAACACACACACTCATTCTCCCTTCCTACTGCGATCACCTCTTGCAGTAGGTATCTCTCCCTCCCAAAAGGAAGTGTCTCCGGACTCGACCATATGACCCATCGGCAACTCCCACCAACATAAATAGCTGCAAATTTGGTTTATCCAATACGTACTTGAGCTACCTGCGCTTGTAACTGAAAAAGAAATAAAACATTACTGAGAAACAATATGCTAGCATTTTGTAATGTAGAATTAACACCACAATAAACAAGTAAAACTGCAACAAAACTACTAAATGCAAAGCAAAGATTTACAATAATATTGAGAAAGGACCAATGATTATATCAAGCAAACATTTTCCTTACAGGTGTTCAGAAATAGCAGGTTCATAATCTACTTAGAAAACTTGCTAGTGCAAAGAGTGAAAGGAAACTAAGATGCTGATGCTAATGCCGTTTGTAAAATCAAGTTTGCCATAACACAGTGCGTTAGAATTTGTGCTAAAAAATGTATGCTACTTTTGCAGAATGCATATATGTAAACGATGCCAAAACCAGATTCAATAAATGACTAATCTAATGGTTTAATACAACAATAAAGTTCCCGCACTTGATTTGAACCAAGAACACAGTTAATATAAATCTTTGAAAAAAACCAGTCAGAAAAAATTATTAGAGAAATATATCATGTTTGATACCGTGATTTGCTCTTAAATGAACTCTTGGTCTTTTTCCTTCCTGCACCACTAGTTCTCTTGCGCCTGCTCTCACTCATGTCATTTTGGAATAGCTCCCACATCTCTTCTGTCCTTGATTGAGTTTTTTGGTTACCATGCTTTGACTTTTTGTTGGATTTCTTCACAATTTTGCCAGAATCTAATGCCTTCTTCACAGCTTTAACTGCTTTTGCTCGCCGGTAAGCCATGTCAACCAAAGATATCCCTTCCTTTTCTTTCTTATTTTTCCCCCTACCCTGCAATTCTCATGTATGAGTATCACATGCTACCATAAAGTAAAGAAAAGAAAGAAAGAAACCTAGATGAAGTGCATATTTAGAGGTATAAGCTTTACACAGCCTAAAAGGATTAGATTTCCAAAAGAGCAAGAGATGCATACTTCTGAGTCATTAATTTCACTTTGATCCTCCAACATTTCTCTGGCTGCTTCCAGTTTCCGACGTTTCTTCCGAGGTAAATTTTTCTGTTCAATAGACATTAGCAATGTGCACGATGCAAGAGTCATACAAGCAAGATGTGAAATGAGAAAGATGTATGACCTCACGCTCTCGCTTCCTCTTTTCCTTTATCTTAAGGTCCTCAGCTTGTTGGGCACTGATAACAGCATTTGTAGAACCTTTTTCGTTTTCTATAGATGCCTGTCAAATGAGATAATGCCATGTTATTACTAAACTTGTCACATCACAGTAGCTAACCACGAAATTTGTTAAATAAAAATTATGTCATGGACCAGTGACAGCAATACATGAAACACAAAACTCAGATGCAAGTATTGTTTACCTTTGCTGCGTTTGCTACAAGCTTTTTCTCCTTTTCTGTCATAAACCAGGTTCTTTTTGGTCGTGCATAAATTTCGTCCTTATGTGCAATCATATTTTCAGCCTTGCATCACAGAAGCAAGAAAGATTATATATACTAAACCATGAAGTCCCAAAATGACAAAACAATTCACTAGGCTCTGAAAATAATTACTACCAGCCAGCCATTGAAAAAACTAAATAAACTGACATAACAATGTGGAATTAGGAAAAAATGTAGAGCTATATTTTCTCAGATATCTAAGAATAAATAGCATGAATGAGAGATAAAGTACCTTTGTTGCTTCCATTTCAGCTTTTCTTAGGGCTCGCTCCGCCCTGCAGAAATCAGAATCTATAATAATGGTACAGAAAACAATAGAAATAACTTTGAAAATGAAACAAAACCCAACCTTTCCTCTTCAATAACTTCAGCCACTTTGTCTTCCATCTCCTCAATTTTCTGAGACCACTTAGCAATAGACTGCTCTGCTACAATCCTACTCCTCAACTTTGAACCCACCCTCTTTGCCTATCATCAGATTTAAAACCCCCAGTATAAAGTTATGAGCAAGAGAAATTTCGAAGTACTGATAGGAAATGTTCAGCAACTTATTAGTTAGTCCAATAGGGGAAAATGTTTTAGATTGTTGATGCAATTAATTTTTAATAAAGTATTGGAGTGAGAACAAAATATTTTGACCTTAAAGCATTTTCTCAATTTGAAGTTTCATAAGTTATCATTTTATTCAGGTTGTCATGATTCTTTACCACCATAAAAACCTGTAGTAAAATGTATAATCACTTCTCATACCAAAAATTTCATGAAGCAGAAACTAATACCAAATGCCTAGGATGACAAAAGAAGGCAGCCAACAAAAGAAAAAACATGCTGATTAGAGACCAAAAAGACCATGACTCACAATAGCTTTTAATAGAGATCGGTCATTGTCAGTCACAAATGTAACAGCATATCCTTCCCTACCAGCTCTTGCAGTTCGACCCACTCGGTGAACATAGCTGCATAAAGAATAAACATTGGAGCCATCCAATTGCAAATTGAGCTAAGTGCATATCAAAGACAGGAAATTCCAAACAATTCATTGATTACAGAAAGAAGATGCACACTGGTCATTATGCTTTTCAGAGTATGGAATCTACCTTGTAATATCTCGAGGACAAGCATAATTAATAACTGTCTGAACACCAATTATATCAAGTCCCTATGAATTACAAACATTCAGAAGAAAGTGTCAAAAAAGAATACAGCTGACAGTTCTGAAAATATTGGACATATGAAGATATATGCATCTAAATATGGAGGACAGATACATCAATCATCTAATAGATATTATGTAGAGTTGGCTCTTTACAATGGCCAAGATCTATCTAGCAAAGGCACATCGAAGTTTACAAAATTTTGAGGACATAAGGATGGGTTTTAAAGTAGCTACTTACACGAGCAGCCACATCCGTGGCAATTAAAAAATCAACTTCCTGCTTCCTAAAACGTTCCAAAGCCTACAAAAGCAACCATCCGTGAGAAGTAGGGAACTAAAATGTGGGGAAAGAAAAGGCCCAATAAGCAACAAAAAGAATTTTTCAATGATTTCAAAACTCCAATACCTAATAGAGGAAAGAAATTTAAGAGAGAATTTAGTTAAGCAGCACCCCCCCTCCGCCAGGGAGTAGGGACAAAGAACACCTATAGAATCTACTCACATCAAGGCGCTGGACTTGTGTAAGATCTCCATGAAGCTCAGCTCCTTTAAGGCCAGCCAACTGAAATAAAATCTTCAACCTATGTGCAGCCAGCTTGGTTCCACTGTCAAATGAGATGGAATATCATTGCTGCTCATATAATTGACAAAGTTCAAAAAAACAAGTTTGGCAGCTTTCATGGACAGGATCACCAGCCAGGGGAAAAAAAAAGGGCAGGATCACCAGCCAGGGGAGAAATTAAAAAAAAAAAAAAAGGTGTGCCCAGTTATGTAGGGGTTATAATAAAACTGAATGGTAAAAAACCTGGGCATAAACTAAACTGCAATAACAGAGAAAGAAATGATATTTTCTTTATTGATCATAAACTCTTCCTCAGAACAAGTGTGCTTTCATAAAAGAGGAAAAGCAAATTAATGAAATATGGCACTATCCAAACCTCTGAGTATCGTAATTAATATATATAGCCAAATTAGTATGACCATCTACATAAGTCTAATAATAACCTGAAGATGATCACTTTGGATGTGAAGGTCTTTGAACACAATGACAGAAGAACTGCTTCTTGATTTACTTCACGCATTCGACGTATTCTTACAACCCTGCATGAAAAATATTAATGATAACATAGTCAAAATACACAACAGTGGAAATTGGCAAGCAAAGAAGACTGAGAAATTATAAAAGAATTTACTCCTCAGTCAATGTTGACGGACGTTTAGCTGATGGATCAGCTGATAGACGTAAGGGTCTGGTTAAAGAAAGCTTGACAAGCTCATCAACTTCTTCTGTCATTGTAGCGGAAAACAGCATAGTCTGTCTCCTTTTAGGACAAAGACGAACCTGTAAATAAGTTGCAATAGATCACATAAAAAATCAAGGAATCAAATTTCAATTCAAAGGAGATAAACATAAGAAGGTAGATTAGTAAGTGAAATTATTGCTGTTAAATGGAAAAGGAACAAGTTTATGCTTATCAACTTGTTAAGATCTGTCTTAGATCTGACTGTGGAAAACATTTCCCCTATTGACAAAGATATATTTTTCATTTAACTATTCCTGGTGGAATAAACTATAACTTCTTCAAAGGTGGATACCAGCTTTGCCTCTGCATCCTACTACGTCATAGGAATTAGACAAAGACCATCAATTTAGGAAGTCAGTGGTAAACCACTAGGGAATTTAGAGAATCACTTATAATTACAACTCATATATAGAAATAGATATGAAGGGAAGTAGTTACCAACTCATGTATTTCAGCACTGAATCCAAGCTCCAGAAGACGATCTGCCTCATCAAGGATCAAAACTGCCAGATCATCCAAATCCACAGACATGGAATTGCGCAAATGATCTATCATGCGCCCAGGAGTAGCCACAACAATGTCAGGCATTAATCTCAAAGCTGACTCTTGTGCCTAGTATAAAGATGACAGAAAGAATATAGGACAATATAAGCATAGAATTACATATAATTAGACTAATTTGTAATATCAAATTCCAAGCGAACAGGCTGTATAAGAAAGGCCTTGTATACATATGAAAAAGAATCCTTTTATTTATCATTCCAAATCTTTCAATAATACTACTCTCAAAAACCAGGCAAAGGTTCAAGAAAACTAAAAAGGTTAATTAAGGTTTGTTGCAATGAAATAAACGGATGCAGTTTCAACTGAGTTAAAGACAAAAAAGCACTTTAAAAGGAATGCTCAAGGTTCAGAGATATATCTTTTACCCTGTATCAAAAGTGATAGCAAATTAAGCCAACTAAGGATGGAAATCAATAGGTCAAACCTTTAATGAAAGCCCACCAACAACCAGACAACATCTAATATCAGTAAACTGAGCAAGTTTCTCTATCATACTGTGAACCCTGCAACATGTACGCAAAGTAAGATTTAAACGTCAATGAATCCCCACAGACACAAATTAAAGATACTAATAGTTTTCAATAGAACTTGAAGCGTAGAAAATTTAACAGTAAAGCCTAACAAAAACTTCCAAATAAACTACCCAAGTGAGAAAATATACAAACTATATTACTAGCTTATATAACATATTGGATTATAAAAAAGTCTAAATTCCCTTTCATAAAGCCCAAACAAAGCAAAATCAAAATCCTGAATAAATGTTCAAAGTGTGAAAGAACCCAAAAATGTTCAAAGTGTTATGAGCACTTACTGAACCGCTAACTCTCTAGCTGGAGTAAGGATAAGTACCCGTATGGCCGAAACCCTTTTAGGACGGTATAACAGCCTTTCTAGTGTAGGTAAGGCATATGCAGCCGTCTGAATAAAGGCCAAAAATTAAAGCACTTGAATAAAAATAAAATATTCAATCACAAAATCAAAAGAAATATACCTTCCCAGAACCAGTAACTGCGCTACCACATATATCGCGCCCGGTCAAGGCTAAGGGTATACAAGCAGCCTATAAAAAAAATTACCCAAAAAAGTTGATTCAACAAAACTTAATTAATGAAACGAAAACTATAAAAATGAAGTGAGATGGTGACCTGAATAGGAGTAGGCTTAATGTAACCCAATGTTTCACAAGCTCGAAGCAAAGGACGCGAAAGATTAAGCTCCATGAAAGAATTCGCATGAAACGACGCTCCTTCGGCTGGCGCAAAGAACGATTTACTCTCACCTGCATTAGTCTTTTCTTCATCTTCATCTTCCGATCTATAATCAACCTGATAAATAGAAAAAAATAGATTATTAATTCAGAAGAAAATGAATTTTAAAACTTAAAATTAAAATCTTACTTGTTTGTCGGGTTCGGTATCGGAGGTCTCTTCCTGCTGAGCTGGAACGGAGCTTTGTTGGAGAATTTTGGAGATTTTGAAATCGACGGAGGTGGTTCCACGACGAGCGTGTTCTTCTGCGACGGATTCGGAGTAAGAAGAAAAGTCCCATGGTGATTGAGATTTGCGTTTCGGTTTAGAAGGTTTGTCTTCTGCTTCTTCTTCTTCTTCGTTGTCTTCGTCCTTGGATTCTGAGAGTTGGGGTTCTTCGTCGCTGGGTGCTTCGAACGTGAAACTTGGAGCCATGCTGTTTGAATGTGGAGCAAGCGAGTTCGTGTTTTCCCGGCTCGGAAGTGGAATTTCTTAGGGGGTGTTATTGCATAGATAGCGTCTTTATTTTTGCTCAAAGCCTAAACCCGCAAACCCTAACTTTATCCAAAACGCACCGTTCTAATAGTTTGGGTTGGGTGAGCATGGGTTGCTTGCCTGGTTAGGTTGGGGCCCATAAAATTTGGATTTTCGAACTCCAACGGCAAAACCTATCCATCGACCAGTGGCCCATTGGAACCAGATCCTATCATTATTATTATTATTATTATTATTATTATTATTGTCATTGTCTCTTTGATAGTTTATTTTGTTTAATATACTTATATGCTTAATTAATAAAACAACAAGAATAAATCTCCATTGTTTCAAAAAAAAATTATTCAAAAAACTCACAATTTAAAAATAAAATAAAAATTATTTTTAAAATATTATCTCTTAAAAATAATTATATAAATCAATTTAATTAAATTTATTTATTTATTTATTTATTTTTACAAAACACCTAGTTCTGTCATTCAAACATATTCCATTCCAAGTGTCATGTGTGATTATGTGCTGTTTTTATGATTATATAATTATCAGATTGCTAACTATTTAAGTTGTAGACATTAATCCATTTTTTTGAAGGAAATATATAATTAAATAAGATTAATACCTTACTTAAAGACTTGTTGATTTAATATATGACTATCGGCTGGTCAAACAACAAAGAATTATTATTATTTTAGATATAAACACAACTTTATCTCTATTATTATTTTATTATTAAATAAATTTTATAATAAAATGAATTAATAGATAAAAATAAAAAATATTCATATTCGATGATTTTCTGTCAATCTATTTATTTTTTGATACCTTTTACTTTTTTGTAATTAGTTAAAATTTACAAAAAATAATATACAAATTTATTTTAATTTAATTTTATTAAAATTTGTATCAAAATAATAAAAAATAAATATAAATTATGAATTAATTTAAATAATTTAAAATATTTGTTTTAATTGCTAGGAATATTAAATTTGCAACATAGAGCAGACTCATTTCTAATAAAATAATAATCTTCATTCCTTTTGTTAGGCAGAGACAACTGAAAGTAGGTATCTTGAATCAATTGTAGCACTAGTTTTTCAAGAAACTGCTAGGAAATATATGAAAAACTGCCCCTTTCAATTCGAGTCATTAGATGACATGAAGAGCAATTGCAAAGAAGATTTTGACATGTAGTTGCAGCTTCATCACATAGAAACTTCCATTTTCCTAAATTCTTTTTTATAGTGCCAAAATCACGTGGTCGAGAACATGAATCATGCCCCACTCAGGCCAATTTACTTACCCTCGCACAATAATCAGGTGTATTTACGTAAAAATTACAGTAACGATCACGCCTTCAGTCATAATAAAATGGTGTTATTTTCTTTGTCAGGATTAGGTAGCAGAGTGTTTAGGATATAACATGCGTTTGACTGGTAAAATTCCGGCTCAATTTATTCATTATCGTGCAGAAGTTATACGAGGAACGAATTATCCCAAATTCGAATACTTTTTACAAAGTATAGTCCGTAGTTAGAGTATAGATATTCCCGGTACCAAACTTGCCCATAGAACTATCTAGAAATCTTGCAGTTCATCCACGTCAAACAAAGAATAAAAACCCAATCATAATCCGCCACGTTTCCCACAACCAAAACCGCTTGATCATCCACCATTGACGATCAATCGGTCAAGTAGACTCACTCGTTGAAGTCGTCTCGGTGGGGCCGGCCAAAACACTCGGCTTATCCACGTCGAAGAAACAAGGTGAAACCAATAAAATTCCGCCACGTTTCGATGAACGAACCATTAACCGTTAATCATCCACGCTGGCACCAATAACCAATCGAAACAATCCTAACAGTTCATTTCAAGTAGAAAGAAAATCTACGCAAGATCTAAAACCTCCGCTGTGTTTAAAACCTCGCAAACCGAATTAACACTCCAAGGGATAACCAAAATCTTAACCGATCCTTTGCACTTACACGAAGATACTAGAAAGAAAGCCTTAAAGCAAACAATGAGGAAGTGGGCGATCCCTTCCGCTTTGATTCTTCTCTGTCTTCTTAGTCTCCTCTCAGATCAAGGTAAGCTTACGCCGTTTTTCTTTTCGATTTTCAAATTCTTTTATTGATTTTATTAGCTTTTGAATTGCTGAATCCGGATCTACGGTTGTTTCAGGAAGAAAAGTACAAGTAAATGCCGAGGAAGGAGCCGTAGATCCTCCAAAAGTTGAGGAAAAGATCGGCGCTGTGCCTAACGGCTTACAAACTGATTCTGATGTAGTTAAAAGGTTGGTATAATTTAGTTTTGGAATATACTTTTCTTACTCTTTAGCTTTATTTGTTATATTTTGAATTCGAAAATGTTTTTCCTTTTTTTTGCTTTTTAGGGAATCGGAATCGATCTCTTCGAGATCGCTTCGCAATAATGCGGAGAAGTTTGAGTTCCAAGCCGAGGTGTCTCGGCTCATGGATATTATTATTAATTCTCTTTATAGCAACAAGGATATTTTCCTCAGGGAGTTGATCTCTAATGCTTCTGATGTAAGTTTTCTTTCTTTTGGTTGAATTGTTTTCAGTTATTGTTTTGAACTCAATTTTTGAGTAGAAACTTTTTTTTTTTGAATTTTAGGCTTTGGACAAGATTAGGTTCCTTTCACTTACGGATAAAGAAGTTTTGGGTGAAGGCGACACTTCCAAGCTGGAGATCCAGGTTAGTGCTGCACATTAGAACTTTACTTTATGGAAATAATATAATTATCGAAAACTCTGTTTGCCGAATAACTAGAAATGTTATAAAACGAGCATGTGAATGTAGAATATCTGAGTCAATATTGTTGCATGTAAAACTGTCCTTTCTCAGCCATAAAATTCGTTGATATTGTAGATTAAGTTGGACAAAGAGAAGAAAATTCTTTCGCTTCGTGACAGAGGTATAGGAATGACTAAAGAAGATTTGATCAAGAACTTGGGAACAATTGCAAAATCTGGAACTTCTGGTAAATAATCTTAAGATTTATTTTCTGCAAGTGCTATTGTTAAGGTAGAATTAAGTTTGATTAAGTATGCAAATTGAACTTCTTCTTCTTCTTCTTCTTCTTCTTATTATTATTATTATTATTTTTGTATGCAGCATTTGTTGAGAAAATGCAGTCCAGCGGAGACCTTAACCTGATTGGGCAGTTTGGAGTTGGGTTCTACTCTGTATATCTCGTAGCTGACTATGTTGAAGTAATTAGTAAACACAATGATGACAAACAGTGAGTCTTGTGACCTTATTGTAGTTTTTATATAAGTGTTTATTGATTGTTGAATTATTATTTAATACATATGTTTTGCTTTTCAGGTATGTATGGGAATCGAAGGCTGATGGGGCATTTGCAATTTCTGAGGATACTTGGAATGAACCACTGGGACGTGGAACTGAGATTAGATTGCATCTTAGAGATGAAGCTCAGGAGTACTTGGAGGAGAGCAAATTGAAGGTTAGTAACTTAGTATAGCTTAAGTCTTGTTTGTTTACATTACCTTTAGTAGGTATGCCGATTTTATTTGAGATTTTTTTGGTTCATCATGTTGCTGTCCTTTGTATTGTTATCTTCATGAACTTATAGTTTGATGTATTTATTTATGCTTGGGCTTTTGAGAATATGCTGAAAATATTTGCTGTGATTCTCATCTGCAGGAGTTGGTGAAGAAATATTCTGAATTTATCAACTTCCCCATCTATATCTGGGCAACCAAAGAGGTTGATGTTGAGGTACCTGCAGATGAAGATGAGTCAAGCGATGAGGAGGAAACCAGTATGTATCACTGAAAGCTTCCTGTTCATGTTTATTGAAGGCTTGCTGACGACATTTTTACTTAATGCTGTAGGGGTATGCATATTCTGATTATAGTTTTTGGCTTCCTTCTTTTTATTGCTTCAAACAGCTGATAGCAGCTCTTCTGAGGAAGGAGAAGATGAAGATACTGAAAAAAGTGAGGATGAAGAAACTGAAAAGAAACCAAAGACAAAGAAGGTGAAGGAAACTACTAATGAATGGGAGCTTCTGAATGATGTTAAGGCTATATGGTTGCGTAGTCCAAAGGATGTGACAGACGAAGAATACACAAAATTCTATCAGTCTCTAGCAAAGGTAATTTGCCATAAATTTCCTAGCCCCAGAATGCTGAAAACACCGTGGAGAAGTTTCTAACCTAGATTGTTGTATATTTGTGCTATTCTGCAGGACTTTGGTGATGAGAAGCCCTTGGCCTGGAGTCACTTCACTGCCGAAGGTGATGTTGAGTTCAAGGCTGTTTTGTTTGTGCCTCCCAAGGCTCCTCATGATCTGTATGAGAGTTACTATAACTCCAATAAAGCCAACTTGAAGTTGTATGTTAGACGAGTTTTCATCTCTGATGAATTTGATGAGCTTTTGCCAAAGTATCTTAGCTTTTTGAAGGTAATTGAAGATATGCCAAGTTATTTAAGTTGATTTGAATATGCACTAACGAGGTTTTAGAGTCATTTTTTCTTGTGATCTGATTGGTTTTTGAATGGGTAACCTATTGAGCAGGGTCTTGTTGATTCTGATACTCTACCACTCAATGTGTCACGAGAGATGCTACAAGCCCACAGTAGTTTGAAAACAATCAAGAAGAAACTCATCAGGAAAGCCCTCGATATGATTCGTAAAATTGCTGAGGAGGATCCTGATGAGTCCAGTGGCAAAGATGAGAAAGGCATGTTATAATGCTTCTTTATAGTAATTACTTTGAATTTAATTTACAAATACTTCACCCTAGACTGTGGCCTAATGGCCATTCAAAATGAAAGTCTTCTATTTGAAGTTATTTCTGGGTTAATGATTGATACTGAATATTGATGGGGACGCAGATGTTGAAAAATCTGGTGATGATGATGAGAAAAAGGGTCAATATACTAAGTTCTGGAATGAATTTGGAAAATCCATTAAACTTGGTATCATTGAGGATGCAACTAACAGAAATCGCTTGGCAAAACTCCTTCTATTTGAGAGGTATTTGACTTTATATTAGTTACATTCCCCTCCATATATTAGTTTTTGAGGCAATCTTTAATTTCTTTGGACATGACTTTCCTTTTTCTGCCAGTAATGACTAATTGTGTATGAATTGCCATGCAGCACCAAATCAGATGGTAAATTGACTTCACTAGATCAGTACATCTCAAGAATGAAATCAGGACAGAAAGATATATTCTACATTACAGGAACCAGCAAGGAACAATTGGAAAAATCTCCATTCTTGGAGAGGCTTAAGAAGAAAAATTATGAGGTACTGCTAAGGCATTAGCCGTTAACTTCAGATATTTACTTGTTTGATTCGAAAACACCTTTTCACTTCTTTCCTTTTACTTATTTTATTCCTTATGATCTGTGTTTGTCTTATTTTCTTTTGCTTCTAATGGCCTTTGTTATTTCCAGGTTATTTTCTTCACAGATCCTGTTGATGAATACCTGATGCAATACCTGATGGATTATGATGGAAAGCAGTTCCAAAACGTTTCCAAGGAGGGCCTGAAATTTGGGAAAGACTCAAAGAACAAAGAACTCAAGGAATCATTTAAGGAACTAACCAAATGGTGGAAGAATGCACTTGCCAGTGAGAATGTTGATGAAGTGAAAATAAGCAACCGTTTGGACAACACTCCTTGTGTGGTTGTTACATCGAAGTTTGGATGGAGCGCTAATATGGAAAGAATAATGCAATCTCAAACCTTATCAGATGCTAGCAAGCAAGCGTACATGCGTGGCAAGAGGGTCCTTGAGATTAACCCAAGGCACCCAATCATCAAGGAGCTTCGTGAGAGAGTTGTCAAGGACGCAGAGGTATGTGTATATGTAGACAGAAACATGTTTGATGACACTTTGTTCCATAGGTATTAATAATTTTCCTTTCTACAACTTATTGCATGCATTATATTGATCTAAGCATGAATTTGTAGTTTGTATGTAGGAGCAATTTACCATTTGACAGTAAGTGTTCATGACTTCATGGTATGTGCTATAAAGTGATGCGTACTCGTTCTGAATCTGACACTGGGATGACGTCTTGTCCTGCATTTGCTCATTAACTAACATGTAGGAATTGGTAATTCATTTTGCTAGTTTCGTTTTTGACGAAATCGATTGCTGGATCTTCAGGATGAGGGTGTCAAGCAAACGGCTCAGCTTATTTACCAAACAGCACTAATGGAGAGTGGCTTCAATCTACCTGACCCAAAGGATTTTGCCTCACGCATCTACGGCTCAGTGAAATCTAGCCTAAATATCAGTCCTGATGCAACTATTGAGGATGATGATGATGTTGAAGAAACTGAGACAGAGTCCGAGTCAAAAGATGCTGGCATTCCGAAGGGCGAAGCTGAATCTGCCAAAAATGATGCGGATACAGAGCCTTCTGATCTCAAGGATGAGTTGTAGATTGTCTGAAGCCTTGAGATATGTTTTTTCCCACCAAGTCTGCTATCTCGAGAGAACCCGAAAAGCTTCATCATGCTTTTTTAGTACGAAACTTTGATGTTAGAGTTAATGTAACCATAGTCATCAGGAATTTTGTCTTTAGCATCTAATTAATCTTAAGGTGCTGAAATCAAGCTTTGTGCATTTTCTCTTGTAATTCATGGCAATGCTTTTCAGATTTTCTCGTATTGATGGTTGTTTTGTTTCTCATTAACTTTTCTTTTATGTCAACTGGGGTGAAAGCCTTGAGACCACCCGGCCTGGGCCTTTAGGCAGGGGGCCATGCGGTGTTCTTAAAATAGCCGGCTGCGGTCATTGGCCCCGATTCTCATTTGCAATAGCCGATATTTGATGAGGGCCATGAAGCCGAATGGGGAATTGGGTAGAAAAACCAAACTTGGTCTTCTTCTTTCCTGGGTTTAGACTTGGTTTAAGACTAACTTTGCTGGATCATTATTATTTTTTTTTGGATATTTATGAAATTTATTATCCAAAGGAGGAACCTGGAAACGCTTGTTTAATAATCGAAATTAAACTTTATAGAGTTTAGAAGGAAATATAATACCCTTTGCTAGTGTATCAAAGCACACTGAAGCTTTTGACGAACAAGATTCCACATTTTACATAATATTTTTGACAGGCAAATCTACTCTTTGGCTTTCTTTCCATCAGAGCCGTCCAAAGAATAAACAATAGAACCACTAGCAAAAGAGTGCTTAAAAGAAGCAGATATGATTCGTTAGAGATTAGACTCCTGAGTGGACCCTTATTTTGTCGTTCGTTTATTTTAATCATCCGCTAACTGCCATTGCTTTAGATTTTAGCTGTAATTAAAAGACTGATTCCGATTCGTTCAATTTTTATGCGGTTCAGTGGATGAAGACAACCATTTTTCATCTTCTTTCATTTTATTTGAGAACGGCCAAAATTGGTGGGGGCTCTCTCAACTTGTGAATCCTAAAAGCATTCCTACAATAGCCTGTTAAATACAAAGGCTGTGAGACAATGCCCTTGAGGATCGCACTTATTGAAAACTCTGAAATATTATTTGGCAATTGCTACTTTCAGAGCTCCAAACCGAAGAATCTTTGTCAAAAGCCGCACATGCTTTCCTCAACATAATTGGCCTTGGACCAACTTGGACAACATAAGCAGTAACTCCTTCTTTGCGGCTTAATCATATTCTCTGTCATGTAAGGGCGACATGCTCCTTTCCTTTTAGTAAAATGGGGCTTTGGTTTCGGACCACTCGACTCTTTTGAACAAAAGGAAAATGGTAATGGGCATTCTTTAGAAATTTGAAAGAACCCCTAGAGGAAGAGTCGCTTTGTTCCTTTCAAATATTAGGGGAGGTCAGAGCTCAGAAGGGTCCCCTACGCAAGTTTGCTAATTTATCACCGCTCAAATCCCACTGAAGATGGAATCTTAACGGTACCTTTTTCGGGCTTTACCAAGTGTCTTAACATATTTGGGAATCTTTACGTACCCTTCTATCTCAAGCTTCAAAGCCACAGAGATTCAAGTGGCATATCTACTTCCACATGGAGAAAAAGCTGGACTTATGAACATCTCCATCACACATTTTCTTTGAACTAAAAAAATTTCTACCATGGTTGAGATTTATACGCTCAGTTCCAAACTTAGGCATATATATGACAATTATATATTCAGGATTCATTATGTAGTTTCCGGTACTTCATATGATTACTTGATCTCTCCTTCATAATAATGAGAACGTTGTTGAGGTATTTCCCTTGTATCTGTTCCGAAACGTGGACAAAGATACCGAGGAGCAAGCTGTGTTTTAAAGCCTTAAGAATTTACCTCAATCCCAAGTGATAAAAAATCAATGCTGATCTTGATCGACATCTTTAGGAGTACAGAAAAAGGCAGTGGATTCCTTTTTCTTTGTTATCATCTATACTTTTAAGATAAAATTAAGAACTAATTTTTTTTTTTTGTTAAAAACTTTATCAATTTTTGCAAATTACAAGTTTGATTAAATTTGTGCAATTGTATTAAACGAGGGAATGATAAATTAAAATCTTATTAGATGACACAGACAAAAATCTGATGAGAGTATTGTCTTTAAAATTGTTTTCTTTAGCTAGACTATATATTACACAATACTTGCATATTTAAATCCTGTTCTCTTTCTTTCTTTAAACACAAAAGAGATGATAGAACAAAAATTAAAAAATGGATTGTAAATATTGAAATTTGAATACAAATCTACTAAATAACATTTTTTAATGATGATTGCATGAACTAATTAAGTTCAAGTTAAAACCATTCATTTATTTCCATAGGCAAAAATGTTATTCTTATTTATATTGGGATCCATTACTTGATTGAAGAGTTCCAGAACTATAAGGGAAACGTTGAAAACATAAAGCTGGGGAGTATGCATGTTTAACCAATTAATTATGTATGCTAAGTTGCTAATTGACACAGATTTCAGACACAAAAAGTGAAATTTGATGAAAGGAAATGATGGAAAAATGGCCCTTGTCGTAGACACCATAATTACAAGACTCATTCATAGCGGCTAAAATAAATCATTAAACTACCAAGCAGGCTTGTAATTCCAGGAAAGCGGGGCTTCCTTTATCAGCTACACACCACAGACACCAACCAGATTGCTCAGATTCACAGTAAACTAACACTATCTTCAAATGCCTTCTTGATCAATTAAAAGTAATGACTAAAGCTCTTCCTTTTTCTAATTTGTTGCTTTTGGTGTACAACTCTTCCAAAGCTATATAAATTATAAAGAACAAATAATAATAATATAGTTTTGTTTTCTTTCTATACACATGGCCTGGAAAATTGGGTTTTACGATCTGGACATCAACAGCAGTACTCCCCATAAGGCAGAAGAATCCCAAATTAATTTCCATTTTGGCTGTTAATTAATAAGCTGCTTAAGAGTGTTGAGATTATGCATAAAATCTGGAGAGGAAGAGAAAGGAAATGGCCAAAGCCAACAATGTGGTGTGGAAAGCAGAAGAAGAAAGAGTCCTGGAAGACTCTCCTGTAAGAAACTCTGGTAACCATGAACTATTGTCGTTCGTTGGGACCTCTCCTGACCCTGTAATAGATCCATATGTTGTGCTTGTCGTCCCTGTTATTCCTGTTGTTGTTGGGGTCGTATTGCTTGCTGATTTTTGACTGTAGAAAAATAATATTACAGCAATGGTTAATAAAAATGTTAGAGAATATGGAATTTAACCGAATGGAGCTTTTTAAAAACTACTGCAATAGAAGGAGATTCTGTTCTGATAAAAATGGAAAAAAGTTGTTTTATTTTAGCTCTTTTTTTTTTCTTTATGGATTCTAATCTCTCAATCAGAAAAGACTTTAAAATTTGATTTATGCCTATAAAGGAAAAAAAAAAAAAAGACTCGTTTTCATCATTATTTGCTAATTAATTACAGCCAGATCCTTAATGTATGCCACAAGCTAATGGTCATGACTCATGACCTGTTAGCTTATGCCTTACAAAAGATAAGATAATTTAGGCTTAATTCGAACATTTTCAGACCGGCTTAAATATTAAAAAAATTAAGAATTAAAATTAAAAAATTAATTAAGCTTTTATCGTATTATTACAACAAATTAAACTTTTAAATATTTATTTTTATTAAACCAAAATAGTGGAATATTTCTATCCTTCGTGCTTACCTTGTTGATGAAGGGCAGAATGTAATCGTATAATCAGCTCCGGTACATGTAAACGTACTCGTAGCATCATCATACGCGTAGCTATACGATTTTGGACAAGCTGCTTTGAACATCTCCGAATAAACAGATGGCTTACATATTTCCGGTGTATCGTAGGCGCCGCTGCAGCAGTACTCCGGGGTCCCAAAAGCCTCGCATGCACTCTTACAGGCATCACCCGACCCAACCCGTAACTCATTCGGGCACTGCCGGTTCAAGTCGTTGACACAACCTGTTGACAAGCACGTGCCTGACCCACCGCTTGGCTCCACGATCATTGGCAAGTTGTAACCGTCAACTAAACTAACGTCGTAGTAATCCTGGGTTCCTGACCCGATCGTGAACTCAGCTAAGGTAACTGGGGGAATTGCACTTTTGCCATTGCATTCCATTTGGTTGGAGCCACAGTCACCGATTAGACAGGTGAATTGACCTGTATTTTGGTCTGATGCACATCCGGTTCTGGCCCATAATCTACCTGACCAACTGGGCGTTACCTGGAAGGATCGGGACTCCCCTGATGGTAGCTCGAATCCGGTGCTGTCTAACTGGGTGTTGCCAAGGATACCAGGCCAAATTGTATAGTCACATTTATTCACAAGTGTAAATGTAGTCCCTGAAATCCCTGTTTATATATTTAAATGCAGACTTTGTAAATGTTAACGCTATATATGGTATAAATCAACATTCAAAACGTTGGAAGAATTCTTGAAATCTTACCTTGGAAGATGGAGAGCAGACTGAATAAACAGGTGGAGAAAACCAGATCCATGTGGAATGAAATTTTGGGGTATAACTAAGCAAGTGTTAATGAATCAAAATACGTTGGTGAATGCTGAAGAAGAAGATTATGCCTTTCTCCTAGTAAGAAAAAGGCTGCATTGCCAGTGTGATGATGATGATAAATAGAAGAAAAGGTTGGTTTAATTCTGTTGGTTGGAAGATCATGAATTGGAAGCGTGTTTGAGGTTTATGATAGGAGACAGTAATGGAAATGGAAGCAGGCAATTTGATTGATGATAGGAAAGAATTGTCGGCTGGTTTGCACTTACCATATATTTATATATATAGGGTGGAAGTTGGCATAAAATCTACTGTTGTATAAGGACAGAAGGCGTAATTTTCTACAGCGGTCAAAAAGTTTCAAGAACGTAAACCAAAACCAAAGACAAAACCATAACCAAACTATTTCGGTATTTCTGATATTCAAAACAAAAACTAATAGTACTAAGTTTTTTTTTAACCATTCTAAGTGAAGCATATTATTGACCAAATAGGAAATGTTGAAAGTGTCGAATTTATTTTTTGCGACTGAATTTGCCGCCTAGAAATTAACGACCCTTGTTTGAGCTAGAGAATCAAAGAAAAATCTCCTGCACCTTTTCAATTTTTTTTTCTTTGCATCTTATTATGCCATATATATTTAAATTTTAAGTGTTTTTTAAATGAAAAAAAATCAAGTAATGTGTTATTGTTAATAATCTGATTTATTGATAAAGTATTTGAATTTAAATTTTAAATTCTAATATACTTAATTACAAAAGAAAAAAAAAATTATGGGACAAACCTATATAAATGTAGATATATATGAAAGAGATTAATCATTTGTTTTTGTTTTTTTTCTCTTTGTTAAATGAAAAAAGAATAGAAAAAAAGAAAAAAGATTGACTTTGGGTCAGGCGCTTATATAATTTTAAGGAAGTTAAGCAAAACTTTAATCTTTATTGTCTTCTTTATCATTGGTTAAGGTCATCAAGTTTAATACATATCACTAGCTAGCTAGCTAGCTACTGCTTTTTCTCAGGAATTGATCTCCGTTGCTTTAGAAACATGCTGAAATTCTATGGGCTAGCAGCAATGTGAAAATCATCTTTTTCTTTACCTTTTCATCCTCGCAACTCTTTTTTCAGTGCGCGTATGGTGGGCTCTGATAAGGGTAACTTGGCTACAAGGTGGCATAAGAAGCATATCAACAGCTGCTCAAACGGTGCTTAAACTGATAAAATCTCTGCTGTTCCGATGGCAATAGGTGACACGTTACGTTTCCAACTGCGAGAAAAGACTCGATGGCATCATTTTTATATTCTAATTAATAGTAGGATTATAAAAAGTGTTTAGACATTTTAAAGAAAATTAAAAAAATCTATCTTGATGAGAGACTAAATAATTTGGGCATTGTGTGGACCAAATATTTTAAAAAAAAAATCAAAGAAATAAATATTTCTCTCTAGTTTTTTTCTTTGATTTGTCAAATTGATGAGATTGGAAGGCTAAGCGTTTACGCCTAAAATTCCATTTAATATTGCCTCTCCCTGTTACATTATTGCACATCTTTTTTTCATTGACAGTCCTTGATTAAGATTTCAGAGCTAATTAATTATTATAATATGATTGATCAATCAGTTTGGAACCATTGAGACTTCCTCGTGATAGGATTTAGAATGAATTGGCGAAATTAATTTTTTTTTAGTTGATATGCTTCAACTTTTCCACCTAACAAACGTGTTTGAAGAAATATGCATGGCCAATTAGTCTCAGTTTTGAAGGTTTACTTATGATCGATGTTGCTATCATTCTTGGAAACATTTTCAAAGGAATCAGATTCGTAAATCAGACATGATTCGTTGAAAAGCATGTACTAAATTTGAACTTATTTGATGATCCGAATCACGAAATTCAATTAATTCACACTTGGAATAATATGGTAGATCTTTAACCAATTAACAAAGTGACTGACAGTCCGAATCTTGCAAAGCTGGCGATCGATGAACTTTCTCATGATCATCAGCCCAGTTAGTCATGCATGCCAAAGTAGAAAAAAAAAAAAAAAAAACCTTTTTAATTGCCGCGTGCTATGCCTGGTTATCGAAACTGCATGTTGGATGGATAGGGACGACTCCCTAGCACGACGGTGGTCCGTGGGAGAACAATTGCTTTGTCTTTCAATTATGCCATGTGTTAACTCAACAGCAGGCTGTGATATATTATATTTTATACTGCGACCAGCTCCGTTTGACATTGTTAACTGTCCCCGTTGCCATCGCCGTCAACTATAAGCTCATCCACGGGGTCCACTTGCTTCGCCAATTAAAGGCTAACACGTGAATTAAGACAATTTCTAATATTGATGCCAACTTTTTTTTTTCTTGATTCCCTTTGTGCTTCGAGTTCTAGGCCGGTGTTAATATATATAAATTTTAAGTAGCGTTTGATTTGAGAAAATATTTTTAATTTTTAATTTTTTAAAATTGTTTTTATATTTTATTTTAAAAAATATATTTAATAAATGAAAATAAAAATTATTTTTTAAAATATAAAATTAAAAAAATAAATAAATAATTCAATGATATTATTATTAATGTTATTTAATTATAAATATAATATATATTTATTAATTAATAATATTAAAAAATATTTAAATATGATAATTTATAATAAGATAAGAAAAAAATAATTTACATTTTTTATTTTCATAATTAAAAATAAAGTTTATATTTGATACACTATTAATATATAAATTTTATAAACTGTTAATAAATCAGATGATATCACTTTATTAATTAATAAATATTAACTTTTAAAATAAATATACACTTGAAAGCATATTTTTGTTTTGTTTTGATATTTTAATTTATTTTTATTTTTATTTTTTAAAAATTTGTTATTTTCAATTATCAAACACATTTTTACTTATATTTTTTATTTTCTTGAAATATAAAAACAAAAAATAACTTTATTTTTTGAAAACAAACACTACCTAAATTTTTAAAGCATTTGTAAAACAAAATAAACAAATTGTGATTTCTTTACGTACCCTATTGAGTTCTAAATTGGAAACACTAAAAGCAAAGATGTAGCAGATCATGTTGAAAGTTTAATTGGGGCTGAAACCCCAGTCGAGGGATTCATGCGGCCTGGGGATTGAGGCCATAAAGGGAAAAGTAGCAAGAGAAAAGCAGGAACCGACTTTGCTTGTTGGTTAGCAATTACAACAAAAGAGATGCTGATGCTAAAGCTGATCCACGTCAATGTATACGTGTTGACGTGGAAGTCACTTGGCTGTGGGATCTTACGGTCATCACTCGCTCTCCGCTGCAAACCCGCACCACCATTCTTCATTTTGATGCTTTCCCATGTCTCCTACAAAGCCGCTGCGTTGCCAAATACACTTCTGCTAAAAATAAGGTTATCGAATCAAAATGTCAGGATGGCCGAGTGGTCTAAGGCGCCAGACTCAAGTTCTGGTTCTCGTTAGAGAGCGTGGGTTCAAATCCCACTTCTGACAATTTTTTTTTCATAGTTTAATGTTTGGTTGAAGAAAACAAAGGGTAAAAAAGAATTATAGTTGCATGCAGCAGACTAATTCATTTTATTGTGTGTTAGTTATTATCGCCCCATCAAATTTGATGGAAAAATAATTCTTTGATGCAGTTTTCACATTTATCAAACAAATTAAGCCCTATTGACAGCCAATGCAGCCTTGGCAATCGCAATCTTTGCTTCAAAACAAACAAATCCTCTATGGTGTATCGACAAATTAAAATATGAAAGCTTTGGAAAAAATTCTCTTTTTTTTTTTTTAAAAAAAAAAGAGAAAGCTTTGGAAAATGGCGTGTCCGAAAGCACATGCAAAAGTTTTGCTAAAGTGAAAATGCCTACGTTGCATGTGGAAAAAAGTCAAAAAGAAAAAAAATAGCATAAAAAGCCATTATTAACAAATATTAAGCACCACTATGGCTATATGGTTTAACGATAGAGAACATGCACATTCAGAATAAGTACATATCTACACATAAAATTGCAAAGGTTAAAAAAGTTAGCTGCTCGAGGAAGACCCATATACTCATTGTTTGTGGCTGATAATAGTTAGGAAATTAAATTATGGCTAGCTAGCCTACCAAATTAAACAAGCGGTTGACCATACATGACTATCACGTTTTTGCATATATAATTGGAGTTTTATTTGTTTATTAATTATTATAACTTATCTTCTTCTAATAGACGTATATATGACATGCAAAAGTGGGAAGTCTACGTTGCATGTTCAAAAAGTTACTGTAGCTAACTTAATTTCCATGTGCCCATGATAACCAGCAGAAAGTTCTTCAATTCCCAGCCGGCACTAGTTAGCTGCCTTTTTTAGACAAACTTATTCATATATACAGAAAACAATCCCTCAACTCATGAATCCAAGCATGGATGACCAAGAGCTTGAGGCCATTTCGACCTTTGATCCTCCACCATGATGAGAGCCTTTAACTTCCAAGGATATATACAAGTCACATCAGCTAATTTTATGGTCATCTCCTAACGCACTTATCATAAATTTAAGCAGATGGCAAGAGGGATTAAAAGTAGTAAGGCTTGTTGAATTGCTGTAAACAAAATTAGTTTACTTCCTTAATTAACTTTGCATCTGTGGTCAAGTGTGTTAGGCTCTAGGATAATGCAAACGTGTTAATTAGACTTCTGGAAAGCAGAAATCGGGGAGTCAACTTGTCTGCAAACTGCAATGAAATTACATACTCTCAAGTATCCATAGCAAGAAAGTTCTTTAAAGTTTCAACATCTGAGAATGTCCTTTGGCATGTTATCCATCGTGTAAAGCACCCATTTGGATAATTGTTATTGTTATTCTATAATATTTTTCTTCCCATCACTTCCTTTTCCTTCTCAGTCTCACCTTTTTCTGTTTCTTAGGTAAAAGATTTGCGTCATAGCGACAGAAGCCTATATTTGATTTTGAGGACCCTCGAAAAGTAGAGAGAGCTTTTGCTTTTTCAACTTTGTTTCACGAATTTGCATTATCCGTTAAGGTAGTCAGTATCATTCGCATCAAATCCCTGATAAGTGCTCAGTAAAATACCTTGCATTAGGTTAACGGAGGCCATGCCGCCATGTTGATGATATGTCATGTTCTATAGGACGGGAACCTAGACACAACTTTGCTGGGTAAAATCATCATGGGATCCCCCACAATATTCGAGTTGTTGAATCGTTTAAATGGTGACATTTAGAAATATCATAGATTCATGGGACCTAAACATGTTTTTGCTTCAGAGCCTTTGTGTTTAATAAAGCTTTTTCTTAAAGTAATGCATGATCAAGTTTAGTTGAAGAGATGTGGAAAAGAGGTCAAAAGGAACATCAATACGTGGATGCATGCAAATATGACAAGAAAAAAAGTAAAGAGTAGAAAGTTTGAAGAGGGAGATTGTCTCAAAATTTGATTTTACCATTGCCCCCAATTCATCTTCTAGAACAGTGAAAAAGGAGTACTCTGTATCTTTGAAACCAGCTGCGATTGCACTGCTTTAATATTTACTGAAAAGAAAAGAGGTAGAACAATGAATTTGCCTAGTGTTTATATAAGATTTTAAAAGAAGCAAGTAAGAAGTGAATAGGGAACCTTGGTAAAAAATCCTCTACTTAGAATCTTAGATGGCCTTCCTCCACTAAAAGAAGCTGAGTAGATGCTTAGACAGATGGTACGTAAAAGTGTGAAGAAATTTTTCTTCCGTACGTGACTTTAATTGGACTTGACTAGTTCAAAAAAACACTAAAGTTATACGAAAAAAGGGTTGTCGAGTCAGGGATCAGCGCTCAAAACTTGCTCTTGCGGTCATTGGAAACTTGCAAAAACAAGATTCATAGTCAAGAATCCGCACAAAGAACTCATTATTAGTTGAATGGGTTATTATTAATTAGTTCAAAAAAATTACAGATTAGGTATGAATTCTACAAATTTTATAGAATTTATTCATGTCTTCTAAATATATATGGACTTATAAAATTGTTTCGCAATAGGATTGGAAAGTCGGCAATAAAATGATTAAGGTGGGGAGGGATCCTTGTTGCTGGGTTAATGTGATTGAAGTCAAGGCTCATGCAGTCAAGCCTAATAGATCTCTAACAAGTTTCATCTAGAACCCAATTGGATATAGTAGAGAATACTTTAGGGCCAGTAAGCTGAGGCCCAAAATCACGTGACACCCCGATCTAATCTTGAACTGTATAGCCTGAAAGTGAAAGGCAGGTCTCGCTAGCATAAAAGTCGGCTTTGCTATCACTATCAGTTATCCATCCAACAAATGAAGTCGGCTTTTTGGAGCCATCGCCAATCAAGCTTTCTCAAGTAGTAGCTGCCTTACTTTAATGCTTTTAGTCAAAAATGGCGAAGCTTTTGTTTTGAAGTTTAATAAACGAGGGTTACAAGAAGCTGTATGTCCGTAGTATTATTCTAAAGTATCCTTATCCAATAGTACACATCAGAATCTTGAGTTTGCATGACAAGACAGAAGAACAAACGATGCTTTGTTTTCTCATCTTCAACCAAACAGATGCTTCGCTTTGACTACCAACATGTTCGGTGTCGTATGATCACAAGACTCGCCAGACCACCAAACCTTTTGCCATCGCAATTCCGGGGTCATTAACTTTGACTAAAAAAAATTTTAACATAGACCCAACAATCAAAGGATCAATGCAGCAATAGAGAAAATGTCTTTTCCTTCAGAACCTGGACACACACACACACACACACATATATATATATATATATTATATTTAAAAGACCGAATGGAGTCAATTTTCGCAAATTCAACAGATTATATACAATTAGGCAGGTGAAATATTAAAAAAAAAGCAGACATTCTACCTAGCTACCCACATTTTTTTTTTGTCTGTTGGAAAGTTGCATATAAATAATACAAAATTGGAATCACACTCAAGAGTAATAGTGCTTTAATTTGAAAAATTGCAGCCTCCGTGCGCTATAAAACTACTGGATTTGTGCTTGGTGACTCCCGTGAATTTGACGGTTGACTACCCTTTGCTCCTTGGAATGATTTGGCTGCTACGAACTTTGTTTTGGCCGGCGAGTTTTTATTTATTTATTTATTTATTTTATCAATGATTGCTTATGAGAACGAACCTGAGTCCCTGACCCTCCCTTAATTAATGGAGATTCTCGGCCTACTCAGCCATGGATAGTTTCGCGCTTGGGATGTTAGCAATAGGGGCCATAGGCAGGCGTTACCAGGTTCGCAGATTCAGACGTTTTATGTGTCTGCTTAGTGCACATGGTTGTCCGAGCAAAGGCTAATCAAGAACCTTCGAGCACTCTTAATTTCCGCTGCCCTCGAATGGATAAGCACGCACCCACACGCATGATGAAAGCAGCCATGTGCGACCAAATCACTGTGGCTGTGATTAATTGATGTCAACATGTTAAGCCTAATTAGAGCATCTCCACACATACATTAGAGTTATTCTGAAACAATTATTTGTCCAACTAATATTATATTTTAGCTTAATTAAAGCACGATTACTTGTGAATATGTATGAAAAGGGTTTCACAAATGCATTATGGTTGCTTTTGTGATTGAATTATAAGACAAGATTCCAAATTAAAATAAGCTAAAACAATTCATAGAGGTTAAGCACTTCGCTTCAACCCACACGCAAACACAAATTTTCAAACCAAATATTAACATGCAATACGATTAAAATAAAATAAAATTTTCTTTCTTTTTAGAACCAATGTTTTGACAGTTTTTGCCTCTATTACAGGTCAAGGTAATTATATTATACAAAAAACTATACATATTAATTATTAATATAAAGTCTTCAAATAACATATACTAACTTTTTACCCAAGTAATTGGTTTATTTAAGCAGTTTTGGACCTTGGGACTATATTTTATGACTCGTATTCTTTGTATGTGAACATTGCCAACGAAAATATGGACCGTTATCAGTTATCCATTCAACTAAAACTTCCTGCTGTTGCCCGTCCAAATGCAACGTGATGAAATTAATGGTAACCTCCATGGTGGTTGAATAATTTTTTTTTTATGCAATCACAATATATATCTAAAATTAAAAAAAAAAAAAGAAAGAAATACCCTAAGTAGCCCAAATTGGCCCTTGTGAAAAAGAAATTAAACGAACAAGAAACTCAATAATTGGCCGTTGGGATTAGGATTGATTAAGAATGGTCATGACAAATTTCGTACAATCCAAGAAAATATTTATTGGAAATACTTTAGCTCATATAGTCTCGTAACATCGCATTTTGCACTAGTCACCAAATTAGCCTCTTGTAATTAACAATAATAAAAAAGTTCATCTTATCCTCCATAGCTATTGCTATCACAACAAGTTGCATGTAGCATGCTGTTGATAAAAAGATAATTTTACTAATAATAGAATTTGAACGAAATTGTGATGGAATATATGATTAAATTGACAAGGAAATCCAACAAACAGCTAGCCAAATCACCTCTAACACTAATTATTCATGACTAAAAGGCATTACTATAACCATAGTTTAGGAATAACAAAAAAATTAGTGTTAAAATTTGAGTTTTAAATTTATTATTAAATATCATTTTTAAATGAATGTATAAACCAATTTAAATAAATTTGATCCACGTCTTTAATGCTTATCTCATTTAATTATATTATCCATTCCATTATATATGCCTATCAATTGTATTAATTAAATTCCCAATGAAAACACGAATAGGACATTAAACATCAAGACAAAAACTAGCAATAAGAATAATGGATTTCATTTTTCTTAGAAGCAAGTGTTGCAGTAGTTTAAATAATAATACTAAAATATAATGTAAAAATCCCATCCCCTCCAATAATGTAAAAAATTCAACCTAAAAAAAACTAAAATACAACTAAAAAAAGCATTTCTTAAACCTAACTGCTTGCACGTTGTCCGTTGGAATCCCACCCACCACTCTTTGCATGTTGTCAATTGGATTTTTCTTTCATGATTGGATTCCTCGTCACCGTAGGGTCAAGCCAAGGCCCATCATGATACGGTCATTTCCCACCACCCCAATGGGCTGAACTCTGATGGGGCTTAGCTATACTCTGCTGCGTGTCTTTCCTTCTTTTTTTTTTTGTTTACGGGGCCACATGGCCCCCCACCCGATAGATAAAGTTCGTGATAAAGTTAGAACAGTTGCCACGACCACCAAATCGCCATTGTGATACCGACGATTCCCGCAATCGCATGTGATCCGAACACGTGGGTGCAGGTGGACGGTGATGCCGCACTGTCGTCCAACCCACCTTCGTACACGATTGTGCTGTTGATTAGAGGTGACGTTGTCGTTGTTGTTCCCGTGTTCTGTGCTTGCGTTGTTGTCTGCTCTTGTGACGATTTCTGGCTGCAATTTTCGTACCAAAACTACCCGTTAAAAACTAAAAAAAAAGAAAAGAAGCAACGAACAGTAAATATGTGACATAAATGCTGACGTGTTCCAAGACTTCAAAAAAAAAAATTCAATCCCTTCAACTTTCAAAATTACTTTTAACGTCTATACAGATGTACTCTCACAAACACTCTCCTCCCATAACAATTATTGTATTTTTTGACACTGACACAGCCTCAACCATAACCAATAGACAGCTAATAATTTTCAGCTACAACGGCTTAAAAGACCGTTCCGCTGCCAACCTACCTCGCATTTGGATGAGGCAGCTACCTTAACTAGATCTTTATTGGAGATACGACAAAAGACAAAATCTCCAGAATTAATGGTCTAGCTCCACAGGACTATAACTTTAACTCAACGGTTAGCTGTATTGGCACGTAAATGTTAACATGTGCCACAGCCGACATAAGATTGAAAATTATTCGGTTTCCCAGAGCAACGTGAAAAGTTGCGCCGTAATTAAGTGACAGATTCTTTACGACAACGTTTATCTTAACAGCTTTTGTCGAGGAAGCGTTCTTTTCAGGACAAAATGATCCTTTACCGCTCAAAAGTGCTAAAACAAAAGATGAGACACTATGTAAAGTAAATTTACCTAGTGTTAGGTGAAGGACAGAAAGTTATCGTGTAATCAGCATTCGCACATGTGAAGGTGCTTGTCTTATCATCATAGGCATAGCTGTATGCGCGTGGGCAGGCGGTCTTAAACACCTCCGAGTATGAAGAAGGCTTGCAAGTATCGGGGGTGCCATACTCGCCGCTGCAACAGTACTGAGGCTGGCTGAATGCCTCGCAAGCACTCTTGCAAGCGACGCCATCTCTTCCGTCTGTGCTCATCACCTTGAGCTCTGAAGGACATGAGCCATTAAGATCATATACGCAGCCGGTGTAGGTACAATTTTGGCCTGTGCCACCCTGAGGAGATACCAACATAGGGATGTTGTAACCATCTACCAAACTCACATCAAAAAAATCAAGGCCACCAAAACCATTCAAAGTAAATTCAGCCAAAGTGGCAGGTGGAGCAGCGCCATTTCCTGAACATTCCAGCTTCCCGGAGCCACAATCACCCGTCAAACACGAAAATTTACCGGTGGAATCTTGGGAGCAATGGGTTCTACCCCAAAAACGACCACCCCATGATGTGGGTGCGGTAATTATTCTGGTTTCACCGATTTGGAGAGTGAAGCCTGTTGTAGACAGTGTTGGAATTCCTGCGTTTGAGAGAATTCCAGGCCATACCACATAATCGCATTTGTTTACTACGGTAAAGGTTGTTGCTTTCACTCCTGTTCACAATGTAACGAAAATCAGTTTAAAAAATCCAAACTTGAAACCTTATCCTGATAATCAACTATAGAACTGATTAAACATCATTCAATGTTCCCAACGAGTACCTGGTATTAACGAATGTGACAGAACAAGAACACAATAAATAACAGCAAAAAATGTAAGTCGGGCCATTAAGCTTAAACTTTGCGAGAAGAATCTTTGATATAATAATAATAATGAGAAAGAAGAAGAGGGAGTTGGGGTGGATGGGTAAATCCCAACACTCTTCTTCTTCTTCAATGAGGGATTGGGAAAGTGTGAGATTCTGCAATGGCGATAAAGAAGAGGTATTTATAGAGGGAAATAGATAGAGCTAAATGTGGGCCCAACCAGAAGTTGATATTGTGTCTGCGGTACCCGATTTTAGTTGCAGTGTTTGGTTGAGAATTGATTTCCTTCCTCCTGGTTTTTTTGCATGTAAATTTTGTGAATAAATACAAATGGTGAATAAAAACAGAAGGCCCTACCCCAAATTAAAAAAAAAAAAAAAACACTTTTCATATGCTGAAATAATATTGCCCAGTTCACATTCCAATTTCCAAACATGATATATAATTCACTGAAATCTTTAATTTAAATTACTATTATATTACAACTTATAATAACAAAAAATTGGTGTTGATTATGGTAAAATAAGTCTAATAATCCCTTAATTACCAATATATTCTAATCTAAACAGCTGAAAAAGACTTTAAATTAGTATTGGTTCGTGCGTATACTAAATAAGGTTTAGATAATGACCAATTTAGTGCAATTTGCAGAAACGTTGGCTGCGGTCAAAATTTTGGTCGCCGGCGTTGATAATTGTAATTTGACCGATTATTATGATATTGATCAACATATTCTAAGGTTTTCAAGTTTACATATATATATATATATAGTATTTTTTTTTTCACTTTTAATGGACTGAGTAATCTTCATTTTCAACAATTGGTCGGTCAACTAATTTTCTCTAATATTCTACACTGCAGATTTAAACATCCCATGAAATAGTAACAAAGTTAAATACTCAAGGTAGTTTTGTATTAATTGGATGAATAAATGCATGTGCATAAGGTGGAATTGATGTTAGATACAAGAAGTAAAATCTAAGTTGAAAGATAGCAATAGCATATCTAATTTGGTAAACTCATAAATTTGGTAATTAATCAGGACGAGACACTTCATATACTTCAATTTTAATTTTTCCAGATTCTAATTATTAATGGAAATTTACCCAACCAACAAAGCAATAAGGATGGCAATGGCATCAATAGAAATTGGTGGCAACCTTCAATTCTCAGTGAATTAATACTTGGCATTTATCATGCCAACCTGACTTTCTCCTTCTCTATAAATTCCATTGTTCATGCCGAATTTGACCACCAATTAGAGCCAGTTTTAGAACAAGTTAAGTTTTTCTTCTTACCTACGATCCTATAATGTAGAGTATTTGGCAAAGATAATGACAGAATATCTGCTTTCTAATATGTTTATTTAAAAACTCGGTACTTGTACGCAAATGAAGTGGTGAAAAACGCAAGATTACGACATAAAAAATAACATTAAAAATGATTGGTTAGGTTTATAATGTTGCATTTGCTCAAAATAGATGTTTAACAAATGTTTGAGAATAAAGCTGCCTATATGTGACATTGATATTGCCTGATTAACGTTGGTAACAAAAGGATTATGGTCCAAGAAGCTACTAACAGATCATGGTCAGAATTCCTAAACTCGTATTGCAAATTAAACTATTTTGGTTATTCTTTTTTTGCTATTATGGTTTTTGAGTTTTGGAATGTCAAAAGTAAGCATGAATGTTACCAGTTCTATCCTAATATTAGTCACTACATGATTTTAGTATTTATCTAAGCTTTTCCATATGTAATTAATTTACTATGTTGAAGTCAAAATTCTTTGTGATTGTTCATGTCGTGTCGTTTGATCAAAAGATCTCCAAGATTTATAGAAACCTGCAGAAGTTGCCGGAGTTGGTATTGAGGAGCATGATCCGATGAAAATCAACATTTGGTGCTGAATAGAGAGATAAAGTCTTGAGAAAGTAAAAACGAGAGTAGAATTCTCTGACTATCTCTGTTTTGCAATAGAGCAGCACCACGATGAACAACTTTGACAGATTTTGACATCCATATATCCATTAAGATTTCTTCTTCGTGCTACCTGCCAGTCCCTTGTCTCCAACTGTTTAGTTGTTTATAATATTAAGATCATTAAATCACTTTGTTTATAGTTAGAATAAAGAAATAACGTCAAACTTTCAATATTGCTAACAAATGGTAAAAATTTCATGCAGAAATTGACTGTCCCCCCCACCCCCCTGATGTAGCAGAAAACCAAGTCAAGTGCGGCTGGCTACGTCTCCTGCATGTCCACTTGGTCCCTCCATTATACATTTTAGTATGGTTTTCCAAGGAGACACGTTTTTTCCCTATTTTTCTCATGGGTCTGAAAGGTCAACCTTGGAAACACAATCCTCCGGGTTTACTAAAGATATGACAACGTTTTTAGTGTGGTAGCTTAAATTATATTACTCTAGTCATTGGCCCTACGTTGGAATTAAGCAGAGTGTGAGGTTGTACCAGCTTGGAGAAAACTTCGATCAAGTTTTATAGGTGAAATTCATGAAGATTTTTTATTAAAAATGATTAAATAAAAATTAAAATCAAAAATTAAAATTGATAAATTGAAAGGTTGTTACATAGATTAAATGTGTAAAATTTTAAAAAAAATTTAATAAATTTTGATATATATTTTTAGATAAATATTTTTAGTAAACATATTAACAAAATTTTTAATATTAAATAAATATTAATCAAATTTGAATTATAAATAATATTTTTAATAATTTTTTTACATATTATTAATTTTTACATTGAATTCAATCAATTTATCGATTTATATTTTCTATTAAAATTTTTATTAAATTATTTTTAAAAAATAATTTCACAAATTTCATTTATAAAACTTCACGTAAGTTTTGTCCAGTGAGCAAAAGAAGGAAAAAAATTGCGTCCATTCTCTTTATAAATTAACCTGCTTATTGGTTGAACAGCAATAGATTTATATAACAATTAATCCGTCAATTTCTAACAATTAGGTTTCAGAATGCAAAATGGTCTAACCTGAAAACAACAACTCCAGAGATCTTTGATTCCAAGATATTGCCCTTGAAAATATCTTAGTTATATCTACTCACCGTCTACCTGGCCCAATTGAGATATTTCAATTCTCAGCATAAGTGCTGAAATTTCTTTGGGAGTAAACACAAACAAGTTTTGTTTTGAATATATGTCACGGCAGCCACCGCCTTAAACGACCAGACAACAGCTTAATATTACCGTCAGCAAGCTGGGCACACCAGCTTGGAAGACTGAGATACGGTGATCATGGTGTCCCAAAATTCATGGTTTTTATGTTATTGGCCGCAGGTCGTTCTCGCTTACGGGTATTGCTAGGAATGAACGCTCAGCTTAAGACCGTTCAAAGCCAAACTGTGAAAGCAATGGAATTAATTAGAAGTGATGCAACTTCTAAATTTCTAAGTTCAGTTCAAACCTCCAACAATGCTGTCCATTGTTTGGCAATTAAGATGTGACAAGAATTCATGTAGGAATTTGTCAAGACTATTGTACTTGTCTTCATTTGTGGTTAAAATCTGAGGCACCCCTGTCTGCCATGGGTACTATAAAGTACATTTTAAAAGTGGTTGGCAGGGCAAGGCAACATGTCTGTATTTTTGAGCTAGAAATCACAAACCAATCTGATGGTCTGATGTTTTCAGCAGCCAATATCAGGTCTCTTCAAGTTCTAACCTATCCAGTCTCGAGAAATGGCAATATCGAAAAGTTTATTTATTTGCCAACCAAGATTAAATTTATTTACGTATTGCGATAACACTATATATAGTTTCTGACAACTTTTTGCCAAAAAAAAAAAGTGTTCGCCACTCTTCAAAATTTCATTTTAAATTCATGTTTAATTAACTTTAACACCACTGGTATGATAAATTTTTTTATTTCACGACTAGAATCGTCACGTTTCAAAATGGCATCTTAGATACGGAAACCCAACATGGTACAATGATTCCCTTGGCCGATGTGATGAAACTTATCTATGTTGTCGGTACCCTGGTAAGTATCAAAGTCTGGTAGGACGATAGGATGGTGATCGTTTGATAGCAAGTAAACTGATTTGAAGTCTTCTTAGAATCCAAATCCTGCTTACCCAATATTTCAGGCCTCAGATCAAATCATAAAAAATTCAAGTTTTTCTTAACCATGCACCCAGAAACTGCAGCATACTATGATCTTAGCAGTTTTCTCTAAAAATAAATCCTTGACGGATGATGTTATTAGAGTTTTTCTAACCATGATTGCTGTGGGGGACGATAAGTTTCAGCCGCGGAGTTTATCTCCCCTAACCCAGAAAAATGACAAACACATAAAGACCGTAAGACGCCAACATGCTTGTATCATGCTATAATTTACATTATCGGATTACACCCTTTTTTTCCTTTTATTTTTGATTAGGAGGATAGAACGCAAGGGCGACTGAAAATACATGTCAAATTGCAAAAACTTATTTCCAAGAAAATCAAATGAAGGCTGTTACTAAGATGCTCAAATTTGGTCACAGAGAGTTAATCAACCTGCTCATGCTTTACTAGTATGCTTTCACAACACCAAAATATATGGCCTCTGCTGTTCACTGAATGTACTGATATTCACTTAATGTATGGTTGCAATCCAAGCATGTGAAACATCTGAATTTAGTTACAAGTGAATAACATATGTTCATTGAATTCATTATTTTCAGGCTTTACCCATTTGTCGTCCCTCACCTAAAATGTTTGACTCATGGTAGGGTCGTCAGCACTTTATAAAGTCATCAATTGATTGATCAAAGAAAAAATATTTTATGAATTTATGTTTTTTTGCATAAGGCAAGTTGTCGCTTAGAGATAGAAAAAGAGGAATTTTTCTCTAAATATTGGAATCTGGAACCAGAAATTAAGTGTTTGAATATAATTTTCTCAAATATATAGCATCCCTTTTTTATTAATGTCAAAAAGTGGCTATTGGATAACATGTCTCAGTCAAGCAACAAAATGGCATTTTCGTTTCTGCAAGAAGATCAATGAATTAATCTATTATTCTAATTCATTCACGCCTTGCTAAAATGATATTAACATTCAAGAAATTAATGTTATCGTTGGAATCATTGTCCATGTGTGAACTTGATAACCAAAGAAATGGGTTATCAAGAGATTCGATCGCCGATGATGTTGAAACAGAGGTACAAAAATTCAAAGAAGAATTTCAAGAGTAGAAGCATGAGAAAGCTTAATGTCAAACACTGATTTTTAGCTTTTATACTTAGCAACAGAATATAAGCAACCGTTGATGTTATTGTCAAAAAATAAAAATAAAAAATGTTATCACCTGTATTCCACAAAGATGAATTCACATCTTGCAAAATCCAAGCATTATGGGGTTTATTGTCATTTGCTAAAATGCTGAATCATATTAGAAACAGATTATTAGAAGCATTCAAAAGGTGTCATTATGGTACTCGTAACCTTCCAACAATGGAAGGTGATAAGAATATTTAAGCAATCTTGATGCGTTTGCCTACAATTTTTTAATCACATGAGCTGATACAAAAGGCATGCCTGGTGAGAAAATAAAACGCCAATTATTGATGGAGTATCAGGCTTGCTTAAATTAACAGGCAAAATTTTGTTGGTTCGTATCACGACAGATCTGTTATTGTCTTATTGCCGTCTATTTGCTGATGATCGACACTTTCCATCAGCCCAGTGATCTACCACATTAGGAAATATAAATAGAATAATTGTTGCTGACAATGGTCATTGGACCACCAGTAATCGAAACATGAAGAAGTCGACCATAACAAAGAAACTTTCTAGCTCAACAAAGAGTAGGCCAGAGCTTAGGAGTCTCTAGCTTATGTAAAATCCTCAAAGCCCATTAATCATTGTAGCATGAGAAATCTTTCCAACCCAATTAAGCCCAAAGTATTGCTTATTGAACTTCAGTCTGTTTAGTACCCTTTATTTACAAATTGGCCTTGTTAGTACATTTTGTGCTCTTAGAGAAATCATTGAACCATTGGGTCTGTTTGGTCCATTTATGTTGCATTTAGGGAAATCATTAAACATTGGGTTTGTGGGGGTTCATTTCCTAAGTAGCGGAAAAATGAGTCTTACAAAAAAAAAAAAAAAGGGTTAAAAAACTTACCTGTTAACGCAGTTTTATCAGTTAGCAGCATATGCCTCTTGGTCTCAAGGATTTTGCAATTTCTAAGACTTATTCTCATCATATGTAGCACAATGTCCTTCAGAAAATGAATTAATTTATGGTACGAAATAATAATGTAACAGGTCAAGTTAATCAGAACTCTATTCGTTCGGTAATTGCTTGGCGACGGTATGCAGAAAACGTACGAGGGACTTTTTGGCACTCATTACCGCTGCTCCTACTTTTGCCTTGTCTTCCTCCACAGTCACGATTTGACTTTGTTCTTGAACCATTTGCACTTTTCGAACAAGTTTACGCAATTCCTGTCAAAGCAACACCAACCTGATAGATGAACATGAAAGCAAAAGCAAAAATGCACAATAATTATAAATTTAAGAGAACTAACTGTAAAAGAGAAATATAAAGTTTTCATGTTGGCCAATCAAACGATTGAAAGTTAAAGAATTTAGATGAAATGAATTATGCCTAACTAGCTCCAAGTGCACGTGCTGATCAAAACTGTGTTCTGTTCTCACTTGAATTTTCTTTCAACATTGGGTTTTGATGGCTTTCTTCTAGTTTCTTTGTCATTCAAAGAAAAATCTATATCAACTAACATATTCTTCACTTAAAGAACTTTTGGGAACAAATAAGAAACATTTAACTTGGAATCAAATCGACAACATGACATTTAGCTTACCTGACGATCAAAATCAACACTGTTAACTGAATATACTTCATTTGTAATTTCAATGTCCTTACTGATTAACCCATCAAACCATCTATTTGCAATGTTGACAAACTCCTGTGACCTCTGCATGGAAAAAGCTCAAATAGTAAGACAAATACAACATGTAATCAGCTTAAGCTCCCTCATTACAAGTCTTCAAATCAGAAGGTGTAATTCAAACTTAAATTACACTATGCTCAAATTGATCATCATCATCATCATCATCATCTTCTTCTTCTTCTTCCAGGATTTGTGTCTTTGAACCAGCTAAAGCCTGCAGTGTTTGCTGGTCACCTATTTTTGTAGCCTGAATCAAAGTATCCATCAATTCGGGTTCCACTTCCCGCAGCAGTTTCCCTAACACACAATTCATTCAGTGTCTAAAAAGTAAGCTCACGTAACATAAGCTTAAAGGTTTAATCACCAAATCATAAGGGAACTACTACAGTGACAAAATAGAGATTGTGAAAGGTTGCCCGGACTTGAGGGTGAATGTCAGATACGAGTAAGTATACAACAAGGATATATGCAACTTTTTCTAAGTTTTCCTATATATTTGGAGGGTCATACCCCCATACCCATACTCATAGGTTATGAGTTAGACATCTATACTTCAAGGAAAATGAAGCATTGAAGCAACGTAGAAAGTAAATCAATTTGGGCAAATATAGTTCTTTTCTTACCAATATAATTGAACTGCCTTCGTTTTCCCTCTTTAACATCAGGCCCTAGTCTCTGCAACCAAAAGGCAAACACCTTGCCTTCAAGAACATATTTTGCAACGAAAGACTAAGACACTCAAAATATAATACAACAAAAGGTCAAAACATAAAAACTTTGACTTTGCCAAATACCTTAACTAACATTAAAGCATCGAACACATCTTGTTCGAGAGAAGCCAATCTAAAACATACACAGCAAAAATTAAACAAATAAAACTGTTAGCTTTCAATGTATAAAATTTCAAAAGTTTAAACACATGTCAGTAATAAAGATGTGTTTTTTGGGTTGCACTATACCTGAGGATTCGTTTGATTTGAGGGGTGGAGAAGGAAGCAAGGTCCATGCCCCAACGGACGGCCCGTCGAGCCTCGCGCTTCTTCTGGTTGCGGCTCTTCTTTACATCGGATTCCGAGTCGCTGGTCTCCCCTTCTTGAACATCAGATGGAGATGGAGCATTAGGTAATCTGACTCCGCGTGGGCGGTGACCGGCGTTTCCACGAAAGGTAGTTGAAGTGGCAAAAAAGAAACAATGTGAGAGAGTTTCAGTAGATAATGTTGGTAATGGAGGGTAAAGGAAACGGTCCAGTGTTGTTCGTGAACAGCAGCGTTGGTGCTGCTGCAATTGCGGCCATTGCCTTAGAGGCCGTATCAGCCGTGCCATGCTCTGTTCAACCAACGTTCTGCTTTGAAACGCACGAGCTCCGGTGACACTAATAGTAGCCAGCGTTTTGAACGCTCTAGCGTTTCAAGACACAAGCCGCCTGATGGTGAGAACGCTAAGTGGTAAATCATTGAACTTGTGACACGTGTTCTCCACTATCACTCTTCTAAAAAATTAAACGAAAAAACATCTGGGTTTATTTGCTGTTGGCCCAAACTTAAGCATAGGCTTATCAGCCTTAGTGTATTTTATTCGCTGGACGGTAGAGGTAGTGTCTCATGGTCGAAGAAGAGGAGAGTAATGAATTTTAAATTGATTGTGTATTAAAATTAATATTGAAATATAAGAGTTTATATTTTTTTAATTGATGAGATAAAATCGTGAAATCAATGGATCAAAATAATAATATCTCATAAATTAATATAAATTATGACATTTGATATCAGAATTAATTTTAAAGATACTAATGATGTCTCACAGGAAATGGTATATTTTTGTTAGAGTAGGAGAAAATGTTACGGTCTTAAAAGAATCATGAATTTTATATCGATTATGTATTAAAATTGATATTGAAATATAAAAGTTCACACTCTTCAATTTTTAAGTGAGATAAAATCGTAAGTTTAACGGATCAAAATGAATATTTCTCATAAATTAGTGTGGATCATGACATTGGGCTTGGGCTTTAAACATAGTGGATCATATCGAAACCAATGCCCGCACATGGGTCTCAGGCCGCCATTGCACATGAGCCCCTTACATTCGCTTTCCATCACGTAATTTGATTGAAATATGAAAGAGTGAGATTTTGGTCACTTTAGATGATGACCAGAAGTGTAAACTAAGGTTACACATGATTAGAAAAGCAATATTACAAGAATAGTGGAAAGGATTTATCTCCTTTGAATTTGCACTATACAACCAGTCTGTCTTGAGGTAAGAATTTATGAGTTGAGCTGATAATTCAACTTCTACATCAAAGAAGTTGAAAATAAGATGGTCCAAAGTAGTGCAGGAGCTGGGAGGAAATGACTGAATGGAAAAATGCCCTGTAGATATATAATGCAGCCAAGATCAGTAGACTTAAACGTTCCATTGTTCTGCTTTCTTCAATTGTCTCTTGTATTCAATCCAATCAATACCTGGAACAAGTAAAAGTCAGGAGACCAAATCATGGTTTCGCAAACGCTGGAACCAGATCTGCTCGTCATAAAAATTACTATCTTTGGCAGCCAAAGAAGTCAAGATGTCATCGATTCCCTTTTCCATTCCCTTGAGCCCGCACATATAAACATAGGTGTTATCTTTCTTGAGCAATTCCCATAGCTCATCAGCATACTGAGCCATTCGGGTTTGAATATACGTCTTCTCACTTGGTCATTTGTTTGTTCTCTACTCACGGCATAATCCACCCTGAAGTTATCTGGTGCCTTCTCCTTCATCTTCTCAAATTCCCGAGTCGAAAGCATGAACGGATAAAACTTCTAATCCTATATATTCCAGACAGAGAAAGAATAAATGAATATGTAAAGGTTAAGAAAGCTTGTCTCCTTGTAGAGGAGTGAGCTACTGGTGGGAACACCCAAGAAGAGCCAAGCCAACCCATTAAACTGCATTTCATGCCAATAACAGGTCAAGTACTTAATCATAACTTGCTAATCTGTTTTGTAAGCTTTAGATGTTAAACCTACATTGTAGTCATCATGCTTTTCAAAAAACATCTTCCATAAGAATGAACGGAAAGGAGCAATTCCAGTTCCAGTTGCAAGCTGCAACAAGGAAACCAAACATAAATATGTTAAAAAGTCCTTAGCTATATGATACTCTAGAAAGAGCTTATAAGGAAAAGCTACCATTATGATGGTGGCGTTTGGATCTATTGGCATAAGCATCTCTTTCCCAACAGTTCCTGTGATCTTCACTTCAGTACCAGGCTTCAAGTCACCTAAATGGGGCAATGAAAAATGCTAAATGATAATAAAACTATTTCGCGGCCAATGCTCTGCTGCTAAAATGACAATGCCTGTTGCAGGTGATTATGTTTAACATAAGAAAATTTTCCCTAGGGTCGATAAGCTCCATAACAAAAGTATCAACTTGAAATTTGGAAAACATTACAATGATTGTCATGAAGATCGTTACTTAGATTTCTCCCCTATATGATCTCTTGTATATTTTATTCAAGATAACAGTATTGAATGTGCTGCAAGCATGATCAAAGTGAGGGTTTCCTTAGAATTATTACCCTGGTGTACTTTCAGTATTGCTAGCGGAGGAAACTGAAAAAACAATAAACTTCAAAATCCTAACAGAGGAAATTTGAGCAAACTCCTTTCACTCTCTCTCCTTGTTCATTGGTGTATACAAGCCTTTTGACACACAAGGAAACCTGCAATTACAAGCTCATCAGGACCACATTAGATATCATTCTTAATAAAGAGACAAAAACCTTAGAAAACCATAGCATCCACAATAAAAAAAATTGATCCTAAAAGAAATATTTGAAGGAATCAGATCATTACAGTTTGAGAATTGCCAAAGTCTCCCAAAGCACTGCTAGCGATAGAGTACAATCTACGTTTGTGGGTTTTCCGTTCTTGTCAATACCGTCAGGAATGACACCAATGGATCGTCCTTCTCTGTAAGGTACTTCCCCTGTGCCACCCAACATCAAATGATCAAATGCACAAAGCTAACTCAAAGGCCACCGCACATTGAAAATATTTGCTTTCAAATATTAAAACAATTAGCTCCTAAGTTGTTAAAAGCTCACCTTCGGTACTAAAAACCATGTGCCAAGTCTCCCCTGGGGCATCATCTCCAGTAATTCTGGTGTTGAGAAGGCACTTTCCAATGTAAGGATCCTTTGGCTTGAACTTCTTAACAACACCCTCGTCATCTTTCTTGGAAACTTTTGCTACTTTTGCAGGAGCTTCTGTAGTGACCTGAGCTCTAATTGAAACCACATTTCCACCAACGCTGACATTCCTGGCGTACAAGAAACTCTGAAGAAGAACCAGCCGACATAAGTACCAGAACAAATAAGTCAATGCAAATATGCTCTCTTCTTAAGGAAATCATACATACCTTGTTGAAGTTGATTCTTTCAGGGATTGTGATTGAATTTTTTAATGACAAAGAAGATGACTTGGAAGATGGGAGAGATACTGCTGCATTGACTGTCATTGCCATTGTTTTCTGGCACAAAAAAGGAATCAAATAGGCCTCTAAGCAAAATTGAGGCCTTGAAATTGGAGGAAGAACTTAAGTGAAGTAGAACCAAGAAGAAAAACACGACAAAAAAAAAAGGTTAAAAAGAGAGATGAAAAGACAATAACCTGGGAGAGGATTACGGATTAAGTGGATAAGAGAGGTGGACAAATTCAGTGGCAGTGAGTATTTATGGTTGGAAAGCATTTCAGTTCAGATTCTTGGGAGATAAGTTTGTGGTGAAGTTAAAAGGATATAAATCAGACATTTGTACTTGCGACCTATTCGATTTTGACATTATTATTAACGAGTGAAATTCAAATAATTCAAATTAAAGAGTAAATTGAATTTAAATATTTTTAATATCTTATTGATAATTTATGATTTTACTTTCAATAGACATTTAAAAGCCTAAATTAGCTCGAATATAAATAATTAAAATTAAATTTTTATTAAATAAACTAGTTTAATCAAGTAAGATTAAAAAATTCCCCAACCCTATTAATTAGAATCGGCTATCCCTCCATGAATCTGGTATTGAAAGAACTTAATTGTTATCCGTTTGACTTTGCTTGATTTCTAGTTTAACATCTTTGAAACCCCAATTCATGTCCCCAATCTAGTCCGAGTGGGATCTATGCAACTTAGGCTCAAAATTTAACTATAATGTACAGATGGAGACTGGGATTTCAGTAGTCTAGTACTATTCAACACCAAAATTTCCGGCATTGTATGTGTGTATATATATATATAAATGAAACTGAAACCATAAAACTAAAAGAAACAGAACACTAAAAGCATAGCACAAAAATCAAACTTTTGTAAACTCAGGCTATAAAAAAGTCGCCTGTTTTAGTTCAAATATTTTTTATATTTACAAACAGAATTAGCAGAAATCAGTAATTCCCAGAAAGCCGAAAGGCCCAAAACAATGAAAATTAGGGGACAAAATTTCCTCTAATCACCCTGTATTTCTAAGTATATCCCTGAACTTAATAAATTTTTATCCTAAGCGTTACCAACATTGATCAGTTTCCCAGGTTCGCCTCGTATAACCAGAAAACCCAGAAGACATCGAACTAGCCATCGATGATGCGGATTCTGACATGGAAAATGACCGCCTTAGCCTGAACAACAACGTTCGATCATAATCGGCGCGTTTCTCAGGATCAGACAGCGTGGAGTAAGCTTCATGAACTTTGATGAAGTCTAGTGATGCCGTGGCGTTATTTTGACCGTTAGCCGAGACATCAGGGTGTAAAACTCGCGCCAATCTCCGGTAAGCAGCCTTGATTTCCTGACACGTGGCGTCCATCTGAATCCCCAATACCTCGTACAGTGAAGATGGAGAAGCAAAGTGGGAAATCGTTCTCTCAGCGGTGGATGTACAAGCAGCGGAGATACGTAGTGGTCGGAACCGGACAAGTGTCGGCATGGAACTGGGTTCCTTGATTGAAACTTTGGGGCCCATGAAATGAGCGAAGGAAGGGCTAAAAGAAGCCACGGTAGAAGATGCTGAAGCCATTTTCTGATGCGTTGATCGTTTGTTGTTTGCTTTGAGTTGAGTTGAGTTGGGGAAGTAGCCAAATGGGTAAGGGTCTTTATAGATTTGGCCAACCAGGGTTAGCTCGATTGGGCTAACGCATTCCTAAGAAGCTTATCCATTTGGACATTTCGGATTGCTGACTCAGAGAACCGTCGGCGTTTCAGAATCTTTTACGGCATTTAGAAATTTCAACCCACGATCACTATTTGTCAAGCTGGATAGACCATTACTTTTTGGGACTTCGTGGATTAACTTTAAAAAGTACACTGTCTTTTTAGTAATTCCTCCTAGCTCAAATTTGTTAATGTTTAACTTAAGATTAAAATATTTAGATAGTATTTTATTTTTAGAATATAATTATTTTTTTTTATTTTTTAAAAAAGCAAAAAATATGAATAAAAATGTATTTAGTAATTAAAAATGAAAATAAATTTTTTAAAATAAAATGAAATTAAATATAAATATAAAAAAAAATGTTTCAAATTGTAAAATGAAAGATCTACGTTACTTTGTTTCTTATGTTTTACAAGTTATCATATTTAAAATACTTTTTAATGTTGTTAATTAATAAATATATATTATATTTATAATTATATACTATTAATAGTAATATTATTGAATATTTTATTTTTTTCTTTATTTTTGCATTTTTAGAGAATAATTTTTATTTTTGTTTATCAAATACATTTTTCAAAAAACAAAAAATAAAATATGAAAATTATTTTCTAACAAAATAAAAACAAAAACTATTTTCTTAAACCAAACAAAGCTTGGTTTGATTTGCTGATAACCCATGAGGCAAAATTTTAAAATTTTAAATTCAAAATTTAGTTCAATTTATTTATATAATTATTTTTAAAAAAATTACTTTTAATAAATTTAAATTTTAAATATGAATATTTGTAAATTTTTTATTCTTAAATTATATATTTTTATACAAAAAAAAAATAATTCAAATGAAGCTCAAGAGGATTCTTTTGAATAAGATTAGAATTCAAGAGCTTTCTATTGTAACGACATTCCATAAGAAAATGAAATTTATTGAAGTTTTGAATGTGAAATTGTTATATCCTAATTAATAGTAATTAATTAAACAAAGTTGGTTAGCAATTTTTTAATTTGTTTGAAAGGGATCTTGCAAGACTTAAAACTACAATAAGAACGACAACGTTGTCTTAAGCTCTCAGCTTATGACAATTTTATTTTTAACTGAAAACATGATAGTTTACGACTTAACATTATATGTATTTATCTGTGAAAATTCTTTCCCTTCCTAGGTTTAATAATTTTTAATCTAATATATTTCAAATAATAGAATAAAGTTTAAAAATTAGCATCAACTTTTCAAATAGCTGATGTAACGGTGAAAAAATTGAGTAACCGAAATCTTTTATTATTTAAAATTATTACAATTAAATATCTAATATTTTATTCACAAATTATATTATTGTTGAATTCGAAACTTCTTTGTGATGAATGAAAATGAAATCTTATGAAAAGGCAAATGCATGAAGCCGACACATATAAAGTCAAATCATATTTTCTACTATAAACGCGTTGAGGATACTTCTGTAAGTTCGCGAATAGACAAAAAGAGTACTAAAACCCTAGCCAATTGGCACCAGTTGGCCAACCTTAGCCGGTGTGACATGAAATTAAACTGACACTAAATGGATATGAAGCCGTATGGCGTGTGGGGTTAACAGGGATGAATTCGGAAAGGTGAATCGTGTGAATTATCATCATCCACTTGAAGCCACAGCTATATCTAATCTATAATCTATCTACTTGGTGTTTTACAAGTGGATAGTCGGGCAAGATGTCCGTGTAACGTTCGTGTTTGGTTCTATTGAGTTATTTTCCCAGATTTGAAGTCCTGACCTGTCTTCGTCGTCCCAGTTTTGACCCTTGAGCATTGCCACACAAATTTGGTAAATTAAAGGCAAAAACCAATTATATTCAAGTAATTTTTGCTCGAACAATGACATGGTTTTTCGTCAAATCATTGCCATGTGAGGAGCATCTGAAGGTTGAGTATAATTCATCAACGTACGGGCACGTGTCGAGATATGAAGCAATGGACGGTTGCCGCCTGCAGGGTCGGATTAAATGTAAATTCAAATATTAAACAATGTTCCAGGTTTTGTAGCAATTTGAATTGAGTTCAGAGAACGGTGTGGTGGCGTGGGAAGACATGTACAAGGAGAATGAACAGAGGAGGCAAGCGGACAATCAGGTGTTATAATAATATAAATGATATATTAATATTCGTAAATTATTTAAATATGATTCGAATAAAATTTAAATTTAATTCGATTTTATTGAATTCGAATTTAGATTTGAATAATTTAATTTATTGATCGAGTCTAATTCAAATATTTTTATATCTGATTCGAATAGTTCATAAATTTAATTAAATTTTTATATTTTAATTGATAAAATATTTCGAATTCAAATTTAAATTTAAGTACAAATAATCAAATTTTTATTAAATATAAAAATTAAACTTATTTTTATATTTTAATTGAGTTGAATTTAGTGAGCTTAATTTTTATTTTGAGTCAAACTTGAACTAAAAATTTAAATTTTATTGAGTTCAAAATTTAAATTTAAAATCGAACTCAAATTTAATATTATATTGACTAAAATTCGATCAATTATATCATTAATTAAACACAATAAATATCCACACGAAGATGTTAGGATTTTATCAAGAGATTATGAGTTTTGCATTATTCTTTGTTTTGGAGGGTTAATTTAGGATCTGGATCTGCTTTTTGAAGTTGGACAAAGCGTTTGCGTAGCCAGAAACAAAAAAGGAGAAAATACTGATTTTCCGCAGAAAATTTGTAGCAAAACACTCCAATTAGCAAACAAATTGAGGCTACTAAGGTTTTAACTGTCTCAGGTCTTAACGATTTCATTGTAAATCGGCTTATAACTCTGGGCCTGTGGTGTGGCCGAACTTTGGGCCATAAGATGCTCCACAATACGTGGAAGAAAGCCCCTAGTTTTTTTACGTCTTTTATATGGAAAACAATAATATGGTCCTATTAGTTTAAGAATGAACCTTGTAATTCTGAAAAATTAATGCCACATGATTAATTTGTGGAGGTGTCTTAGAAAAATTAAAAAAAAAAAGGTATTGTAAATTGAAGTAAAATTTAAATCTTATTTAAAAATACAAAAAAAAACTTATTTACAATGCTTGTTTTGACATTAAATTCATAAACAAATTCCTAATCATATGCTTATGTAAGTAATAGTAAGTTCATATTTGATGTCTAAGAAGTTGACAACCCCAATAGCAAGCTCTCATGTAAATCTCATGAAATTTATTAATATCTTCCTTCCAGAAAAAAGTAGTGGATTTTTTAAGTGTTTAGACAATTCGCTTATCTTCTTCTTCCTTTGTTCCATAAGTAATTTGTTTATCTTCTTCCTTTGATTTGTATATACTTCGAAATACTTTTGGACACAATCACACAAATTTAATAGACTTTTGGGTCAGGGCTGCCGAGCTGCAAGCTGGACCGTAGCATATTTTATGGGTTTGTGGTCATGCCTAAACTAGAAAACTTGGACTAAATTATTTGGCTCATTTCACTCCTATTAAACACAAACAGCCAACTAATTATGCCCGTATTGAGCAATATTTTTGGCCAAACCTTGTTGAATAAAATTAATCGTTAAAAATAAACATTAACGGTATGGTTTAATTACCTTTTGTGTTATTGATAATAAAATTCCCCGAATTTTGATTACTTACATGGTAGCAGTTTTAACGTACATTTATTTATTAATGAAAAAAAAATTAAAATGAACACACACACATTATTAAATCAAATGTTTTGAGTACCATATCGAATTATTTTTAAAATAAATGCATCATCTCATTCTCATGACAAACCTATCCTATTTCATTCGTTTTTTCAATAGTAACCTGATTTTTTTGACATGAATTCAACCTGTACTTGAGTTATATAGGGTTACTCATACCATTAAGTTGGGTCACCCATCATACACTTTTTAAATTCCAGCACTCACCAGCTCATAGTGTGTTCTCTTTCCTATTGGAATTTAGCATTTTACCACCGTTTAAAAGGATATTTAAAAGGAAAAATAAAAAAGAAAAGGGATAGAGAGTGATCTTCATTTGGAGCTGAAAAGATATGTATAGGAATTCAAATTTCAAAAGAATGACACCCTAGTCATCATTTTCCAATGTCCATCATTCTTATATTACCATCTTTCCCGGATTTTTCCCCCCTTTTAACTGTCTATAAATTCTATTGGTTGATGGAATTCATTCCTGCCATAAAACACTTGAAAACCAAACACAAAACACTCTCCTTTTCCAATCTAGCCTAGAGCTGTTGTGTTTGAGTTTTAAGCAATGAACCACATCAGGTTTTTAACACTGTCAAAGCTTTGTCTTTGCATTTCTTTGTTAGTGGTGCTATTAGTTGATGGCGGCAGGTCACAGCTTTTCTATGATTGGACTGTTTCTTACTCTCAACGAGCCCCTCTTGGCGTTGATAAACAGGTTTTTTCCATTGGCTTAAAAATTTTAATTGGACTTTTTATATCAGTTTGATTCTAATCATTACCTAATTTTTGTTGTGACAACAGGTGATAGTGATCAATAATATGTTCCCAGGGCCAGTCTTGAATGCAACAACAAATGACGTTGTGAATATTAATATTCATAACAACTTGACAGATCCTTTTCTCATGACATGGTTAGTTTATAAAATATGGAAAATCAAGACCAAAGTCTTTCAACAATTATCAAAGTACATTTTTTTTTTGGCTTACAAAAATTGATGTCTGGTGAATAGTTAATCTTGGAATGCTGTTTTTCTCATGTGAAAGGAATTATTTGCCATAGGAATGGAATTCAAATGAGAAAGAATTCATGGCAAGATGGAGTGCACGAGACGAATTGCCCTATATCGCCAGGCCAAAACTGGACGTACAGTTTTCAGCTTAAGGATCAGATAGGGAGTTTCTTTTATTTTCCTTCACTTCTTCTTCATAAAGCTGCTGGTGGGTATGGGGCCATTCATGTGAATAATCGCCCTGTTATTCCCATTCCATTCCCACAACCATATAAAGGTTTTGATGTGCTGATTGGTGATTGGTACAATGCCAACTATAAGGTCGGTTAAATGTCTAGACCCCCCTTTTTTCATTGCTGTTTGTATTTTTTGAGAGAGTCGTTGAATTCATGAATTTTTATAGGACTTGAGAGCATCACTGGAAAATGGGATCTCTTTGCCCCAAACTGATGGAATTCTCATCAATGGGCTAGGGCCTAATCAAGCAAGTTTTGAGTTTGAACCAGGTGAAATTACCTTACTGTTTAACTTAAAGAACACTGTTTTTGTTTGGTATTTAAGGCCACTAGGATAACCCTGATCAACTGACACAGAAATTCTGGTGGGACATTCTAATAGTGGCCATATAATACTGAACATTTGATCACTTTAGGAAAGTGGCTATATCATATGACTTTGAGGGGCCGGTTTATTGTACTTAGACCCCAAACCAATAGGACTAAAATTTCTTCACAGGCCCAAATGTTTATTACTAATAAGCCACCCGAAAAGCACTTCCAAGTTCCAAGCTTTTAAAAGTTGTGCAGAGCAGTACAGCATTTATAGGAGATGCCTTGTTTCTTCTCCTTCCAGGAATTTAATGAATTTGGCTTTCTAAGGAGGCACAAAAAGTCACCGAAATTTTGGTTAACTTTGCTGTTTTTATCTTTTACAGCTGCCACATACAGGCTTAGAATTTCAAACGTAGGCTTGAAAACATCCCTGAATTTCAGAATTCAGGACCATTCGATGCTGTTGGTGGAAACTGAAGGTTCTTACTTAGTTCAGCAATACTATGATAGCCTGGATATCCATGTTGGACAATCTTACTCTGTCTTAGTCACAGCAAAGAACCAGACTAATGGCAAGTCTTACTACATGGTTGCGAGTTCTCGCTTTACAAGTTTCGAACAATTTGGCATTGGTATTATTTGTTATCCAGATTCTGTGGGAGACCCTCTTGGTTCTTTTCCCGGAGGACCGTACTTATCTGATTACAATTTCTCTCTACAGCAGGCTCGTTCAATGAGGTACATCTTATATGCTTTGTTCCCAATTTTGGTCACAAAACTGGCCAAATTATTGTTTCTGATATATATTTTTGTCAATAGGTGGAATTTAACAGCAGCAGCTGCTAGACCAAATCCACAAGGCTCCTACCACTATGGCAGCATCAATATCTCTGGCACGCTTATTCTTGAGAACAATGTGAATTTCATTGAAGGAAAGCGGAGATTTACAATAAATGGAATCTCATTCTTGCACCCAGATACACCATCAAAGCTCCTAGACTACTTCCAGCTCAATGATACATTCAAGACTGATGTCATTCATGACAGACCAACTGCTACTCTTCCTTCTTTGGGCACTTCCGTCATCAATTTCCAATACCATGATTTCTACCATATTGTCTTTCAGAACCCTCTGCCAGAAATGCAAACATGGCACATTGATGGCTATAACTTTTTTGTTGTTGGGTAAATTTGCTCAATCTTTTCCAAATTCATTGTGGTACTAAGTCATCTGTCTAATGAAACTGCTACAATTATATTTGCAGAATGGATTGGGGAGTGTGGGATGAAAGCAAGACAGCAGGATATAACATGATTGATGCTGTATCTAGATCAACAATTCAGGTTTTGACAACTGACAAAAATTGAGTTGAACTATGTTTCACAAATTTGTACATGTTCTTAATTGATGTATCTTAATTATAAACGAGCAGGTTTATCCATCCTCATGGACAGCAATATTGATCGAAGTGGACAACCAGGGTATGTGGAATCTGAGGTCACAGGATGCAGAGAAATGGTATCTTGGGCAAGAACTGTACCTAAGAGTTAAAGGTGTAGGAAAGGATAACCAATCAATCATTTCTCCAAGGGATGAAGCTCCAATGCCTGAGAATGCTATCAAATGTGGAAGAGCTGCTGGCCTATGAAATTTTCTAGATGTTCGTAGTCCAGAATTCGTTGAAGAACTAGAAGGATACCCTCATTGTTCATTTTTTTATACAAAAAAATCCCGAGCAATTCGTAAGGTTTAACTTGCTTTTAGGTGTTAAGAACTATATATTCCCCCTCCCCAGTAATTCCTATTATCACATTTTTGTAAAAACGCCAATTAGAATTGGACACATTCCTTTTATTGAAAGAAATAAAGTTTGTTGATGTTTTGGTTAGGTATTAAAATAAACATTAGCTGTTATTTTACTTCTTTGATTGGTTAAAACTTTAAAGCCTAAGCTAGTTTTAATATTTGCGGTTTAGTCTTATCCCACACCGCCTAGCGGGACAAACAAGGAGTTGAAATCTCCTATAGAGCAGACGCGCGAAAAGTGAGAGAGTCATGATCCTTCAGGCAGTAAACGGGATATGATGAGTGGTCGTTACTCGCAAACGCTGCGAGATGGGTGTCCGCTCCAACGCCTGGTTACGACATCTGGACACTCTCCTCTTTACCACCTGATCCCAATCTTGAAGGACAATTAATTACAATCAGTTCAAGTTTTGGTTTTTATACTTTTTTTTATTAGGGGAAAAGCTCAGAAATCCTCAAAGCATTGCGGATATTAGAGTTCAAAGATGCTAATTTATGAGCATGTAAGAAAGGATTTTAAATTAAATTTACTCATCACATATAAACATGGAATAGAATTAGATACATTAACGTCTATCGAATAGATCATTATGGGTTTGTTGTTCATCGCTCTGCCACGAATTTCTAAACAAGAAACCCAAAGTAAACCATTGAAGTAGAGAAACCTTGACAGCACCTCGAAAGCAAGTGTTCTACCCTGAAACCCTATAACCAAAAGGAGTGCTATCCACTGAGCCCCATAAGGCTGATTGAAAGTAGAAAATGGCTGATTAAACCCGGAGTAAGGTTGGTCTATGGTAGAATATGGCTGACTAAAGCCTGACAGAGGCTGGTTAATTCTCTGTTGTGAATGGTTAGGCTCTGGTTGTTGTTGGTAACCCAGTTGAGATTGCTGCCAGTTCACACTATTTGACATAAGCGTCTAATACTCTTTTGGGTGGAAACCTTCTGCATGGTTCAAGCATGTATCAAGCTATGTGCCAAAACCACCCATCTCTAGCCAAGAAACTCAGACAATTCTAACATCATTTCAATAAAATTACCACCAAATATATTGAAGGTACTATATATACACTCTAGAATAAATCTCACGGTATAACATACAGTAGAATGAGAAGAACGAGATGTAGAGATGTGAAATGAATCTTAAGAATTAGACAAAAGGGCTAGGGTGAAATTTTTTAACGTAACTCTCAAATTGCAAGATCTAAACCATCCATGACATCCAATATATTTGTTTGAGGATGCTTCAAAATCTTTCTTGCCTTAAAACTGCTATCAGGAGAGTTGCCAGCACTCCTACTTAATGCCCAAACCTTGATCCTTTTGTTTTTTCCTAAAGGAAATTCCTGACTTTTGCTAATTCCTGGAACCAGTCTCCTTGCAGTCACCTTGTTCAATAAGTTTCTGTCTACTTGAGAAAGTTCGATCCTGTGGGCTTTTGTACCACCATTCAAGGATAGAAATCGCTGCATCTTAGAGTGAAATGCGGAACCTTTATAAGTAGGAGATCGAACTGGCTGAGGCTTGAAGCCATGATCTCTTTGTTTTACTAAGCTGATCAAATTATGAAGCCATGCCACCAGTTCAAGGATGTATGCATCTGCCTTCTGCTTATCTGCATGATAAAGTGTCTGAAGGCGGGTGAGAGTAATATTTTTGGCTGCACTTCTTCCAAATTCATTGCTGTCAGACAAGAACAAACACCGGGAAACCCCATTGTTATGATGTAACACCAAAATAATTCATTAACATTTGGATTGACTTGCATGTGACTATGTGCAAAGAGATGCAGAGAAGCCTTGACTAACCCATTGTTTGCCCATTCTCCAACCCATCCAAAACCTTGATGTGCTCTGTTGCAGATTGCAGCAAAAGGTAAACAAAGAAACAAAATAACTTAGTGATGACATCAATGAGACAAAAGAATCTATTGGTTTAATTTTAGATAAAAATTTAGGCAAGTGTTGTCAAATAAATCAGCAAAGCTGGAAAAGTTAAATCTAATCTAGTTTAACCTACTTAGTTGTGTTTGAGGCTACTGGAACAAGCCACTGTAGTGTCTTTTCCATCTCATCCTTGACCTGTGAAATTGAGCGCTGCTGAAAAGCAAACAATTAAGTGATAATGTTAATCAGGGGAACAAACACATAAAAACAAACAACCCTCAGTCAAAATGGAGCAGAAAAAGAAAAACGATGAATTCAAGAAATGAAAATCGAACTCTATTTGAGTATGGATCACAAATAAACTATTATAGAAAAAAAATACCTCTTCTTTGGTGTCAATAGACTGTAATTGGGACCTTAAACCTTTCTTAACCGTGGGTGGCAATCCATGGTATAATGTGTCCCTGATATTAGGTGGAAGGGAGGCTGGGCGAGCTGCCTATAACATATAAATTCAGTTTAATCAATCTGGGAGGCCTAGACTGCTAGTGGAAATAAGGGAAACATGAAATGACAAAATAAAAAAGATGAAAAGAAGGATATACACTTACAATGTTGTCGATCTGATGAATTACATTAGCATAGTGCAATGCAAGACCAGCAACACCTAGATTTTGAGGAATTTCAGTAGTCTCCTTTTTAACTGATGCTGAGTCTGCCATGAGTAGAAAATTATATTGATAAGATATAGTAAAACATCAAATAACAAACATGATGTTCTCCACAATAATAACTCAATAGGAGTTGAATCTATATGATTACCTCCAAAAGCTTCAAATATTGCTTGATGCATATAAGTAACAATATCAACAAGCTTCACCATGATCTGCAATGAAACAAAATTACAATCATGAAAGGTTGCATAATGGTTGACACTGGCAACACAAACATTTGTTGCATTTGCAGAAGCCGAAACTGAATGTTGTCAATAATAATTTCCATGAGTAAATTAGATTCCGTACTATTTCAGACAATTGACAGTGTTGATAATCATAAAAATCAGCCATCACTAACATTGAAAAAAGTAGTATAGAATGAAGTGTACAAGGAAAAGAATACTCCTTTGAAATGATAAAAGGTTTATAGACAACAGATTGAAGTGAATATTTAAGGGTTCCACTGAGAACACCTCTGAGAGTATCAGTTCAGCAATTATAACAAGCAGCTCGTAGTTATGTACCTCTTCCAAAGTCCTAGACCAAAGAGATTTCTTTTTCAAACTCCTTACAAGCTTTCTTTGTTGTTTTAGCTCACTTTGTAAAATCATGATATTCTCTCCTACAATTCAAAACAATTAGCTGTTAATAGAATAGCTGCAGTCCAGGTTAGCAGTTCTCTAGCTAATATCTGAAACACAGAAATAATAATTAGGAATCAACAACTAGAAGCTGTTAATAAGTGAAATTCAAGCACAGCAAGTTTTGTCCAGGGTTAAATTGAGTGAATGCAGAAAAAATTAGTAACACCATCTTGAAAATAAGAAGAAAAAGGAGCACCAGAGCAGATCACGGGCTTTAGTGCCTAGAATGAACAATTAATGAGAGACCCTTAATATTGAAACAAATAATATTCATTCTGAAGTTATCTTATTTAAGGCATTTCGGATTGGTAATTTTCATTTTGATGCAATGGTATATCAACCAAAATATATGACGTAAGGATGGTGTAAAAACGTTGCTACATAATAAAAATGGATCAAATTTCTGCACACATAAAGGAAGGCTCTGGAAAGAGAAACGAATCGTCCATGGCTAACCTCTTTTAGGGAGATTTAAGGACTCTAGTTCTTCCAGCTTTCGCCCATAATCTTGATCAAATCTGTCCAGAGCATTCAATTCGTGGTACAATTCCTACACATGTAAAGATACGTTAGATTCTTGAAGTAGAACATGCAGACTAAGAAATTTTCAAGACCAAAACAAATATACAGCTATAAATCATTCACATAGATGGACAACTCAGATGTTACAGCTTTAACATAACACCATTGAAGACAAGTTAAAAGTGCAGGATAAATTTTCAAAGGTATCATACAAGCTTCTTAAAAATGAGATACTTAAGATTCCATTTAAGTGGCAAAGCTTTAATTGAAACAAGATAGTTAAATGTTCTTTCTGGTAGAATATACTATTGCATTCCACACAATTCACTAAAAAAAAGCATCCAAAAAAGCTAACGTATGAAGTATGAACAACACATCAGATAGAGGGGCAAGCTCACAATTTAAAGATGATAAACTTACAGAGGTATGCTGAGCGAGAGTAGTTAGTTCTTGCATTGTCATTTCTGCGTCAGCTCTAGTTTGTTTATGAAATGAATTCTCTATATCTAGTCTGAAAGATCGTGACATAGCAAGAGATATATTTCTCCATCAGCAAACATCAGCAATGTAAGCTGAAAGTAATGCTACCAAAAAATCTACCTTACTTTGAAAAGTATCGGCCAAGGTTGTGCCATTGTGGATCTTTACATAGATCTCCAAACCTAATTACTTCACGTGAAAAAATATCCAATTCATCCCTAGAAATGCCAAACGATAGACTGTTATATTAAGAGATTAAAGCACAAGAACGAACACATCATCCCCTGCATAGAGAACACTTCAAAGCACAGAGAAAAAGCAACTATTTTCTCTAACAAGTAACCTACCTCTTGTCAGCTGCAGCAATACTTAGTAACTCTGTCATGTTTGTAGAAACTAGCTTTTGTACTCCTTCTGAATGTAGGACATCCTTTTTTAGGAATTGGATGTTTTCTTTTGAAAGTGACTGCAATAAATTTGCTCCTTTAGCTATGGTATTAGCCACTTCGAAGGCCAAGATAGATATTCTATTCCCTCTAGAAGCCAGGCCAGCACCAAAGCCACTTCCAGCATTCAAATTTGACATGCTACTTCCAAGTGTATCTAGAACGTCAACTGCCCTTTCGAGGCCTATAATGCCAGCTCTTCCTAGAAATGTGCTCTTCTGAGAAAACTATAAAAAGGAAAAATAAATAAACATGAGTTAAGAAATTGCACAGTTGAAATCAACTTCACTACATAAACAGAATTATAAACATAACATTTTACTTCTTCCCATTATTCTTCACAAAAAAATGGCATTCTCAGAGATAAAAGTCGAATATGAAATGAAACTTTAATTGAGATGATAATCCAATAGGCCACCCAAAACTTCAATTCTAGCTGATATGATTTCTGTTCTGTGGATGGACATGAATTTGGATTCGGTGTCATCAACGTTGTTTCTTTAAACGGTTTCTTTGTCCCTTAACTGCTCTTAATCAAAATATATATCAGCGCAATGCCACTTGATCTTGAGTTCAAATTTCTATGTGCTTCGACCTTGGAAGCTCTTTACAACTACAAACAATATGGTTAAAGCAAGCAATACCTTCGAAGCTACTGTCCTGGCAGGTGTTGATGGCTTCAATTCCCGGGAAAATTGCAATAAAAAGTCACCAGAATCGTGCCTTTGCCGCGCTTTGTCAAAACCATCGCCACTGGTATGGGAACGTGAACTAGAATTTCCATTTTGCTTATCAAAGCTCTTTTTAGACTTGAGCTTCCCTGAAAATCCTGTTGCAGGCTTTTGTTCAAGCTTTATATTCCGCTCTTTTGTTCCACCAGAGCAAACACCTCCCATTATTCTTCCAAGACTTGAAATTTTATCTCAAACAATACCCCAATTTTATATATACCTAACAAAGAATTTAACTGGAAAATGGAAAAAAGCAAAAGCAAACCAGAGTTAGCCCAGACTCTGTTTGGTAAGTAGTAAAATATATGAACCCAAAAAAAAAAAAAAAAGAAAACTCTGCAATCAAAGAGTTTCCATATAAAAGCTTGATAAAAAGTTAAAAAAAAAAAAGAAATCAATATTTAGAATTATCTGCAAGTACTGAAAAAAGGGGAAGTTTTCATGATTTCATCTGTTCGGATTCTTTGGTTTTTACCAACGAAACGTCAAAAATCAATAAAAAAAAAAAAAACGTTTCCTAGTGTATGATTATACAATCAGAAGCTGATATAAAAATCAAGAACAAACCTGCTAAAGAGAGACGCTGAATTCAGGGTATGAACTACAGAAGAACAAAAAGAAAAAAGCAAAGAAATATCTTGTACAGTAAGAAGAAGAAAAAATGGACTGAGTCAGGTTTTGTTACAGTAAAGGAGGCCCGAAATGAAAGGGAAAGAAGAATATAATTTGGAAATAAAAAGCTGCATTGACCAAGCTCTAAAGAAAGAAAGAAGGCTAGAGTTTTTCCGTATGATTGAAATCACGCGTAATTTAATTTGAAGGCGAAGGGATGGAAATGTCGTGGGATTTTTTAGGAGATTTGTTTGACTGAGATTTTTTTTTTTATTTTTCGGAAAATATACCAAATAAGACGAACAGATATTATTACGACTTTTCTCACTCTTTCTCGTCCGGTGATAATGCTTCAGTAAGAAACATGCAATATTCGAAAAGAAGGAGCCGAAGACATTCATGTCCCGCCCGCCGTATGACCGTGTCTGAGTTTTTCTGCCTGTTTTGCCCCTCTCCCTGATAAATAAATAAATAAATAAATAAAATCCAAAATAATATACTTCGTTTATTTTTTTTTCCTTTTGAAATTAAAAAAAAAATAATTTCGATTTTATGATTATTAAAGTGCAATTTTAGCAAGCAAATTGAGGGTAAAGGATAAATCTCAGACATAATCTTTATATTGAATAATAAAAATTAAAAGAGATTCTTTTTTTATCCATGTCAATACTTTTATTTTATTTTTTAAAATTTTTATAAAATAAAAGATTGAAAGTATTTTCCATGGGATATAAGATGCATGACACTAAAAAAGCTTCAATAGTGATATTATTTATAAAATATTAAATTTTTTAAATTTAATTATTGATTATTTTAAATAAAAAATGTAAAATTTAAAATAATAAAATAAAGGAGTCAAAATAAAAGTTGAAAGGCAAAACTGGCGATGCCAGGGACCAAGTCATAGGGCTATCAATTTTGAAGTTTGCTGAGCCATCAGCGTGGCTTAAATTAAGCTTCAAAACATTAGTATATTATCTTCTGTAACTTTCAAGCTTTTATTTTTCCTTTGCTTTTCAAATTAAATGTATCCAAAAGATCATTTGACTACGCATTTTTTTTTAAAGCTAAATAAAAGAAAAAAAACATGTGTTAAAAATGTCAACACGATGAAGATGGTTGGATCAATCAAAGGGAAGCGTTGAGTTTGGGGAGAATTTTGTAGTTGAAGATTCTAAATGGGAAAATGTCATAATTTGCTGCTGCTAACTGGTGGACAGCTTACCCACAAATTAAGTAGAAAAATATTTATTGGATTCTTTTTTTTCTTTTTCTTTTTTTTGAATTTTACCCATAAAATCAGCTTGGACGATTCAACTTGAATGGCATGTGACGAAGCTTCAGTTGTTCTCTACTTGTTTTGATGACGTAGGCTATTAACTCTTTTAAGTCTCAAAGTCTTAACTACCAAATGGTCGGCTTTTTTTATTTCCAATGGTTAGAGAGTGGAATTATCATTGAAAAGTAAATCACACGATTGTTAATTTTTTCTATATTAAAATAAAAGGATATCAAACTTAAATAATAAAAAGATTTGCAAGTATTAAACATCAAATTTCAAATTACAAAATTTATCTCTTAATAAAAATAGATAAATCATCTAATTATGCTTTTAGTTCAATTTCTTTTTTTTTTTTTTTGAACCAAAGATGCCGCAATAGAATAAATGTTAGGGGTACGAATTTGCAATTAGACATGGGCCTATAAGTAAAGTAAAAAGAGTGATGAGGCTGGACTAAGGGCCTGAAGAACAGGTCTAATGGCACATGTTCTGGTCCAATGTTGTTAGGGACAGTGTTCTGGTTCAAACCATTTTTGTCCTGGATCTTCTCTTCTTCTTTTTCTCCATTCAATTTCAAATAGCCGTCCTTCATTCTCATCTCTCTCTTCAATCAAATAGTATACAATCAAAGAGTTTCAAAGCGGTTCTTCATTTTTCTGATGTCTAAAATTGGGTCTCTTTCATTTTTTATAAACAACTTTTTATTTTAGTGCACCAAACATATTTTTTAAAATTTAAAAATAAAAATAGAAAACAACAATAAAAAAAACTATGTAAAACAACAATCAAAGGTTTACATCCTTGGAAGGAAAGGAAACCATCAGAAACATTGGATCGATGCATCAGACAGACACTTTGAGGTGTCTCAGACGACTGTCGTGAGAAATTTTAATCCAGTCTCATCATATGATTTCTCTTTAACTTTCCCTTATTTTTTCAAACTAAAAAAAAAAAAAATTAGAAATCCGCAAAAGAAGAAGAGCTAATGAAAAACCAGTTGAGAAATCAGAGAACGCGAAGGAATAAATTTTTTGCAGCCGTCGTGATGCCTTCCGTATCCAACAATTATATAGATTCCTGACTCTAGGGTTTTTGGTTCAAATGGCTTCCGTTGGTTTTGGGCTTTTTTTTTGGGGCTGGATCATCAGAGTGTTAAGGCCAAGAAATTTTGACCCAGTACGCCACATTGATAAAGGTTGCCAAGCACGGCCCATCATCTTGAATTCTTGATGAACTCACATGTTACAGCTTACCATTAACGGATTCACTGGGCACTCCCTCTTTTTCCTTGTCGGTCACCCAGTAGACCGCCGGCGAGAAATTCGGAAGCCGGTCGCCACAAAATCGTCGGCTTATAGCAGTTTCTAATCAAAATTCTCCAGAATTGATCTCTGTGAGAGTTAAAGAGCCAGGCATGGCTTTCGATGGATTCCCTCCTTTCATTTCAGCTCAGCTCCATTACCTCATCAATCACTTCCCTGACAAAATCAAGGTAATTCCATCTAACACTGCACCCCATCTTCCTTTTCTTTCTCAATTTCTCTTTTAAGTTTTAATTATTAGATATTTCCATCAAATTTCTCATTTCAATCAACAACATTACTTTGATTCCGAACTAGGGTTCCATTTTAATAATAACAAAATTTTCAATTTTCCCTTATAATTTTTGTTTTGCAGGTTGAGCAAGTGTTGTCTGGTGGCAAATCCTACACCGGGGGGCTCGATCGGTTTACATTGCTGATTCCATATTGCTTAGACCATATCAAATGTCAGTGAGATTTTTAATTGACACTGGCAAGATTTGTTAGTAAATTGTTTTCGCTTTATTGGGTGATCTTTTATAGATAATTTGTTTACATTGATTCAGGGGATGTTATATACAATGCGGAGTTTCCATTGGCTCCGCCAGATATTATATTTGGACGGGAAGATGAGGACTTTCACCCATTACCCATGGCTGGCGGTGAAGGAGAGGGGGACTTGAAGTCAAGGACTAAGAACATTTTGTCTGATTGGAAGAATAAAGACCCGACAAGGCTATTAGCCTTAATTCTGGAATTGAGGTTAGGCTTGGTGTTTACTGACAGTTGCTATTGTAATGGAAATCAAAATTTATCATGGTTGTGGGAAAACAGCAAAGAATTTATGGTTTTTTTTTTTCTTTTTTTTTAAATAGGGATCAATATATGTCCTACCAGAGGGACCGTGTTGGAGAAGTGGATGATGATAGGTTGAAATTTGAGATTAATACTATTTGTTCACGAGAGGTAATCTTTTGGCATATAGACTTGGTTTCTGGTGGAAAACGATGTGAAAATCCTGCTCTGTGTTGTTTTGTTAGCCTGACTTGCAGTTCTTTTATTAATATTCTTTGTGGTTAAGAGTAATGAATGAGAAGATCATGTGCAAATAGCTTAGAGACATTTCTTTTTTACTACCTTTTTCTCAATGCTTGTAGGTTCCATCTCAGGAAGCTTGTCATTGAATATTGACCATTGTCATTACGTATGTTAACCATAATATACATGTCTTTATCCTCCACTTTCAATTTTTTGTGCATGTCTATTCTAATATTAACGAACTGAATGGTAAAATTTTGGCCATCATATAATTGCACATTGAACTCTTTAGTATCTTTAGTCATTATCAATTCATTGATGCCAATGCGCAAAATTTTTAAGCTTAATCATCTGAATCTATTCCTTGTTTTTTCCATGTAGTATTAATTTAGTTTACTGTTTGCGACTGTTGATGCTCTTCATTTTTGTATAGCATTTGCATTTATAAACTGAACTAATTGATGATTAGTGCATTAACTCCTCTCTCTTCTCCAACTTAACTGTGCTGCAGGGAATTGAAATGCATATTAGTTCAGGTTCTGAAAAGGTATTCCTTTAATGGAGTATGGTCGTTATAAGTAGATTGTTAGTGTGCTTAAAAGCATAATTGGTTTTTAATTAAATCCATGGTCTATATATGCCTTTGAATTTTAGCGTAGCCAGAAGAGGTCAAATTTGCTGTGCCTCTAATGGATATGAACATAAACAAAATGGTTCTTGGGTGCCCCTGGAGACATCCACAAAAGATATACCTACAGGTGCTGTTTTCCTTCTTTCCCCTCTCATTTATGTGTAGTTTAGTTCTTAAAAGTAACTTGTTTGTCATTGAATTGTTATTCAAATTCTTTCTTCCCTTATGTCCTCCATTTCTCTAATACCTCTAATAAGTTTGTAATTTTGCAGATAATATATCCTGTTGGAAGAAAGTATGCATCTACTCCTTCGGCACCTCGATTGAAATTGATGTCAACTTCTGAGCTGAGAGCTCTGTTTTCTATTGATGATGTTAAGCTTCCTTCATGGTTGGATGGAATGTGAGTTATGCACGTAATTCTGCCTTCATGTGTTGCATATCTTAAAAGTTACACAGTTTGTGCTGATAAATCTCTGTTGGTTTTTACAATCTCATTTGAAGGTGCATGGCTGAATATCTTCCTCACCTAGAAGAATCTCTTGAGAAACAGGTAAGTTTCTTTTCTATCATCTATAGTTTACTCTTAGTTGGTATATTGAGCTTTTAATAATAGGAGTGCTCTTTAATGTTCTTTCTCTCCAGGTCCTGGAAGCTGTTTCATTAATTGACATAAGAAGACGCTTTATAGAAGCATTAGCCCCATTGTTTGGAAGACCTCTGGAGGCTGATCCGGTGTGCATTAATCTTGCCATTTATCTATATATTTGAAGCTTTAGAACCTTTAACATAGATTGTTACTTTGTCACTGCTTTCCTTGGCAGGTCTTTTGCAGAAAGGCCACGTTTCTTGCTTCTTCTGGATCCTTTGTATTCCTGGTACCATTAGATAATCACTGATTATACCTTTTTTCTTTTTTGGTGGTTTTAATATTTAGACCTAATAGGGAACTATTCCAGTTTAGCATGAATGAAATTCCAGATCCTTCAGGAAATTTTTGTTATGTGATGATTGCATTTGATTTTAGTGCATGTATCTACCTTTGGATACCTATATTCTTTTTTTACTTGTTTTTAACTCAATTCGTCCTTTATCATAACTTTGATGGTACTGTTACTGTAGGCACACTTTCTTATGTCAACTCAGTTTCCTAAGCAGCAGCCAACTCTGATGCTCCAAAGTTCTCAGGTAATGTTATTTCCTTTTCGAGATATGTGAAGTACACAGGCTCTTGAGTACAATGTTGAGAACCCATTTTAAGACAGATTGATAGAAGGTTTTGGAATGTATGTCAATGTGAAAACGGTAATTATTATACTTAAATGGATGATATTACTCACTGAGGTTGAGGATCAACTCACTCTTATGGTTCTGTGCGGTATCAGTTCCCCCTCTGGCTGTGAAATTTCCAACTAGGCTTCTTCTACTAGATAGAGAACCATCTCTTTTCTACTACTGGCTGATTAAATGGTTCTTTTACAAATTTGCTAATCAAATTGGTTGTCATTGTTGTGTGTTGCAGCATATATCACCACAAGGATTTCCAAAAAAGTCACCTTTTCTAACAGAATATCCATGGAGTCCAAGATGGGATGTATCACAAATGGCCGAGCGGATATTGTGAGTATTGTTAGTGTCTTTTGTAGTTCTCAATCAGTTCCCTGTGTGTTTTACTAATGCGAAATTATTTATTTCCTCAGCGATTTCTTGGTGGAAGAGTCTCTGAACTTCAAACGATTCTGTAACGAGTCTCAACCTCAACACTAGTACGATACGAGGATGCTAAAGTTCCATACGGGTTATGCTTTACTCATCCAAGTTGTGTAAAATTGCCTAATGGAACATTTGGTAGTTTTCTTTTGTATAATTCTGAAAATGGTGCCGTTATGGGTCGTGGTGTTTCTTTTTTGGCCAAATGGGCTGTGGTGTTAATGCTAATTTCGCCCATTTATACCCAAAGAAAAGTTTCATGTTTCAGTTTCCGATGCCTATTATGCTTGTAGAACTTTGGTGTTAGCAAAATGATATCAATGAGCAAAACCATCGAAGCGAATTGGATGTCAGATGGAGTTTTGATCTTGGGTTTTCAACGTTGTCTTATTGGAAGAGATTCTGATCAAGTCAACGTGGACAAAGAATTCGAATTTCGAAGGCTCTGGGCTCAACTTATGGGGTATTTCCTAATTGGGCCATGAACCAAAACTGTTTAGCCCGGCCCACCTTTTTCAATCTACCACCAAGTACCCAACTCTGGATCCGTTCCTCCCTGCCTATGTTTGTAGTTTTCCTCTTATTTCTAAATGGCTGAACAATTTGAGCCGGGATCAATTCTTAAATGTAAATACTATACCTTTAGTGGAGTTTATGTAAATAACTAGAAAAGTCCAAGACAACGAAGAAAATGAAGACAAACTCATAGAAGATAAACCATACCCTTGGGAAGATTGTTCAGATCATAAAGCAGCATAATTATCGATAATAAACGAAGACAAACTCATAGAGAATTATTGAGAATATTATTAATATATTGCCATAGTTTAAAGTGGTACAAACATCAACAAGCGATGCACAAATAACCAAAACACGATAGCCTGGTTTCTACATTTAAGGAGCTCTCCACGTGGCCGGTTATCTTGAAATTTATATTTTTGACACCATTAAACTCAATAAAAGCAGGCAGCTCAGTTATCTTGATCTTGCGTTTGGATGTCATTGCTTTATTTGAGGGAAAAGGAACGAGCAAGTAATCTTAAGATGGCGTATCAGCGACTAGCAACAAATCACTGCTGCAAATATTGCCCAAAGGAACAGGAAGTTTCAGCCTCTTGTGCGAACGAGGGACTTCAAAACTCTCTTTAATCCATGAGTACTTTGATCTTTCGTCATCATCTAACCTCCACAACTCAACAGCGGAAGCACTGTTGTCGTTAGGGCAATAATCTTTGCATCATAATAAAGCCAGACGGTCTCCAACCCTAGTCAGATGTGGTTCCATGGATATTCCCGTAGGGAGTGAAATCATCTGAAACTTTTCACTTCCAACATCGAACCGCACTAGGGATTCTACACCTGGGGCACTCATTCCTAGCCAATATATAAAACCATTGATGGAAACACACTGGGTTTTGAAAGGATGAGGATAAGGAGTAACATGGGCAATGTTCTTCCAATAAATTACAGTACTATACTTCTTTTTTTTTCTCATCATCGCCCCTTGAAGGAGTATATACAGTATAAATTTCACATTCTAGATCATAAAATTTCATGCCTGTTTGTTGGGTTCCCATGATATGTAACACTTTGAATACATTGGTAGAAGGATCAAACCCAAATCCATAAGCAGAATAAGACTTGTAAAAAACAGTGTCGACAGATTCATACCCCCTAGTAAATTCCAAGCTTTTTGGTATAGGTTGAACGCTCCTTGTAGCCGGATTACAGACGAATAAACTACAGCCATTGAAAAAACAAAACTGGCCCTTAACAGACTCTGTTACATGACAATGACAAGGCTTATTAGGACCCTTGTTGCAACCAGGTAGAGTTAGATGATGAACCCCAGAACCACCATACAGGCCTACAGAGAAAAAGTAGTTCTTCGACCCATCAAGGTTGGAGAAAGAAACCAACATGCGGCTGCTGTCAGGTCGAGCCAGAGAGCAAGAAAAGTGCTTGTCGACATGAGATGGATCCTCTAAGATGGAGTCCCATCGTTTACAGACTGGTAGGCATTCAAAAAGAGACCTAACAGGAAGTCTAGTAAGTACATCCTCGCTTACTTCTTTAGGAACTGAGAAAGCTTCGAAGTTTAAGCTCTCTTTGGCTGTGATTGCCTTCACCTCCGCCGCTTTTCTGCCTTTGTTTATGCTTTAGCTTTTCTTTCCCATGCCCTAGCTTCACTTCCTCTGATAATTCTAGGGCTTTGAAAGAGGAGATGTGGGTGAGAGACTGGCTAGGGTAAACCTTTTACAGCATTATAGATTTCTTGTTGATCAAGAATGTAGAGGGTTAAGTCTTGAAATTTTTTTTTTTTTTTATCTATAAGATGTTTTAGTTGGAGTAAATTAGCTAGTTTGGCTAGCATACTAAAATGTTATATTCTTATTGATTAAAATAATATTTAAAATATTAATATAAAATACTTTTTACTGATATTTTAAATATTAAATATCACAAAATGGATTTTTATGAATAAGCAAGGATTTTGTTGTGTCAACCAAATTGAAATTGTGTCTAATGCGAATCATGAATACCTTAAATTTTCGCTTGATAGAAAATATATTGGGCTCATAAATGAGTAATTTAACCCATTATTAGGCAATAATTTGACCCGTTTTCCCAGAAAATTGGACCAACAAAGCATTCGACCGGCCCAAAATTTCCAAAAAGCGCCACGAAACCCAATCAATATCTCATTCAACACGTGGTAATTGCCCGCCCTCCAACTAATCAAAGTGGTAACTGCACCGTTATCATACAATTCGCGGGAGGGTAGAACATCATAACAGAATTCCGAAATATACGGATACAGCCAATTAAAGTTAAAACCCAAATTGGGGAAATGGCGCCTCACTCTCTCAACGTGCTCACCGTTTCACTCCTTTGGATGGGCCATAGGCGGTTTTGGTGTCCGTCCACACACTCTCGCGTTGTCAATTGTCCTATTCATGACAGACATTCCTTCAAAAATATCATTCCACTCTATATTATTAGTATTCCCTTCTTCACCCTTTCCCTCAACAAATCCCTCCGCTTCCTCCCCTTTCCCCTCCCAAACAAAAGAAAGGGGAAAAACTCCTGATTCTCTCTGTGTTTGCATTTTCGTTTTCAACGAAACAACCATGAGAGAAATCCTTCATGTTCAGGGAGGCCAATGCGGGAACCAAATCGGATCCAAGTTTTGGGAAGTTATCTGTGACGAGCACGGCGTGGATCCTACGGGAAGGTACAACGGAGATGGATCGTCCCATAACCAACTGGAGCGGATCAATGTGTATTACAATGAGGCTTCCGGTGGAAGGTACGTTCCTCGTGCGGTTCTCATGGATCTTGAACCCGGTACTATGGATAGTATCAGATCGGGTCCCTACGGCCAGATCTTTAGGCCTGATAATTTCGTGTTTGGACAATCCGGTGCCGGTAACAACTGGGCCAAAGGCCATTACACTGAAGGAGCCGAGTTGATTGATGCTGTTCTTGATGTTGTTCGTAAAGAGGTTGAGAATTGTGATTGCTTGCAAGGTATACATATTATTCCCCTGCTTTACATCTCCATGGTAATCGAAATTTAGCTTTAGATATGGCCAAATCTATGTGGATTTAAATCATATATTTTTAATGGCATTTGACTTGATCCTTTCTAACATAATTAATTACTCTGCTCTTTTCTTTTGCAATTCTTATCCATTTGAGTTGCCATATCACTTTCATGATAACGATATAGAACAGCTTTTGCTGTTGATCTTTTAATTTCCTGGGGATGACCAAATCAAGAAGAAATGATCTCATTTTACCTATCCAAGTAAACTGTAAAGAATAATAAGATGTTGAATTATTTGATTGATAATAATTCACTGTGAAAATGATATGGAAGCACTGCTTCGTTCTTCAATCATCTACTTTACCTTTAGTTGGCTAATGGTTATTGCTTTTTTTTCTTTTCATGTTATGATTGTTATTGCCCAACTGCATGTCGTTTTGTCCTTATTGGACAATTATTTTACTACAGTATTTTCATTGCAAAAATTAACATAAATTTAGATCATAGGGCACTTCAACTTTTTAATGCATTTGCCATCTGGTGGAGCCTTGGGGGCCGTTAACAGCTTATCATCATACGAATGCTGTCTTTACATTATTATGGTTTGACCAAATTTTAATTTCTGAATCTTGAGGAAAATGAAAGATCTCTAAATGAAATTATCCAAAAAAAAGATATCTAAATGAGCATGGAGAATCATAAGTAACATGCATAAATGCATAACCATGTGACTAGTGTGTTCTAGTTTAAAATAATAACAATCACATGGTAAATTATAACATCGGCATGGGTGTCTGCTCTTGTTTTATCCAAGTTTTGAAGAATAGTAAGTATAAAACCATTGAAAAAAGGAAGACAGAAAAAAACTTGCCTCTGGATCCAGATCTATCTGGAAAGGACAATTTCCAAGCTTTGTTGCTGATGTTATTATATTAACACTATGTAATAGATGACTATAAGGGTGGATTATTGAAGTAAATCACATTAAACCTGAATAGGTGGGCTGATACGTTTGGTGTTATAATGTTGTGTGCAATGAAGAATAATGGCTTACTCCATTCTTTTAAATATCCCTTTCAATAGATTGTTGGTGGCTTGGATGTACTGAAAACTTTTCCATTGGGATTCTGAGTGATTAAGTTATTTTACATTAAATGTTTGGAGTAGTTTTAATGTTCTAAGTATGTAACTCACTGGTTCAGTGCCTCAGAAAATGTAAATCATACAGTTGGATCTTGCACAAGTTGATATAAATTCCTTTTTTTTATTATTTTATTTAATACCTTGTTTGATTCCTCTATTGAGTATAATCTTATCTATTTAGTGAATTCTTTTACATCTAGGGAAGGGTTAGTTCGAAAAAGTCTTGTGTTGAATTCTTAGCATTTAGCAATATTGAAATCTTATTGGCTAGTAAATAATGGCAATTTTGCTTTTTCAATTGGCTGAAGAAGCTCACTTGTTTATGCTACTTCTGGACCAGGCTTCCAGGTATGCCATTCGCTTGGAGGGGGCACAGGCTCTGGCATGGGAACTCTCTTGATATCAAAAGTCAGAGAGGAATATCCAGACAGGATGATGATGACATTCTCTGTTTTCCCTTCACCTAAAGTCTCTGACACAGTTGTGGAGCCTTATAATGCCACCCTCTCTGTGCACCAGTTGGTAGAGAATGCTGATGAATGCATGGTTCTTGACAATGAGGCACTTTATGATATTTGCTTCCGGACTCTAAAGCTAACTACTCCAAGCTGTGAGTGCTAAAATATTTATCTTGATGGATGGTTTGCTATAGCATGAAACAATTTAAAATGTCCAAGCTAACTCTACACCTTTAATTTGCAGTTGGAGACCTGAACCACTTGATTTCTGCAACTATGAGTGGTGTAACATGCTGCCTAAGGTTCCCCGGACAGTTAAACTCTGACCTCCGGAAGTTGGCTGTGAACCTGATTCCATTCCCACGTCTTCACTTCTTTATGGTTGGGTTTGCACCACTCACATCCCATGGTTCCCAGCAGTACATTTCTCTCACTGTCCCGGAGCTGACTCAGCAGATGTGGGATGCCAAGAACATGATGTGTGCTGCTGACCCTCGCCATGGTCGCTACCTGACAGCTTCAGCTATGTTCCGGGGCAAGATGAGCACCAAAGAGGTTGATGAACAGATGATCAGTGTCCAGAACAAGAATTCATCGTACTTCGTGGAGTGGATTCCCAATAATGTAAAGTCCAGTGTTTGTGATATTCCACCAAAGGGTCTGAGAATATCATCTACTTTTGTTGGGAACTCGACATCTATTCAGGAGATGTTTAGGAGGGTAAGTGAACAATTCACAGCAATGTTCCGTCGCAAAGCCTTTTTGCATTGGTATACTGGTGAGGGGATGGATGAGATGGAGTTCACAGAAGCAGAGAGCAACATGAATGACTTGGTGGCGGAGTATCAGCAATACCAGGATGCAACTGTCGAGGATGAGGGTGAGTACGAGGAGGAGGGTCCGGAGGAGAACTAAGATACCTAAAATGTGGGCAATTTCCATAGAACCAGAATGAGGTTTGAAAATAGCAACCTTTACCTGCTTATGTCTTACCGTGTGGCTATTGGTGTTTTTTTAATTTTTCTGCTTTGTTCTTGTATTTCCCAAGATGATGTTGGGTGCTTTTTTTCGGACATTCAAATAAATAAATGATCAGTTTTACTTGCAGCACCGGATAATAAGCAGGGAGACTTGGTACCAAATGACAATCAGCTAAAACTTTTGCATTGTTCTTTTCATTCATGCTCAAACTTAAAAAAAAAAAAAAACAAAAGATAGATTAGTTTAAGGTATGCATTTAACAAAAAATAATGATGTCAGTCTGATTTGCAAAAATCAGTTTGAATTTGTACTTTTGGTTTTTGGCTACATTATCTTATCAGTTCATTTTTTCCCAAATTCGACAAAAAAGTGTTTTGAAGTTTTGATATTTGAAGTTTTGATATTGCAACTCGCAAATTTTTTAACTTCATGGGTCAAAAATGAATCCTCCAGGCAGGCTACAGGTGCCCATTTGATATGTTTCTGACTTCTGACGGACTTATCAGCGGGCTTTGGCCCAAGCCCCTCCCTTCCGCCTTCGGTAATCTACATAATATATTTCTGACTTGCTGAAAAGAGAAAACAGTTGATAGTCGGAAACAGCTATCGGTTTAAGGAGAGACGTACAACATGATGCCAGAGTCCGGACACTGTAGGAAAAGGCTTAACTTAACCAGGGCTAAACCCTGCAGCAGAAATAAGCTTTCCTCTCTCAAGTGGATTGATATTTAGCAATAATTACTTATCTTTTTCTTGAACCCACGCTCTTTAAAGATCTGCCGCCAACACGATCCAATCAGAGAGTTTATGGCTTGTACTCGTACCCTCCTAAATGGATGAGGGCCCGTGACGATATGGGAGGATTGAAATGGTATCGGCTTTTCGACTTTCCTCTCTGCTTTTACAGAAATGTGCAGTTCCAAGTTGCAGGTTCTTGACGATTCCTTCTACTTGGAAAAAGTAGTTTTTGCTTTTTGCTTTTATCTTTTATCTTTTTTTCGTGCATTACTTTAAGCTTTCACAGTAAAATAACTTGGGGTTGCTTGGGGGATACGGTTGCTAAATTGTCTGAATTTTACAGTTTTACTTTAACATGTTAAAACTCATTTAAACCAACTAATAATGAGGTAAAACTTAGGCGAATTTTGAGAGTACCCTTAGGCGATAAACCATACCATTCTTCAAAAGGTAAAAGAAAAGTTGAATTAAAAGCAAAGAACCTTTTGGGTAGTTACAGGTAGCAGAGAGCAGTAAAAGTATATATAGATTGATAGCAGCCAACAGTTCGATTCAGGCAGGCAATTTTGGAAAAGTAGTTGGAGCCCTGCTAAACCCAATGATGAAAATGAGAACTGTGTATTATCTGTACAAGTCCAGACTAGGGATCTTCGTTTTGGACATTGTTTTGTTATGTCCAATTATGAGCTGTCCACTTGGTGCTAGAGCTGGAGCCTGGAGGTTTGGGCTCTAGTCCAAAACTCTTCCTAGGAAACAAGTTTTGATTATATCCATCTCTTCTTTTGGAGAGCTAGATTGTCTAACCGATTAAAATTCGTCATAGCTAAAAATGCAAAATGTGCTGCCGCATAGGCTTGGCACTTTGAGACCATGCCGACTTTTTTGCCTTTATTAGAATCATTATTTTGAAGAGACAAAGTAGAAAACAATATCAAAAACAAAAACAAAAGGATCACTTTAACTCCTAGTTTCCTTAAATTTACAGTCCTACGAATCAAGTGGTCATGTGCCAACAATCTATTCTCAGATCATGCTAAACAAAAACCCAAAGCAAAACATGGGTGGAGGAATAAAAAATGCCCATGAAACTGTCTCAAAGTCAGTTACCTCACCTGGATTGTATACATATCAAAAATGGGTCTCAGGAGCCTAATTCAATCAGATTGGTTCCATACTTCTATTCAAGTCCCATCTCTCTCGCTGTCGGCGCGTGCTGCAGATATAGCTAATCCCACGTTCCTTAAATCACTATCGGCACACCTCTCCTTTTCCCATTTTAGATTCTCTCGCGTCCCCTTTGGGCTTTCGCTTTTTACATCCAAAGCTAAAAGATTGCTCAATAAGTTTAAAATCTTCCAGTGAATAATCATTGAAGATACTCACGGATTTATGAATATTATACCAAATCCGCTAAGTCCTCTTATAAAACCATTCTAGTTTACAATTTTGATACGAAAATTCCGCGATAAAAAAAGAAAAAAGGCAAAATCATCTAAAAGGGTAACGAGCTTTACACGCAGCATTGTAATTCTTGGACCTGCAAATTTGCATCCTTTTTAACCTTGCTTGAGCAGCTTTAGCCTTAGTTGCGGTCTCCCGATCAATCATTTTTAAAGAGCTAAATCCGAGAACTTCCTCCTCTGCAGAAACGTTCAGATCAGGAAGACCAAGTGGGCCCACGCTATCATGAACCTTGCTTAATCCTCCAGTGTTTGATGGTAACCAGGAGATCATTTGACCAAATGGATATCGAGAATTCTTGTTCATTCCTGATTTACAAACCGTCGGATCCATGATGAACGGTTGTTGATAAACCCTGGTAGAAATCCGCTGTTGTTGATGATGATAATCTTGACTAGTAGTAGTATTTTCAGTCTCCATTGAAAATATATGGGTCAATTGTACCTCAAGATTCAAGCCTTTACTTGTTTCGAAACGTGGCTCTTCTGGCTGACTGAACTGTTAAAAATGAAAAATAGGAATAAATAATATATACTTAGTTGTAAGTTAGAAAAATCACGACCCCACCTCATTAAAAAAAGCAAACTGAAAAAGAGTCAGGAGATGAGACGATTTATTAAAAAAAAAAGTACCTTCTGTTTCTTTGCTTTCAACTCCAAGTTCTCAGTTTTCTGCTGATCGAGAAACCGCCTCTTATTCTCTATATCCTGTTTGAATTCCGCATATTAAAGATGAAGATTGGATTAAAGACCAAGTAAAAAATGAAGAAAATGTGATAATATCCAAGAAAAGGACAAATTTATTAATGTAAAAAAGAGAGAGAAAAGAAAAGAAAAGAAAACTCACCTTTTTCAGTAATTCATTGCTTCGAGTAAAATCCTCCACCATATCTAGCAATTGTTCTTTCTTCTGTTTGATTGTTATGAAAAACCCAGAAAGACATGAATCAGTAAATAGAGGACAAAGGGTGAAGAGAAAGAAAAAGAACACAAAAAACGAAAAAGCAAGAAACTTGTTAAAGCCAAACCAAAAAAAAGAAAAAGAAAAAAATGTCTCATATACGTACCCTTTTAAGACTATTAATAGAGGTTTTTTCTTGGAAGGAAGAGGCTTCTCATCAGATTCACTTGGAGAGAAGGATAGAGGGGTAGCAGGACTTGAAGTCAAGGCCTTTTCTATTGGTGCCTCAGTCTCATAGGTAGAGCCAAAGATGTTAGAAGGAAGTGAAGGTGGTGGAGACGGTGATAGTTTCAGAGCAGGCAAAGATATGGCAGCGACCTCTTCTTTTGAAGCAGTAGATCTATTCTTCTTGGCACCCCATGTGAAAGAAAAGCGAGGGCGTGACTCAGATTCGAAGATTAGATGGGGTAGCTTTAACATGATATTGGCGACCTCAATCTCTTCCTCTGTGACAGTTCTATCCAAGCTCTGTTCCATTGTCACACAGAATCTCTCTTCCTCTGATAATTAAAGAAGAAAGAAAAGCGGCAAAAAAAAAGATAGCTCTGTTATTAAATCGCTCTAAATCTTCTTCATGGAAGAAAATGAGTCGAAGAATTGAAACAGAGAAAGAGAGAAGAAGAGATTGAGTTGCTTGAAGAAGGGGATTCAGATTATAAGAAAAATAAATAAGAAATCCAGGGCGATGGTTTGGGTTATTGACACGTGTCATACAAGGCGGGGTTGAGGTTGGTCTAGGGTTTTGGGTCTTTTTTGCTATTTGATGAGTTTGATACTTGAGTCTGTTGTATGAGACTTGAGTTTAAGAGCATATTATGCTTTGAGTTGCCTAAGGAAACAGTGACTTTGGAAACTAGTCCACGCTCTGTTAAGGAGCGTGTTTCTTAAACGCCCTATTATTGGTAATTTTGGAAAATGGAGAGACCACAAGAACAGCCATGGGCCAATTATTTAATAGCTTTAATATCTGCTCTATGGCTCTGTCCCTGAAAAATGCTGTCCACGAGCAACTATAAGCTACCTAATCTTTCATAATAGGAAACTAAATGTTGGAGTATATATAAAGAAGGCGGCACCCAAAAGAATGTTTTTGATGCCCAGTCAGCTTCAAGTTTAATAATTTCATTGAATTGGGGCGAGGAGGAGGAGCAGCAGCAACACTATAAGCTGTTGGTGATGACAAGGAAGAGAATGGCTTTCGTTAATGGCTTATGTTCTTCCTCTCAGCCTCATACTGCCACTTCCTTCTCAGTATCATTGGCATTGTCTTCAAACACCTGCCAATTGTTTAATGTTTGTTTTTCTTGTATTGTTTTATTTTTTTTACAAAGATATCGTAATTCAAAAATTAAAAAAAATTACATGCATTGAAATTTTATGAATTAATTCAATTAAATATCGAGTTTTTACTTCAATTATTTAAAAAAAAGAGTTTTGTTGGTAGTTCCAGTTAAAGAAGGTAAAAATATTGAAATCGACGAGTTTCGATTAAACTCAACTTCTTAGGATTGATTTTTTTTTTTTGTAAATTGGATATCGAGTCAGGTGACATAAAAAAAAACTAAAAATTTGATCTTACCCAATTTGATATATATAAAAAAATTATTTTTATAATTTTATATTTATTTATATATATTATATATATTTAATTTTATATTTATATTAAAAATAATATCTTATTAATTTTAAATCGAATACGATTTTACACAACATCGAATCGAATTCATATTCGAATATAAAAATAATAAAAAATTTTATCGAATCGAATTTAAATTTTATATATTTAAAATCAAATTAGATTCAAAATAAATAAAAATTCATTTAGATCCGATCCGTTATCATCGTTAGTTCCAGCAGGAGAAGGCAAAGGATGCATTTTGCTGCCGGAATGCAGGTTTTCTAGTTCTCAACGAATAACGGTTGCTCTGTCCTCAGACAACATCCATTAGAGCCAAGCGTCATTCAAGGATAATTTTGGTTATGATTAAAGTACTGCAGAATTAGTAATGTGAAAAAAAAAATGTAATTGCGTGAGAAAAACAATATGGGCCGAGCCTGGGTCATAGTCCTGATCAGTTTTTTGTTTTTTTCGATATGGTAGAAATAATTCAACACCTATAACAAACAAAAAGGGAGGCTCCATTCTTCCATTGAATGTTTACTAAACAATTCAACGATCATGTAAGATGAGTTCAATCAGGCCAGTATTGAAATAGCATTGGCGCAGGTAATCAATGATGATCTAATGAGTTAAGTACTGCAACAGATCAAACAATAAAATAATCAGTTAAGGCGAAAAACATAATTAATTTGCTCGCCCTTTCTTCATTCTAGTAGCCGAAACATTCTCAAAGTCATCGTCAGAGCTTTCTTCAGCCTTGCGTTTCTTAGTCTGCTTCAGGGCAACCTTGGAATCTGTTCTCTTTTTATTTGAAGAAACTGGGTTCATTGGAAGAGTTGTCTTAACAGTAACAGATTTTCTGCTACTCTTTACTGCTGAAGCAGCTTTCATGGGAGAACTCAGTTTATGCTGTTCAATCCTCTTTTGTTTCTTCTTAAATACTTTCTTTGCTTCCTCTATGGGGAGCAAACTAGACTCCATCATCCAGAATTTACATAGGAATGCATGTTTCTCTATAAACAAATTCCACAAAATAATAAGACAGGAAATATGTATTCCGAGATGAATGAAAACAGTCATCAGAAGGATTTGTAGGGTAAAATGAGTTAAATAAAGTCAATTCGTACCACACGATGGTCGATTTAATGGATGGAAATAAAGAGGAGACAGAAAGTTGTTAGAAACTACCAAATAAGAGAAGCAAAAATCATGAGTATCATCAATGTAGCAACATATAGCAGTATTACACTTCCAATCTTAGTTGGAGAGGACGCTATTCAAATGAGGATTTAGACAAGGCATTCAATTGGAAAGTAAATATGGGCGTTGGAAAGTGATTTAAGAAGATAACTTTCTTGCATGGCACAAAGCAGGAATTAGAGACCCTTTGGCATAATAGACTAGATTTATTTATCTTTCAGATTAACAAGAAGTTGGTTGCAACAGAGTAATCAAGCTAGTACAAGGGCACAAGCCACAATGGGAAATGAGAGAACAAATAAGAAAAATTTCTGAGTATTAGAAAAGAAAATTCATCGCCAGTGACAAAAAATGAGGAACTAAGAAAGAAGATGAATGCTATCAATATACAACCAAAGTCTACAGTTACACATTTGAAGGTGCATAACTCCATCTGGGTCTTTACCATTAATTCTATGAATAAATCTGACTGAATGAGGGTTATATAGTAACCCAAGTAACCAAACTTGACTCACCACAGCTGGTCAAGATAATCCTCTCAAGAAAGAAACGTCTATTTCATTTTCATCTTATCAAAGAAGTGTTCTATTCTTTCTTTATTCTGGTTTATAGATGACCTTTGCACTTGAGAAGTTTATCAATTTTTTGTTTATTCTCCGGTCTCAACTGCACCAGTCTTTGTTAGGGTGCTGCAAGTGTCACAGTTGGAGACTCAAGCTCCGATTGTCCGCTCTAGCCCTCCTGACCTCACGGTTTTGTCCTACAAAAAGGGCCTCACAAGACGGAGGTGGTGTAAACTCTTATATACCTCAGTGACCCTCCTATTATGTTCGATGTGGGATTTAGGACTCTCTTCCTTAGGTCTGTGACATTTTCCCGTACCCAACCTCGTGACACCCTCGTCACGGAAGCTGACCACCCTGCCTGCCTCCCTTTGAGGTGCTTGACGTGGATCGAACGATTTAAGGCTAACTCTGATACCACCTGGTTTTGTCCTACAAAAAAGGCCTCACAAGACGGAGGTAGTGTAAACCCTTATATACCTCAGTGACCCTCTTATTATGTTCGATGCAGGATTTAGGACTCTCTTCCTTAAGTCCGTGACATTCTCCCGTACCCAACCTCGTGACACCCTCGTCACGGAAGCTGACCACCTTGCCTGCCTCCCTTTGAGGTGCTTGACGTGGATCGAACGATTTAGGGCTAGCTCTGATACCACTTGTCACAGGTGGAGACTCAAGCTCCGAACCCGCGCGGCTCCGAAACTTAGGCATTCACCTTTCAGACGTTCCGAATCAGCCTGACCGTCATGGTTCACACTCTTGTGAGGTATTATCCGCTCTGACCTTCCTGACCTCACGATTTTGTCCTACAAAAGGCATCTCACAAAGCGGAGGTGGTGTGAACCCTTATATACACCCCAGTGACCCTCCTATTATATTCGATGTGGGATTCAGGATTCTCTTCCTTAAGTTCGTGACACAAGTCCTAACCAAGACATAAAATTGGCCTTGGAATTTAAGCACTCTTACCTTCATTACCAGCATAATTGCATCCACCACCTCATTGTGGAATCTTTACTAGCAGAATTAAAACGATAAGAAGCTAATGATGAAGAAGAAGAAGAATTTTGAGGCTTCCTTTTTTTCAGTGTTTGAGAGGAAAATTGAAAGCAGCAATTAAAATCGTTGGAATTCGTTAAGTGGGCTTCAACGGTCGATTTTTGGGGTATATATAGATCAGGGTGATGCTAACTTGCGCCGGTGAGGTACAAAAACCCTTTCGCTTTTCGCGAAGGTTTGGGCTCACTGGGTTCTTTATGTGAATGATTGGGCTTCTAAAAAACACCATAAAATTGGCCCAAAATATATTTGGTCATGTTCGGCCCAATTGTTATTTCTAAATATTTTTGGCAATTTGAATTTCTTTTCCTTTTTAACCATGTCTTTTAATATTTGGGAAATTATCAGAACTTTTAAAATGGAATGAAAAATATTGTCTTCATACATGCTTGAGACTTGATTTGTTTGGGACAAATCTATCTGAACGTATAATTGTTTCTCCTTTATGGGACAAATCTATGCATGTTTCCTTTAACTTTCTATTTGTTTGCTGCACTATTGGCTTATATGAAAATTAAATTTGTTGAGAAAATTTTATCTACATCAACAAAAAGAAAAAGAAGACATGAAATGTTCAATTAGATCGAAAATGATACGTAGCCATGAACGTTAGCGAAGAGGCTGTGAGGTACGAGAATCTTTCACTTTCAAGGAATTGTTGATGCCAATATCCCAATATCAAGATGATGGCCATCTACAATAACTTCCAAATGGGTAAATGCTGCCAATATATTATATCGTTTATAATAAAGGAAAGTTTTTCTTTTGCCTCGATTTTCCGAAATGCAAAATTGACTGTTTATCCTTTTAAAAATGTTAATTATGAGTTTTAATAGGACAAGGTTCTAAGGGAGTATCCGAAGCTTCCAGCGGATCTTCCAAGATGTTTGCTTCTTCCAACCTGTCGGTCACCTGCGTGAACTCTACAGCAGAGACACACCAGTTCAACCAGTCAATGAGAGTTCATAACTGGCAACAGCAGGTGGTGCTATGGCAATGGCAAGCTAATGTGCATGCTATCACGTGACAGACAAGTTAGAAGCATGTTCTTCTCATTTCGTTGATGCATCCGAAGTGATGGGGGATAGTGTTCCTGCATTTCCGAGGTCTAACATTCTCTTATATGTTCTGCAATCTCAAGATAGTTGTATTGGGGTGTTTTTTTTCGTTGTCAACCCCACAAGTTTCATACATTGATTTGAATTAGTAAGCATTATTTTCTTCTTTTTCCTATGCAAAAATTTTCATCCTTGGGATTGTGAAAAGACCATTTGTTCTATATAATTCACAATTAGCTCTGATGCAAAGTTTGTCTTTTAATTGAATGCAGATTGCTGGATTTTGTTCTGTTGTTGGGTCAAATTCTCTAAATTTTGAGATCAAGAATGTGTCCACTAGGCATCGATGTCTCCCAAAATGGAAATGTCAAAACGCTGGAGTCAGCAGGAACCATATTTGAGGTTGAAGATTCGGATATCCTGAGGATTTTGGAACGACCCAGAGCAATAAATGTAGAGAGGAATAGATCCTTCGCCATTGAGGAAAGGCCTTCGGGTGAATTGTCAATAATAGATCACCTTGAAGGTCTATCTCCACATGGTAGAAGGTCTGGATTTAACACGCCTAGATCACATACTTAATTTGAGACACATGCCATGATAGCTGAGGCATGGGAGAATTTGAGGCGCTCCATCGTTTACTACCGCAGACAACCTGTTGGTACCATTGCCGCATTAGACCATTCTGTTGAAGAGCTAAATTATGATCAGGTTAATTCCCATTCTATAGCTTTGTGCTGTTCTATTAGTAAGTACCATTTACTAATTAAACATTTTTGTAGGAAACTAAGTAGAACTGTGTAGTTTATTACTATTACTCTCTTTTGTAGGTTTTCGTTAGAGATTTTGTTCCTAGTGCCTTGGCATTTTTGATGAATGGAGAGGAAGAAATAGTTACAAATTTTCTTCTGAAAACACTTCACTAACAGTCATGGGAGAAAAGGATAGACCAGTTCAAGCTAGGCGAGGGAGTAATGCCAGCAAGTTTCAAAGTGATCCACAATCCAGTAAGGAATAGTGAAATTTTAATCGCAGACTTTGGTGAAAGTGCAATAGGGAGAGTAGCTCCTGTCGATTCTGGATTTTGGTGGATTATTTTGCTTCGTGCATATACAAAGCATACAGGAGACTCTTCCTTAGCTGAAATGCCTGATTGCCAAAGGGGCATGCGCCTTATTCTGAGTTTGTGTCTTTCAGAAGGCTTCGACACATTCCCAACTCTTCTCTGTGCCGATGGATGCTGTATGATTGACCGCAGAATGGTTTGTTTCTTACACGTAGTTTCTATCTTTGTTTGTTAATTTCTTAATGATTTTGCCTTTTAAAGGCCATTTCTTTATCTGAGAAACAATATTGCCCATTTTAAAGACCAAAATAACAGAGCAAAGTGAATATTGCCAAGGAATGCCAACAGTTGAAAGTAAAAATTGTTCCTATTTCTGTATCTGAGAAAGGAAAATACTGACTTATTTTCCTATTATGTAATCCAGGGCGTGTATGGTTATCCAATTGAAATCCAAGCGCTATTCTTTATGGCTTTAAGATGTGCTTTGCTTTTATTAAAACAAGACCAAGACGGCAAAGAATTCATGGAACGTATAGTTAAACGCCTCCATGCCTTAAGCTATCACATGAGGAGTTACTTTTGGCTGGATTTAAAGCAGCTAAATGACATATACCGCTATAGAACAGAGGAATATTCTCATACTGCAGTCAACAAGTTCAATGTGATGCCTGATTCACTTCCAGACTGGGTGTTTGATTTCATGCCAACTCGTGGTGGTTATTTCATTGGAAATGTCAGCCCTGCAAGGATGGATTTCCGTTGGTTTTGTTTGGGCAATTGTGTGGCAATTTTGTCATCTTTGGCAACTCCAGAGCAAGCTGCAGCCATAATGGACCTTATTGAATCACGCTGGGAAGAATTGGTTGGAGAAATGCCATTAAAAATTTGTTATCCAGCTCTGGAAAGCCATGACTGGCGAATTATAACAGGTTGTGACCCAAAGAATACCAGGTGGAGTTATCACAATGGAGGATCTTGGCCTGGTAATTAAGTTTCTTATTGCTATTATGCTAGAGAAAGTACTATTTAAATTGCTTTAGATTTGCTGAAGACCTTTCAATTGCAGTGCTTCTATGGCTGCTAACAGCAGCTTGTATCAAGACTGGGCGCCCACAAATTGCCAGACGTGCCATAGAACTTGCTGAAAGCCGGTTGTCAGAAGACCACTGGCCTGAGTACTATGATGGAAAGCTTGGCAGATATATTGGGAAGCAAGCTCGTAAGTTCCAGACTTGGTCCATTGCTGGGTACTCGGTAGCTAAAATGATGCTCGAAGACCCATCTCATTTGGGTATGATATCATTGGAGGAAGACAAACAGATGAAGCCCCTCATGAAAAGATCTACTTCCTGGACTTGTTGATCTTTGGATCTTTAATATTTTCAAAAAGACTGATAGAAGTTTATGAATTTTAGATTTCTATGTAAAATAAATCTATTTTCAGTTTTTTTTTTTTCTGGTGGAAGGTAAACTCACATCCAGAGAAACTTGTTCACGATTTGAAAGTTTGAGCTCTTATACATATATGTCTTTCAAATGATAATGCAAGACAAATATTCCCCACCAAATTCTGAGTGAATGGTCTTTGGTAGCTGAGATAGGTAATCTGAAAGATTGAAGGATCAAGATTAAAACGAAGTGGTAGGGCAGTTTGCCCAACTTTCATTGACAGAGTTTAATAGGTTTGCTGCCCTCTCTGAAAGATGGTCAGCCGGTTTTTGTTCTTAAAAATCTTGTGTGGGTCGGAATTGGGATTGTCCCATGGGTTTAGGCTCTTTTCAGCGAATTAATTACGCCATTCAATCTGCTAGATATTTTAGGTGCACATCACACTCAGTCTCAGGCCTGTACAATTGAACCCCAAATCTAGCCATCCATGCATCATCATCATCACCTAAACATCATCAATAACTCTCCTAATCGAACGGACCAAGAAGCATGGTCAGTCGCCACGTCTAGATACTGGCAAACTATCCTGTCAGTCGTTACGCTGAAGTGAGCTAATCTTATCTTATCCATATAATAATGTATGGATAGATGCAACACCAGAACCTGCTCACTTACCACGACCCCATTCATATACGCAGATTGAAAACGTGGCCGGTTGTTAGAGGTATCTCATGTTTGTTTCTATCTCATCCTACGTACCTCTTCCGGTCTCGTCCCAAAAAAAGTAGGACTTTCCCTTATTTTACCCCTGAAAAAAAGGCTGAACCTTTTGGGCACCCTTCCAATTGAAACTACCTCAAAAAAGGAAAACTTGGACACAACCGGAACAAGAAAGAAGTTTGGGGAGAGACAATGAAGGCTAACAAGAGTCCGATCCGCGCGGTGGCTACATGGATCAGGCGACAACCACCCAAGATGAAAGCGTTTTTAGCGGTTCTGTCAGGGATGGCGGCGCTTTTGTTCTTGACAATGGTCGTAGAAGATCACGACAACCTCTTTGTTGCTGCCGAGGCTGTTCATGCCCTGGGCACCTGTGTTCTTATTTACAAGCTTACCAAAGAGAAAACTTGTGCTGGTACACCATTTCTTTTCTCTTTTTAAGTTTTCTCCTTTTTTCTTTCCCTTTCATTCAATTTGTTGGGTTTGGGTCATATTTCCAGACTGAGGTGGATCCATCATTCCAATGGGTTTCCTTAATTAATATTGCTAAACGCTGGGTGTTTTTATTTTGGCGGATTTAATTTCATCATGCATAATTATCACATATACACCCGTATTTGCCTCTTATTATTAAGAAGACCAATGCACTTTGTGACTGTAAAAAAATAATCTTCGGCCTTAACCCTTTGTCCTGTTTCTTATCTTTATTTCTTTCCTAATTTGGATGGTTCTTGATTGTTAACTAATGTTACAGATATTATCCTTTAGTGGAGAAATTTAATTATCTAGTTTCTTAAAGGGAAATATGTTTATTTTGTTCATAGTTCATTATCATCAATTACTGGATTTTAGTTTGTCTTATTACTATCCACTTCCCTGATGTAATATCTCTTTGCAGGAATTTCTCTTAAATCGCAGGAACTAACAGCTATATTTTTAGCTGTTAGATTGTATTGCAGTTTTGTCATGGAATATGACATACATACTCTACTTGACTCAGCAACATTAGGGTCAACCCTTTGGGTTATTTATATGATTCGTTTTAAACTGAGGTCAAGTTACATGAAGGATAAAGACAACTTTGGAATCCACTACGTGGTAAGCCTTCATATTGAACTTATGGATTCTGATTATTAGCATAGGCACTTTTTATTTCCGTGTTATTGCTCCATTGTTTCAAATGTGTCTTTTTACAACGCACTATGCACCATGCTTATTTGTTTCTTCGTATAGTGAATGTAGTGACAAGTATGTCAACATTGCTACATAACCTAGTCTCGTTTATGAAGATACGAAAGTTTGTGTTTCAGTTTCAGTGGGATTTGCTTCTTATTGAGTTTTTATTGATTTTAGTATGCCCTTGGTTTACCATTTAGGTAGTTGTAGATATATTGGTCATGGCAAAGTTTTCTTTCCTTTTCTCACTTGAGTTATTAACTATGTTTTCCCCTAATTAATATTTACGACATTGCGCCCCCCCCCCCCCCCAATTGTGGGAATAGTTTGACGATGATCTTAGATGCATATTCTCTTGATCTAACTCAAGTACAATAATCTATGTCTCATAAGAAATATTTTAGAGTCTGCCAAATGATTGATGAGTTCTTCTCTGTTTTTATTGTGTCTCACAAAAATGTCAAACATTTTTCTAAGATGTTTAATTACAAAAGTGAAAGAACTGAGCCAAGGAGAAGAGATATGATAATGCATTTAAAGAAATGGCAGAATCAATATGCTTTAGAAAATTTTATCTGCTTTGGTGTTTACCGTTTCTCAAGACTATTGTTAAGCCAGTGCTTCAGACTAGTAGGTTTGTTGTTTTTCCTAATAACTTATATATATATATATATATATATATATATATACATGCATTTGAGCAGATGCACTGGCGCATGCATCTTTGTTTTTTTTTTTTTTTTTAAAGCTTTTTCTTTATGTACTTTGAACTGTTTTTCCCACTAACAGCTTTTGGTTATCTCCTTGATATAGGTGATACCTTGTGCTGTTTTGTCGTTGTTAATTCATCCAACAACAAGTCATCATTTATTCAACAGGATTTGCTGGGCTTTCTGTGTTTACCTTGAAGCTATTTCAGTCCTGCCTCAGCTAAGGCTAATGCAGAACATTGAGGTAAGGCAGCAACTGATAAACACTTGTCTGTTGCCTTAATTGGATAGTTTACCCTTAGCCTATACTGAGCTTATGTCAAGCACTTTTACATTAAAGCAATGCTCCTTCGGATATATCGCCTTTCATTTTGTCCCTTTTTCAGATCGTTGAACCATTTACTGCACATTATGTGTTTGCATTGGGAGTTGCAAGGTTCTTGAGCTGTGCACATTGGATTATCCAGGTATTAACAGTAATTATTGCCAGGACAGCTTTTAGTCATGTCTAAGGCACAGTGGCACTGCCTGTATAGAATTCTTATTGATATCATGTAGAAGGGACTTGCTCTACTACCTTTTATGGTTTATATATTCAGACACTAAATATATGGTTGATATCTTGACATTAATGTATTTTAGGTCTCATGTGGAATGTAATTCGCAGATATCCTCCTGTTTTGGTTTTATTCTAGTGCTAAACAATGGTTCTAGATTGATTGACTTGCATGTTTCATCTAAATTTGTGTTCATTTACCTAGGTATTTGACTCTCAAGGACGCTTATTGACAGCTTTGGGCTATGGATTGTGGCCTTCTCTGGTCCTGCTATCTGAGATTGTCCAGACTTTCATTTTGGCAGATTTTTGCTACTACTATGTCAAGAGGTGGGTGCCATGCATAAGTTTTGCAACATGCCTTAAATATTGAACCTCTTGATATTTACTAAAAAGTTTCTATTCCCCCGTTCTTACAGTATTTTTGGTGGACAACTTGTTGTACGACTCCCCTCTGGTGTGGTTTGAAGTGTGAACTTATAGGTTAATTCTGCAGCTAAGAGGCTCTTAAAGATCCCTGTTGGTCATTAGGATATGTACGTTTTATTCTCTTCTGCAGCCACTAAGGTAATGGTTGCAGGGTAATTATAAAGATGAGGATAAGTTACATGTACACACATAAATAGTTTATTAGAATTATTTCACTAAATTAACTTCACAGTATCAGCATTAGTATTCTCGTGATGAGGCCTTTGGAGAGTTTTATGCTTTATCTTGGCACATGCTTACTACCAGCATTTTAGTTTTGATGATGAATAAAGTAACGAAATTGCAGTAAGTTCCCGATAAATGATCTGCGTTGCTTAATGTTTAAATCATCAATGTCGTTTTATATCCTTTTTCCCCTCAAGTAATTCTGTTAAGCATTGATGTATAACATTGCATGATAAAAGTTTCCTCAACGGGAGGAACAAAGTCTATCGATTCCATGTCCTGCTAAGTGCTAGTGTCTTGGAAGCCTTGCTTCTGTAATATCTGGTGATGTGCGGGCCCTTTTCAAAGCATTACAGAATTAATATGCCGTTGTGTCTGGGGGCCCTTGGGCTAATCATGTAGAACATTCTACATCAATGGTGGCAGATTCAACATTATATATCTGCTAAAAGAAACCGCTGAAAGGGCAGGAACGTCAAGGATGGGGTTGCTTCTTGCTTCGATAAAGGCTTCAAGGTTCAACAAAATCTAGTATTGAAATCTGGGTAAAAGCTATGGACAGAGAATGAGCAATTTTAAGTTGTATGACTACTCCCAAATCATATCAGTACTCAACAATGGCAGTGATGAGCAGGTCATAACATGGGGTTTCTTTTCCTACTTTCTTTGATTTTCTTTTGCTTTGACATGTTTTATGTACAAAAGGTTAGGCAGAAATCAGGGATTTCGAAAGGCATTTTTTGTTCTGTCCCTTGGAAATGATAATATTCCCATTGCAGAGTTAAATAAGAAAAATGATACTAACACTTAACAGCATGCCAATTTAAATAAAAACGTGGCATTGATCCTCTTGTGCAAGCTGGGACGCATAAATTGTCATGATAACTCTACTAGCCAGCTGTCCAATATTCTTATCTTTCAACCCATGTCTTATCTTATCCCAAGTCGCAACAAGGATTCGTTCCACTTCTATGCTGAATCCTCGAGTTTAGTGTTCAATCATTGGTCCAACGAAGACGACAATGATTTAACTCGTGCTGGTTTTGAAACTAAGGGCCCCAAGGCGAACCTACTCTATTTTTCGTACATTCATTAATTTAATAATAGTTTTTTTTAATCCAATCGTATTCACGATGATCTGGCTGGATCAGCGTTAGCATTTCACAAGTACTAAAGTTGCCAGGCCAACAGTGTAGCTATAGCCTCTAAAGCTGATAGGTTGGTAAACTGCAAACAAGCAAAACAATCCACCGCTTTCTGTTTTATATTTATCCATTTGAGACTTTGCTCGGCTGATTCCTTTTCAAAAATTTGTAGTATTTGGTAGTGGGAAATGGGGTACGAGAATCGAAATCATTAGGTGTTGGTAGTAGTTAAACAATGATAAATGCTTAAGATAAAGACTAACTTTAATACTTGCTAAAACAAGGCATGATCAAGCATAGAACAACTCTAGAGCCTAAGAAGCCTTCTTTCATAAAGAACTACTGAAACGATGGATAGGTGTCAGTCAATTTGGCGATGGATTGGATGAGCACGGTACAGCTGTTGTGGGAGGAGACTTCCATACAGCTGTCAGGTTGATTACGGTGGGTACTTTGAGTCAGGACTAATGAACATTTGCGTAAGTGACAAAATCCCATCCTTATCCTACTGAGCTTGCCGATTAGGCAACTCATGGGTTTCATTCCGATGCTTCCAAATCTAGCACTTCCAATGCAGGTGTGGGGTATCGAGAGAATTGTAAGTTAGTTGATATTGCATCTTTTTTCAGTTTCCCTTTCATTTTGGTTGCAATGTGAGAAATATCGAATTCCCTTCCTTTCATTTATGGTAATATGTATAGGAGCCAGCTGAATGAAAAATATGAAATAATTAAAGACATGAAAGCTGAAGCTAGAGGAACCATTGGTTTCACCTATGCCTAAAATCACAAGGCAAATGCTGTTCTTTTGCACAAGATACATATACACAAAGAGATAGTCGTTTCAGATATAAGAGTAAAGCATATTCCAAGAACTTCTGCCAAGAGAGTTAAGGATGACATTAGAGGTGTTTAGTTCTCCCAATATTACAAGGCGATGAGTCCATAAAAGTTTGCCTAAAGAAAAGGAAAAACCACCCAATAATATAGTAGTTTTCATGGAGGCTCTCTTTGAATCCACCGGCCAACTATTAGCTGTCAAGGTGGTTAATGTATTCCCATATATATTTAAGTTCCAAAACAAGTTTGCTTTACATTTCCATGCCTCTAATAATGCAACTCTGATATTTGCATATGTCATTACTCAATTCCCCCCAAGTTTTGGTCATAGTCTGGCCTCTGGTACTGTTGTGAAACTACATATATTAGGTGGCAATCATAATTGTAAAACTTTTAGGTAAATGAGAAAGAGATACGCTAATAATACAGGGGATTTCATAAAGTTTGTTTTACTGAAATCTTATCCAATTCAGAGAAATGAGGACAAACTGGAGTTCACAAGGTTTTGAATAAACTCACAGAATAATTAGTTAATGATAAAATGCATGCATCTATACTTCTATAGGAAATGGTAAGCTAATTAATAAGATGTTATGTACATTGACGAGATCTGGATTTTTGCATAGTGGCTGAAAAGACACACTCTTGTGTCTCCTTCATGAAAATTTGATCACATACAAGCTCTGAGTATTGACTTGTCAGTTGTAATATTCAGGCCAATATCGTCTTAAAAGCAAATTAAAAGAAAATTTTGAAATGATCCAAAGATGGGTTTCACATTTTCCAATCAGAAAAATCAAAATCAATTTGTCAACGAGTATAGAGATATTCAGTTAAGTCTGCCTTAATAGAAAAAAGAAAACCATGAATCATGATTCATATATACTTGTATTACGTGACAATAATTTTTCAGAGCCAGCTGATTTAGATTATCAGAAAAATCCAAGTTTTCAGGTCTATTCGTTAACCCCACAGAAAAGGATAGTAAGAAAAGCAAAAACCACTTGCTTGGCAGAGCCCCTACTAGGTAAATGAATGAAACACACCATATCCTTATTCCAGCTTAAACAATGAGAAAATTATTGCTTTGCTCCAGGTTATTTCAAAGGGGCTTTTTGCTTCCACCATATATTCTCTGGCAAGTCACCATTGCACATTTCTTTTTTCTCCGCTCTTCCGCGTACTTGCTTGCCATCAGATTGTTTCGTATGTTGGCATAGCATGCACCTAACCCCTTTCAATTAGTACTACAGCCACTACTTTTCTCTCTCCCTAACATTTTTGCTATAAATACGACCAACTTCGCTTCTATTCCATACAGAACAGTAAGTTAGAGACACTAGAAAACCAAAACAAGGCTCTATTTCTAATAATTAGGTCCTTAGTCATGGCCACTTCTAAGGCTTTGATTGCCTCACTTCTCATCTCTCTTCTTATTATCCAACTGGTTGAAGCTGATCAACTGGTAAAGCTTGATCACTTTTGATCGTCATTATAAGCTTTGTTTTCGCTTCTGTTTCTTTTCTTGAATAGTTCAAGCAATGAAAATTCTGTTCTTGCTAGTTATAACCTTAAGCTACATGTTCTTGTGAAATACAGGTGACAAGTGGCAGCAAGGGAACCAGCCCTCCAAAGAAAATTGGTAAATTTATTATACACATCAATATGATCCTCGTTCATATTGAAAATAAATGTGTGAAACAGTACGTGTAGCTAAGACCCTTGTTGATATATATATATATATATATATATATATTTCTATTTGGTTTTCAGACTGTGGTGGAGCTTGTGCAGCCAGGTGCCGACTAGCATCTAGGCAACGCCTATGCAAGAGGGCATGCGGGACATGTTGCGCACGCTGCAACTGTGTTCCTCCAGGAACTGCAGGGAACCAAGAAATGTGCCCCTGCTATGCTAGCTTGACCACCCACGGTGGCAGACGCAAGTGCCCTTGAGTTGATCAACTTGAAACGAATCTCTCCTTTGATGATAATGAGTTTTGGTGAAATAAATTAATGCTTGGTGTGAGAATAAATAAAAAGAATGTCCTATATATGTAAAGCAAAAGTCATTTATGCAATGACTTGTTTTCTTTCTTTCTTTCTTTCTTTTTTTTTTTAGCGTGATATTAATATGATTAATGATTTGTTGTTTTAAATTTGAATATATATAGTGAAAGAATAAAGAAGTTTCTATGGTTCTCTTTGCTTTATGTTAGTAGTATTTTTAATGTTTCCACTGTACCTGTGCTGTCAATGGTTTTTGGGAGGGTTAGCGGTTCAGGGGCAATGATCGGGGCCTGGGGCCTATGCATTCAGATTTGATAATTGGTTTCAAAGGATGAGTTGTAAAAATATAGTGCTTAATTGATAATTTATACACCTACTCTTTTAATGGGACACTTAATTGATAAATCTAGTCGGGTTGTCACTCTTTTTAATCATTGACGTCCAATTCAAAATACTAGAATTTCTGTCTACTAAAAAATTTGAGTAGCCCTGATTGGTTTAAGCCATGCAAAGTTACTTCTACAAGAGGTTTTGAAACTGTTTAACGTGCCATTTGGTGACCACTTTCAATGGATAAGACTACAACGCCCTCTTATCCATTGCTATAAACAGATGAACTCTTTGCATAAAAGAGAGAGATATACATTGAATTTTCTTATACAGAGACACAAGCCAAAAGTATTTTGGATTGTAATCGATGATTTATTTCTAATAATGGGTTACTTTACAACTAGTTATGAAGACACTTTTAAAAGATCCTCAGGTGTACTTGTGACTTGGTCAGTGTTTTAGAGAATAGGGTTTTGAAATTCTCCATGGCAGCGCTCCCTTGCTTAAGAAGAAACCGCAAGAAGATAAACTCAGCAGATTACATTTGTTAGTGTTAACTGTTAAGCCCGGTGGCCAGTTGGGCAATGGAATGATGGCCCAAGCTCCCAATGATTGGGCCTCTTTCTTAAGAAATTGGCCTATTGGAATTTGTCTCCTTTTACCGTTAACATGATAGAAATTCGGCCCCTCACTCACATCCCTAATTAGAAGTTTGAATGTCCAAAATATTAGCACTTAATTTTTGTACATTCCATAAATAAAACACAACTAGATATTTTAGTGGTGATCAAAACTTTAATTAGCAATTAGTTTTCAATTCCCAATTATTATTGCCAGAAATCAGTGATTTAATTTCTTTATTCATGGAAAAGAAAAAATCAGAAGTAATTAATTCCAATGTCAAATGATTTCCATTCCGAGGCTATAAATGATATACCATTGCTTTGGTTTAGGTCATCCTTCACTGTTTTGTATTGGTAATGGAAGTTTTTTTCAAAGTCCTGATGTTTTCTTTTCTTCTTGTGCTAGTTGTAGTAGCAAAAGATGATTTTCATGATCTTAACTTTCTAGCTCTCAATGATGTTCTAGATCCTGAATTTCCATTACGTCCTGAAACTCCATTACACTTAGAAACTCCCTCGGGCCCAGGATTGGTTCCTTAACCTCTTTCATCTCCAGACATTTCTTTTCCCCCAGAGGATGGTTTTATTCAAACAAAACCTTTCCCCCCAGAAAATCCATCGGTTCCAGCAACCCCATTGCTGCCAGATGCTCCTTCTGCTCCAAACCACCTGAAACATTCCTCTTTCCTCCTCCATTAAGCATGCATTGCAAAGACAGGTGTGCTTTGCTTTGCTCCATTCCACTCCTATCTAAACCATGTCTCGATCGCTGTTATCTAAGGTGCGAATTTGCTTTATTGAAGCTTGAATTTAGTTGTACTAATAATTGCGCACGGTCCATGCCTGTCAGTTTCAGTACTCTCAGTAAGAAATCTTGCCAACCTTAGTTCATATTTATATCTACAAAACACATTTCTTGCCTACAAATTTTACTGAAACAATTCTCTCGATCTGCGTTTCAGGTAGCGCAGAATCTGAAAGCTACGTGATTTCCTGTTATCACAAATGCATGAATAACAAATAACTTGCTGTTTGTTTTGTAGAATTTGCTCGAGCTAGTGTATCATGATCTGTATAATTTAACACACGGTCATTAGATTTTCACCTTTCTACTATGTATTTTCTTTGTTTTCCATTTTTTCCCCATTGGATTTCCAATGTCACGTTGCCAACTCACTTTTGGTCACGAAGTTCAGTTGGGCCGAGGTGGGCAGAACCATCTGTTGAAAAAGATCGACAAACCAAGAAAGCTGTGACCCAGAATGCATCACTATCAACGTCAGAGTAGGGGCTGCTTGCCTCGGCTCTTCCAGGCCTCCACCTGGACTCCCCCTAACTTGGGTTGGAGCCCACCGAACTTTTTGCTTTCCGAGGTAAACGATAGCGTAGATTGATTAACATTATTAAATGGATGAAGTTATAACCCTTTCGGGAAGGCAGGGTGATAAAAACTTGTTAAAAGTCCGTAATGGAGGCAATTCTTTAAAGGGCAACACTAGGCCTTTAGTGTGTCAGTTTGAATTCTTTTTGTCTGAACAAATAAAATTAGCATTTGATTTTATGATTTAGACATAAATCCTGGTTCAACTAGCTAGTTTAAACCTAGTATTTGGTCACATTACAATTTCAATTACAAAGTTGATAATTTATTGGTCCATACCAAAATTGTATTTAAATACTCTTTAAAATTAGTTAAATAGTATTGTTATATTAAATAAAAATAATTAATATTTTATTTGGTGAATTCTAATGTATATTAACTGGCCAAAAAAATGTATCAAAGAATTTATGATTTTAAAAACTACTATACATTTGAGGGCTATAATCGTCTAAAAAACTTAGATTCAGGGGTGTTGTGGTAAAATCCGTTTCATTCACCTGAAAAACTATCTATAACTCACGCACCAAGCATGACTAGATTGGACTGTGGCCGAGGAACAGATAATCGATTTGGAATCGTAATCATATATGCTCCCGTCGTCTTCCCATTTACTCACCGAGTCCCACTCTCTTCTTGTCCTACCCCTTGTGACTCTCAACCTTTTTTTTCCTTTCCAGAATTTACCTATTCATTTTTTTTCACTTTAAACCACCACGTTCCCCTCCCCTTCCCTCTTACAGGCGCGTGGTGCTCAAATTCATCACCTCTCACGTGAATTTAGCAAATCTTATAGGAGTTACCACGTGGAGGCCATCAACGAGCATTGTAATTACAGCCGTCGGATAAAGTGTGTTAACTCCAGTTTCAGTTACTCCATTTATTATTTATTAAAAGCACTGAACAGTTTGAACCGTCTGTGGGAGAATAATAAAAGAAGCCATCGAATCGAAGGGCCAAACTAGCCGAGGTTGACACCAATAACTAACAACAGTGGATTTTGGAATCAGGTGGGAATGCAACGTGTACGAGGCAACGAAATCCGACGTGGCGGACATGTAGGACAAGATTGTTTGTTTGATCGGACGGTAAAGGAGAGTCAGAAATTAAAAGGCGCGGATTAAATGGGACTTGGGACTTGAGAGTTGGGATGATGCATTTAAAAGCGAGCGAGAAGAGCTTGGGAAGTGAATCTCTCGAACAAAAGGTTGCCGCCATCCGCATTCATTTCCTCTTTTGGTTTTTTTTTTTTTTTAATTTTAGCTGACATTTTTCTTTTTCTTTGTTTTTGAAAGGTTTGTTTAATCTTCAATGGTGGTTTTGGTTTTGATCTATGAAGGAAGTGAAAAGTGTGATTGTTTTTGTTTATTGTTTGGGGAAAGGAGATTCGTTGCATTAATGAGTTTTTCTCTGTAATTCAAGTTGTTTAAAAAGAGTTTTTCCAAACATTTGCTTTCCTTTTGAGTTTTTTTTATGCTATTTTTATCTCTTACTATTACTTTTTTTTTTTGGCTTTATCTTTCTTTGTTACTCTTTCAGCGCTTTATTTCACGAAAAACCTGATTCTCTGAACACGAGGAATTAATTACTTTTACCTTATTTCTTTTGAAAAAAATTCAATCTCTCAGTTTTCAGCTTTGTTCTTCTGTTTGTCTCTGCTCTCTTTTCCTCTGCTTTCTCAGCTGAGAGGAAATGGAGACGCTTTTAAGCTCTTTGCTAATCTCCAAACAGACAAAAAGAGAGAGAAACGGAGAGACAACAGCAAGATTAGGCAAGGCAACAACTAAATCTGATTTATTTTCACTTTCCATGGAAAAAAACAAAACCCAAACGCCACTTTTTCGATTTTCTTTCCGGCTTACTTTTTGCTTATAACTAAACCCACCAAAAAAAGAAAAACCCCATTAATGTCATCTCATTTTTTCTTCTTTCTTCTATCTCTTCACTTCTGAATTGTACCCATGGATGCATTAAAACGAAGCTTTCTCTGACCCTTTATGTTTTTGTTTCTTGTTTTCATTCATGTAATTGAAGAAGCCCTGAAAATGGAGAAGAAGAAAATTTTGGGTTGAAGCTTTTGAGGCGGTGTTTCTTATGAGTGAATTTGGATCTTTTTTGTTATTATTATTATTTTTTTGTAACCGTGAAAGCCGTTTTCCAAGAGGGAACTGCCAAGTGATAGCTAGATGTTAGTAATGTTAGCATGGATATGATATCAACAGAAATGGACAAGAGTCGAGACGTGAGGCGTGTAACAAGTCGGTTCTCACGACAACAGATTAACAATACAAGCAACAAGCAACAACAATCTCGACCCAACCTCATCTTTGGTAAATTTACTGTAAAACCCCTACATGTCCTTCGCTTGTCGTTTCCTTTCACATTCCCTATTCTTCTTTTTTTTATTTTTCTTGTGTTGTTGATAAGAAGAGTTTAAATGGCTTTGTTCGTCCATTGATTTTGAATGTTGCGATGGAGGTGTTGGTGGGGACTTTGTTTGTTTAGAGAAACCGAAGAAAGAGAAAATAAGAAGACTGAGCAGCGTTAATGGTAATAGAGGCAGTCCCACTCCCTGTCCCTATAGCAACCAACGCTGTGAAACTGAAATGGGTAGTTGTTGTTGCTGTGATTTGTCTCCTGATAATAGTGAAAGTCAGTGTCCTTCACAGTCACATCATTCTTCTTCTCTCATCACTAGTTCCACCACCAAGAGATTTAAGATTCCCAAAAAGGTAATCCTCTTTCAACACTCTTAAATAAAATGAATTTTTTTAAAAAATTATGAAGCTTTTAAATTTTGTTTATTTATTTATTTTTCTGCAGTTTTTTGATGACTGCAATGTCGTTGATCATGCCTCTGTTCCACGGAAGCTGCGGTCAGGTGTGTAAATTGTGAATGAGAAGTAGGAAGGTTATTTTTTTAATGTATATAATTATTCTAAAAATGAAAAAGGAAAGGAATTTTTTTGTTTTTGTTTTTTTTGTACTTTATATCTGTATGTGTTTTTTGTTTTATCAGGGGTTAATCAACTTGTTGTCCTGTCGTTTTAAAATTATAAGTTTGCATTGGATGGGGGAGCTGCTGGGAAGTTTCTTGATTTTTGTTTTTGCTTTTGGATTGGAAGTTTAGAACTGAAGCGAAACCATGGCTTTTTGCTTTTTCTTTTCTTTTTATGGACGCAAATTCTTTTTGCTGTCTCTTTTCTTAATTCTATTTATAATTATTGATGCTGTGACTTTTGTATTGATTCTTTTCAATTAATTATGTTATCACCATGTTGAGTTTTTGCCTCTTTCTACATACTGAAGCTTACTTTTTCAAAGGAGATACTGGAGCTTCTTTTTGTGAATTTTAAACCTGAAGCCTTTTTTGATGTAAAGGAATAAAAAAAAAGAGGTTTGATGGGATTAATGTTTTGGAAGCCTTTTTTGATGTAAAGGAATAAAAAAAAGAGGTTTGATGGGATTAATGTTTTGGGATATTTGGAATTCTCTTCACAGCCATGAAGAAGCGCGGTTGCGAATCCATCTCCCCGCCTTTACCAGATTCAAAGAAACTGAACCATACACTTGGTGGAGGCGAATCGCATAAAAAGGATGGTGTAAAGAAACCCAAACTGAATTTGGTTAGTCAATGGTCATTGATTTCCAGAGTGTCAAGTTCAATTATCATTCTTTTTGCAGTTAAGCATTTGTAGTTTATGTAGGTGTTGAAATTACTTTTTTTTTTTTTCAAGAAACAAGGAGAGTCAGACTGGTCCAGGAAGGGAACTGTTTCTGGGCCAATCACAAAAGATGAGGAAGAGGTTGTGGAGACCCTGTATGCTTTGGCAGGAATGTTCCCTGAGGGTGACTCAATGGATAAGAATAAATTGAGTGGTGAATCAATGGAAGTAAAATCTTCAGCTCCTCTAGAGACATCAGAGAGTCCCGTCACAACACGTGAAGGTTTTCATCTATTTCTAACAATTTGGAAGAGTTTAGTTTGTTGTTATCTGTTTTATAAGTTATTTAATTCTGCAGTTAAAAAGGAAGATACGAACTCAGTTTGCCATCCACAAGCTGCTGAGACTGGTCCTTCAGCCACTATAGAGGAGTCATCCAATGAAGTTGCTGAACTCATTTCTTTGAATGGACCTGCTACTCAATATCAGCCTGGCTTGCCCTGCAGCAAAAAGTCCCGTAAAGAACCAGATAGTACTATTTCTCAAATAAGGCCGAATACTACCATCCCTTCGTTGGCTAAGAGTGAATCTGATGCTGAGAAGTCATCTTGCATTCATGGCAACTTTCATGTTCTCTCTGAACCAAGCTTAGAAACTGGGTGAATACTTGTCTTTAACTTGCATTTATCTTTTCTAGCGTTCTCCTCTTTTTTCCCTTTTAATTTTTTATGCTTATGCAGATTGAAGCAGCCCAAGCAACAGGTGACCAATCTTTTTGAGAGAAAGCCAGAGATGGCATTTGGGGTAAGCTTGACATCTAAGTCAAAATCAAAGACTGCTTTCAATGATCAATCTCAAACTCATATGGTTGCTTTGGGTTATTCGAAGGTTACTACTGTTGAAAGGCAAATGGCACAGCAACATATGATCGAGGAGCCAAGAAAAAATGGTAAATAGCAGCTTGCTTAGGAGCTTCACTTGGTATATTTAGCTTGATTTATTTTGCTATTTAGATACTCACTAACATAATGTGGTTCTGTAGGTCTTGCATTGTGGCCAGGCTTGTCTTCTTCTGTGCCCCTTGTAGCTGGGAGGAGCCCTGGTGGTTCTTCACCGTAATTCTCTTTCATCATCATAAATATCTGTTTCATTACAATCTTTATGGCATCCCTCATACTTTTAACTCTATATCAGATCATCTGCTACTAAAATTCCAGCTTGGTTGGATGCTGCAATGTATGGCCCCAGGACATGTTCACTAGAAAGTGGTTCTTCAACCGAAAAGGTAAATGTGTTCAGATGCCCGTTACCGTGACATTCATGAATGTCTCTGTGCACTTCAAGCATCTAATCAAGTGTATGGTGAATGATGAGATGTATAGGTTTTGGAACCCAACATGGATAGGAAGTCAATGAAGAGGTGTGCTACTCATGTTTATATCAGTTGTCTCATTCGTAATTTACAGATGCAAGACAGCAAAGACAGCACTCTTCAACAGCCTTTTCAATTGAAACCCCATTTAGGATTAAAGCAGACAGCTCTTTTGTATCCCAACAATTGCAGTAATTTGAGAAATGGTATAAATGGCACCATGCCTAGTATCCGTTCTGGCCATTCTACTACTGATAGAAGTTCTTACGAAGCTAGAAGTGGCATTCTGGAGAAAAAACTGCTCCATCAGGAACAACCACAGGTTGCTTCAGCATCTGGGATGCACACTTCAGAGAGGCAGGTAAAGTCAACTATTGGGATTTCTTGTGGTTGTTTCTTTCTCAGTACCCTGATTACTCGCTGTTTCCTGGCAGAGTTTTGATTTCTTGTCTTTGTCGGCTGGATGCATTGGTATGGAAGCTAATAACAGCCCTAAGATAGCTGGAAATGCAATTGAATCGTTGCAACAACTCCAAGTTCCTTACCTTCATTCACTTCCACAACATCAGTCACTCTTGCCTTTCTCAATACTCTCTTCTCGTTTTACCTCCTCTGCTTACACAGACCAGCTTTCAGCAGGAAAAGCTGCGCAGCAGGTTTTATTCTTTATATACTTTTCTTACTTTTTTTCCCTCATCTGCAAAATAGGCTTATGTTTGTGATTGATTTGAGAACTTTTAAACTGAATCGCATTGCAGCCGCCTTAATAGATGAAATCATAGTTTGTGGGACCACTATACCGATAATTGCATCCAATAAATGAGCACATCATTGAAATTGCAGCATTTAAGTTAGAAGCTAATGGGACCAATATATGGATTATTTTGCAAGCACCCAGTTGTATCATCTCGTTGCTGTTTAGGCCCACTTTAATATATTTCTGCTTGTCTGGTCATTTCTTGTCATGACAGTTTTAACTTCATGTTCTGGTATGTTTACTGTAGGTCCAACTGCACCTACCTCAATATCTTAGTAACCCTTACTGTGGCCCTCCCTACACAAGTCAGTCAGGTGTTGCAAAACCACAGCAGCAACAGCAACAACAACAACGATTTTGGGCAGCTCACCTAGCAGCTCAGTACAGGCCTGGGGGAACTTCCGCAGTCTTTACCCAATTTCCAAGTTGGCCGAATGGGAAGCCTGAGTCTTCAACATTGATGCCCTGTGCTCAGACTGCCATCCCTCCCCATTCAACACTAGATGCTGTTGGGCCCAAGTACAATACAGTCCCACAATATCAGCAGCCAAAAGTTGCCATTTCTTCATCATTGCCCCCAGCCAGATTTAAAAGGCCAGATCACCATATTCCATACCTTCTTGAAGAAGGCAGTGATGGATTTCGCGCTGCTGGGCCATCGCCATTGCAGTTACTATGCAATGAGCGCTTCTGAAGTTTGAAGTAGAAAGTTCCTTCCACTCATGACGTGCAATAACATTATTTTATTCTTTCAACTGCAAGTGAGACCTGGTGCTCATCCTTGATCAAACAGGGAGAGGTTGATGAAATTCACCACTCTGGATTCGAGCCTGAAGTAATGACAGAGCTTACTGGTAATCCGATGTTTGAAGAAATCTCTGAAACTCTCAGTAACATAAGATTCCTGTAGAGTTTTTTTAATGCTCGTTGCCCCATTGTCACCCGCTTTTCAGTGAAAGATACGAAGAAGAGATAATTGTGCATGCTTTAGGTTTAACCTTTTCTCTGTTTTCTTTTTCTCTCCCTAAAAGAAAGAATATTATGGACGGAAAGGGAACCGAAGGAAATAGTTGCATCTGAAAATCTTTATTTATGTTCTAACTTCATGGTATAATATTCCATCACTATTCAAATGCAGAACGCCATCCACCCAAATTCATTTCTTCGTAGACTTCACCATGCAGATTGTTCAAGTAGAACGCTGAATTAACATGTCAATCAATTCCTTCAAACAAAATTTAACACAAAATTACAAGGTCAAGTAACCTACTTATCTATACATCAACCATATATCAAATGGAAAACAATAGACGGTTCTCCGTTTTTAACGCTGTATCTTTTCCATGCAAAACTGGTGAACAAGTTGAAATAACACCAAAATGAAGCAACAATTAAGAAAATTTGACACAACTCTCTTTCATGCAGAATCATCTTTACTCTAGTTTCTCCAGCTCCCCCGTTCTCTCTGATAGCCTGCAAAGTTCAACAACAAAGACTAACCTCAGTGCTAGTTTCAAAGCCATCAAATATTGTCAGTCTCTTTTATGACAGGAAAAAAAGGGACCATTTTGCTTAAAATAGATCTTATTGCCATCATTTTCAAAGAGTACATTCCTAAGAACATTTTGGTAAAGACATGCAAAATAACTATGAAAATTACAAGAACAAAAATCTGAGCTACGGTTTTACCATTGCTACAAGCCTACAATTAACAATTCAATGGGTAATGATGATGATAGAGAACTACGTGACATAAAAAGGAGGTGAGGTAAAAGGATGAAAGAGGAAGAAGGAGAAAAGATGCAACTTTGATTAAAGTAACCATACAACCATCAACATGATATAGTAATTAAAGGCTTCCAGAAGGACGTGAACCTTTTTGCTTGTTTCTTGAAGCTCTCCAGCAAGAATGAATTCATCAAGTATCAGATAAACCTTCAAGAATTTCAAAGGAAAATGGTAAAGTGTATTGCAGAATACTATGACAATAAGCAACAATGCACATGTTAACACTGATAAGTTGAACATATGCTCAAATTCATATCAACAATCACTGAAGCTAACATGGTCACTTCTCAATGATCAACTTAATGCACAATTATTCCAACATATGAACAAATCAAAGCAGACAAGACAGCATAACTAACTTTCAAATACACAAGATAAAAATTGCAAAAAGCAATTTGAAAAGGCAGTTCAATAAGAGTTGAAACTTGATATCACGAACTTGATCAAAGGCCCCTTTCACAAGTTTAATTGGAAATAAAGCAAAATAAGAGGAAAAGAAAAATACATCTTTTAGGTTATTGAAACTGGCAGCTCCATATGAATCAGGTAGAAAATTTCAACTGCAAAAGTTTAAGATAACTATCAGAGTAATTACATACCTTGTATATATTAAAAACCAAGTCGAGCTCGCAAACACTGCTGAAAAAATGGTCCAATATCTCCACAAATAAATGGATGCACTCCAAATATGCCAACTCATTATCCGTTATGTCAACACACAATGAGAAAAACAATCCAGCATACCGCCTGTAGATTACCTTGTGCGTACGGAACTGAAAAAAAAAATCCATACAATCAATCAAGCATTCAGCAATTGCATTCCTAAAGCCTAAATCTTTGCTGGTGTTTTTATATTTCTTCAATTTTCAAGTTAATTTCTTTGGAGGGGTTCTTTTCTAAAGCCATGATTAATCAAACAAATTAAAGCAACTTTTCTTACTCTTTCTACAATTTTTCCTAAGTAACCTAATAAAGTAAAAGGAAATCACCAACAAAAATAGAAAGTTTATAAACAGATTTAATACGAGAATCGAGAATTTCACCAACCTCATCGAAATTAGTAAATTTTGGGTCTCTGTTAACCATCGAAACTGTACAATCAAAATATTCAAAAACCCTAATTAAGAAATTCGCCCAAATTCCAGAACAGTAGAAAAAAAGTCAACATTTTCGAATAATCAACATAAAGGGAAAATGTAACGCCTCGTATTCGATCTTGTACTTCTCAGAATCCTCGAGAGGAACATAATATTTGGCTAAACGAGTCTTGCCTTCCCTGTTTTGCAACAAAATGAATCGGATCTGCCACCATCAAAAACATAATGAAGAGATCAAACAAGGCTTCAGATCTTGAACAAAAGGAAAAAGAGTTAAACAGATAAAGTACGATATCATTGTTGGAACCAAGGAATTTGGAGTTAATACGCAAAGAGCGAAAATCTAGGGCTCGAAAATGGTACAATACGACAATGTTTTATCGTGAAGTGTTTTCTCGTTTCGCAGTTGGTCGAACTCGATATGCTTGGAAGTTTTACAGAGAAGGAAAGGAAAACTAGAGTGTAATTATGCAGACGGATAGACCCGTATGCTGCTTTATCTATCGGCGTTTGTAACCGTTGACATGTTTGACTTTCATGTTGACAAGAGGTCAAGGGCATGCTTACATGTTTATTTTTCTTTTTTTTTTTTGGCAAAAGAAACACACGCATTAGTTAAAATCTCTATGATTGAGGTTTATAAAAGGATTTATATACTATAAAGTCTCTAAAAATTAATTTTGGAGCGCCCTAAAAAAAATCAATTTTTATATGAATAGTAATACAAGCCTCTTTTATGTATCTTCTGTACCCCCCGCGGGGGGGGGGGGGGGGTGGTTTGGGCGGACAAAGACGATGTTGACACAACAACAACATCTCTACTTTGTTGTTGTCCGGTCAATCCTATTTTCAGCATGTCTTTTTATTTGTCCTCTTTGGGATATTCTCACATGATGAAGGTTTTTATTTGTAAGAAAACAGCATGTAATCCTCACTCATCATTCATTGGAAAGATTTTATCTTGGAAAATTATGAAATTTACTGCTAATAAAACAATTTAGGGGAAGGGCCCTCAACTGAAAGTGTGAGATAGTGGGCCCTTTGATCCGTTGGGTATGGTTAAGGAGTACCTCTCTTCCGCCTAATAAATAGGCGCCAGCCGAAATTTGACAAGACCAAAGCCCATTCAATTCCACCAGCTTCAGCTTCAAATGCAAACAGAATTCCAGTGAAGTGGACGCCAAGTAACGAAGCTCCATTCCCACCATATTTCTTTTGCTCCCCCCATTCCCATATCACATTTAGCTACTTGTAACCAACCTCGCCATCTCCTTCTCTCAAAATATATCATAGTTATAACAAGGTTCACTATAATTGTCAACTTTCAATATTCAATCTTGGTTTCTCTGCCAAAGTTAATGAGCATGGACGGTGAAGGGGGAGTTGTGATGATAAAGAGGGCAGAAATCGATACCAGGGCACCATTCAGGTCGGTTAGAGAGGCCGTTGCCTTGTTCGGGGATAAAGTTTTAGCTGGTGAACTTTATGCCACCAAGCTCAAGGAGGTAAATTCCAACTGTTTCTTTCTCCCTTTTTTTTTTCCTTTGGTTTGATAGCCATAATTGAGTGCTTTGATCTGAGGTTTCCACTTTTCAACACTGGAAATGTGTTATCTCATTTGACAATGATACAATCTTAGCAAGAACCAATTACATATACTGGCTATTCTCAAACAACTGAATGTTGTATTTTGCCCTTAGTGATTCATATGATGCATTGCGTTTAATCAATTTTTCTTGATCAACGATCCTTATGGCGGTGGTTCAACTCTGAATTTTTCAATTTAATATTCGGTTTCGGCCTCAATTTAAAATTGAGAAGAGTTATGTCTGCTATCTTTTACATGCTAAACAAAGCACAAACTGTTCTTATATTGTCCTGAGATATGCTCGCTTGTGGCTGAGTGAAAGTGTTACGGTTAAGCTGTGGCACTCCCTATAGCTTTGGCTTTATCATGTGATGGAATAAAGGTGTAGAAATAAAAATAGTTTGGTATAATATATTATAGGATACAATAATTATTAGGGTTTTTTTAAGCTTTATTAAGGAATCAATCTCTGATTCTTGATGAAGACATCTCCATTCCCCTTCTAGAATATCTGAAAATACTGTTAAAACTTTAGAAGTGGAGAATTATTCATCAAACAAGCAAGCATCTACTGTGTCCTTGTCTATAGTTTCCTGGCAAAAAATAATCCAGTCTTGTAAATTCATCATTTGAATTCTGGTATTGTTTGTATGTCATAATATTACCATCTAATTAACTAGTTTACTAATTTCAATTCTGACAGATGCATGGCGAAGCAAGTAGAATTAATGGTCCTTCCGAGCTGGGAACTGTTACAGCAGAGCTGGAGGCGACAAAACATAACCTACAAAAGGCCAGAGAAGAGAGTATGGCAATGGCAAATTGCCTCTCTTCTCTTAAAGAAGAGCTTGAACAAACAGAGAGAGAGCTGCAGCAAATGAAGGAACGAGAAACCGAGAAACTAATGATGGAGTTTGAGATCGCAGATGTCAAAATTGTCCCAGACTCGACAAAATTTGAAGTCAAAAAAACACAAACATGTAATGAAGAACGAACAGAGTTTCAAAAGAAGAGATACGTGACATTTGCAAATCCACCTGCTTTGGCTCAAGTTACTGTTCCACAAGGTGTCGAAAAACTGGAGAGACACCCTTCACTAAGAAAGAAGAAGAAGCCATTGATCCGTTTGATTGGAGGGATATTTTCCAAGAAAAAAGGAAGCCCAGGAATTGCATCACCAAGAAGCCCCTGAATTATTCCATACTTTGAACATAATGCTATCAGCTCCAACAATAATTACCAACTAAATTTTACATCTTCTTTTTGTGAAGTTTCATATTTCATTCAATTTCTTTTGTATACACTTCTTGCAGCGTAAGGCATGGCTGTGGATGTTTTATGAGAGAGTTGTGTTATGCAATAAAATTGATAGAAATTACTTATTTTTTATATCTAAACCTTTATTCCATTAATTTCTATCAACAGAGTTGTGTTAATCATCAACCCTGTTCCCTCAGAATCTTATCGAATTAACCCACTTTCAAGTTTTTCTCAGCACGGGACATTTTCTTTTCCCTGTGCATAAACTCTTTCATCTGCGTGCTATATATACCGTTACTTCTTTCCTCCGTACTATTTTAAAGCTACATTTTGAAGGTAACATTCTCCTTCCAACTCTCTTTATCAGTGGCCTTATTGTTGGTTTTCTACTTTTTTATTTGTTTAGTTTTGTTTATTCTCTCTTTGTACCCTAACCTAAACCCTAATTCGTGTGTTTCTCTTTCTGCTTTCTGTTTTTTTTTTTTTCAATTTAAGTTTTCATCGAGTAATTTTATTTTTTGGATGCGGTATGATTTTTCCATTTTTAAGTAATCAGTTAATATGTTTTGTTTGTTGTGAATTTCTTGCGAAAAAATTATGTTTCATCGCTCATTTCTGAGCATGAGATTGAGACAATGATTTTCTAGTTGTTGAATGATGTCATCGTTTAGGGTTTTTTTATGTATAGATTCTTTCGACTCTTCATTTTTCTTGAACTACCCGTGTCCCGCGACATGGTTATGGACATGGTTATACGAAAAACTTTTAAAAAAAATCTAAACTTACCCATGTCGGGGACACACACAGTACTGACTCTGAGCCCAAGTCTCAATAACATAGGATTTTATTGTTTGTGGGTGTAGAAATTTTCAGTTTTTAAAAGCGTTCAAACAAAACTCGTGTTTTCATAATATGTAGATCAAGTGCTTGTTTTGAACTCAGCATTCTTACGGAGGAACTAGATCAGATGCTTGGCGTTTTGTCTTCTGGTGGAAGCCATCCATGGATAATTGAGTGCCTATCAAGCTTCCCCGTATAGATATTTCTATTATACGTGGTATGGACAAATACGAATTCCTTATTTGTTGACATTTGTTTTAGTGTTTTATTATCTTCTCTCTCTTCTTTCAGGTTTGATCGAAGCAGCTCCAATATTACCGGATGGTTTAAGGAAAAATGTAAGTGAAATGGTTGATGGTAAGGGTATTCATTCGAGCAACATTACGAATAACTCTTCCATGCATCTTAAAGCAACCATTTCACTTGTATTTTTACTTAAACCATCCGGTGATACTGGATCTGTTTCGATCAAACATAAAAGAAGAGAGAAAAAAGTAATAAAACATCCAAAAAATGTCAACAAATACAAAGAGATTCATATTTGTCCATGCCAGGTATAATAGAATGTTCAAAATGCTGATGCTGATGCTGATGTAATGGTTGAGCAAAAGTGTGGAGATAGGCCTAGCCAAAACGTTGTGATGGATGAATCTAATTATGTTGAAAATGGTGCACAGCAAAACGATCCTAGACTGATGAAAACATTGATCAAGGTTTTCCATTAAGCTCCCCAAATCCCACCTCTGCTGATATGTTGCGGCAAAATATTGATCCTGGCCAGGCCAAAGTTGACATTGAGCATCCTTGTGCGGAACAAATATGTGAATTGAGGATGAGATGTTTAATATTCCCTTGAAGTCTTTTCTTCAGTTCACTGTACACACCAAGTCAAGATCCTGTGGGGAAAGCTGGCTGGACAGAACAAATTTTCTGTGTAAAGTGTAACCAAAATGGTCAGGTGTTGATCTGCAGTTCTAGTGTTTGCCCAATTGTCGTTCATGAGAGCTGCTTAGGTTCTGCTGCAAGATTTGATGATAAGCGCAACTTTTATTACCCATCTGTGCATATTCTGTTTCCATCTCAAAGTACCTAGTAGCCAAGGACAAGCCCTCTCCTTGGCAAGGAAGGAACTAGCTGTATTTATGGATCCTTTTTCAAAAAAAACTGAGGACAGCGGAAGCTTCAGAATCATTCAAGATTGGGAAGAGTTATGTCTGCTATCTTTTACATGCTAAACCAAGTACTAACCGTTTATATATTGTCCTGAGATATGCTTGCTTGTGGCTGAGTGCAAGGAAGGTTGAGCTGTCATCTCCCAATAGTTTTGAGCTTGATCATGTGATAGAATAAAATTAGTCTGGTATAATATTATAGAATATAATAATTATTAGGGTATTTTTAAACTTTATTAAGGAATCAATCTCTGATTCTTGAAGAAGATATCTCCATTCCCCTTCTAGAATTTTTGAAAATATTGTTAAAACTTTAGAAGAGGAGTATTATCCATCAAGCAAGCAAGCATCTACTCTGTCCATGTCTACAGCTTCCTAGCAGAAAATCCAGTCTTGTAAATTCATCATTTGAAACTTTGGTATTGTTTATATGTCATAATATTATCATCTAATTAACTAGTTTACTAAATTCGTTTCTAACAGAGTCATGGCGAAGCATGTAGAAATGGTCCTTCCGAGCTGGGAACTATTACAGATGAGCTGAAGGCGACAAAACTTAACCTGCAAAAGGCCAGAGAAGAGAATATGGTAATGGCAAATTGCCTCTCTTCTCTTAAACAAGAGCTTGAATGAGCGAAGAGAGAGCTGCAGCAAATGAAGGAACGAGAAACCGAGAAACTGGTGGAGTTTGAGATCGAAGGTGTCAAAATTGTTCCAGACTCGACAAATTTTGAAGTTTTAACAAAAAAAAAAAACACAAACATGTAATGAAGAAGGAACAGAGTTTCAAAAGAAGAGATACGTGACATTTGCAAATCCACCTACTTTGGCTCAAGTTAAACTGGAGAGACACCCTTCACTAAGAAGAAGAAGAAACCGTTGATCCCTTTGATTGGAGGGATATTTTCCAAGAAAAAAGGAAGCCCCAGGAACATCACCAAGAGTCCCTGAATTATTCCATACTTTGAACATAATACTTTCAGTTCCAACAATAATTATCAACTGAATTTTACTTGTTCTTTCACATTTCATTCAATTTCTTTTGTATACACTTCTAGTAGCATAAGCCATGGCTGTGGATGCTATATGAAAGAGTTAATTCATGCAACCAAGTTGACAGAAAATACTTCGTTTTTTAACTTGTGGCAAATTGAGACCAAATTTCAACTCTTATTAATAGCTTTTCCCATCTACATGCTTTCATGGGTCACTTCTACACCCTCATATTAACCCAATTTGACATCACCAGCCCCGTTCTCGGAACCCCCGCCTCGGAGTCTTAACGAACTGGCCCATCCTTTTTTCTCAGCACAGAACCTTTTTTTCTTATTCATAAACTCTTTCATTTGCTTGCTATATAAACAATTATTTTCCCATTAAATACCTTATCCCTCGCTTCTCTTCTGAAAAAAAATTTCCCCCTTTTTTCTTTATCAACTTTTTCATTTGCACCCATTTTCCTTCTTTCATACCTTTTTAAAGCTGCGATTTTGAAGGTAACATTCTCCTTCCCAATCTCCTTATAAGTAACCTAGTTGTTGGTTTTTTATTTGTTTATTTTCTCTTTGTGCCCTAACCCAAACCAAAACCCGTGTGTTTCTCTTTCTGTATTCTTTTTTTTTTTTTTTCAATTTAAGTTTTCATCTAGTCATTTTATTTTTTGAATGCGATATTTTCTAGGTTCTATTTACAATGGGTTTTTTTTTTTTTTAATGTTGATTTGACTTTGAATTTTAGTCTTTTCAGTTAATTTACGAACGCCAAACCATTGACTAGCATGGTTTTATTGAAGGATTTTTCTTATAATTTATCCACTTAGTATTCGTAGATGAGATGATTTTTGAATTTTTCAGTAATCAGTCAAATTTGTTTATTCGAATTTCTTTAAAAAAATTTATGTTTCATTGCTCATTTCTGCGCATGAGGTTGAAAATAAGCCAAATGTAGTTAAAACAGTGATTTTCTGGTGGATTTCTGATGCCATAATTTAGGAGTTTTATTTTTATGTATAAATTCTACGACTCTTCATTTTGCTGGAAAAACCCGTCTCCCACGATATGGGTGTTGGGTATGGACATTGGTTATACAAAAAAACTTAAAAAATCTAAACTTACCCATGTCGGACACACAGTATCTGACACTGACACCAGTCTGAATAACATAGGATTTTATTGTTTGTGGGTGTATAGATTTTCCGTTTTTAAAAGTTTTCAAACTTACAAAACTCGTGTTTTCATAATATGTAGATCAAGTGCTTGTTCTTGAACTCAAGCATTCTTATGGAGGAACTAGGTCGGATGTTTGGCATTTGTTCTTCTGGTTCAAGCCGTCCATGGCTTTGGATAATTGAGTACCTATCAAGCTTCCCCCAGATAGATACTTCTATTATACGTGGTATGGCCAAATACGAATCTCTTGATGTTTGTTGACTTTTTTTGGGGGTGTTTTATTACCTTTTCTCTCTTCTTTCAGGTTTGATTGAAGAAGCTCCCGTATTACCAGAGAATTTAGGAGAAAATACAAGTGAAAGGGTTGCTTTAAGATGTCTGGAGGAGTTATTTGGTCCTAAAAAGGGACTCAGTATTGTTGCTCCTCCTGATTCAAGAGTTGCCTTTAATCTTTCGGCAAGCTGCGAAGATGTTCTCGAACACATTGTGCAGGAGGTAAATATAAAACAAACATTCTATTTTCAGGTTTTATGAATTTTGGCTGTCTTGAAAGAAATTAGTATTTTTTTTTTTCATTTTTCTCATATAAGAACTTGCTAACTGGAATGTATACATTGTCAGTTATAAGTATCTTTCGTTATCAGGTCTCACTTTCAAATCTGAAAAAGGCTGGACCAGAGCTTTTGAGATGGGATGCTCATCCCTTTTTAATGCATAAAAGAGCTTCCCTACCTAAATGTGAATTAGAACAGGTAAAATAGGAATTTCTTATTTCTTTGTTCCTGCTGCAATGATGGCTAATGGGTATCAATCTTCATTCACTTTTTTTTGTGCTCATGTTCTTATTTATCTATTTATCATTTCCTATTGACCGTTTTTGAAACAGTTGAAAGATTCAATTTTGAAGGGGATTCCTGTTCTTGATGGTGATGAAAATGTGCCTGCATCAAGGTTGGATGACAATGATGATGAAACTGTTAATCAAGAGGGTAACTTGATTCCTCAGATTCATGAAAATGATAATGAAGTGTTGCAAGATGGGTTGCTTGAAAGAAATTTAATACCCTCTAAGAGGTGTAGAAATGACTTGCTTGCTGGAGATTTGGTGGGACTGATCAGTGTTAACCAGGATGGTATGCATAATGATCTTTATTTGAATGCAAAGAAGTTCCAGCAGGATGCCACTTGTTGTATTCGGTCTGTTGAACAGATTCCACTTCGATTGCATGGTGAGGAACTGTTGGAAGATGAGTCTGGAATAATTACAAAAGTTACTGAAATAGAAGGTAATAACTTGGTCAAGGATTCTCAAGCAGGTAAGGGTGACCAAGATGTGTGTGTTGCCTCAAGGACACTTGAGCAGAATAATGCTGTTGGTCATGTAGAATTGCAGGATAATCAGACGGAGAATGTTCAAAATGCTGATGCTGATGTAATGATTGAGCAAAAGAATGGAGATAGACCTAGCCAAAACGTTGTGGTGGATCAATCTATTTATGTTGAAAATGGTGCACTGCAAAAGGGTCCTAGTTGTGATGCTGGTGAAAATATTGATCAAGGTTTACCATTAAGTTCCCCAAATCCTACCCCTGCTGATGTGTTGCTGCAAAATATTGATCCTGATGCGGCCAGAGCTGACATTGAGCATCCTTGTGTGGAACAAATATGTGAATATGAAGTTGAGAGGCTTCTCTTGAAGAAGAGCCTTTTCTTGAGTTCGGAGTACACTCCAAATCAAGATCCTGTGGGGAAAGCTGGCTGGACAGAACAAAATTTTTGCGTAAAGTGTAACCAAAATGGTCAGATGTTGGTCTGCAGTTCTAGTGGTTGCCCACTTGTTGTTCATGAGAGCTGCTTGGGTTCTGCTGCTAGATTTGTTGATAAGGGCGACTTTTATTGCCCTTTCTGTGCATATTCTGTTTCCATCTCAAAGTACCTAGAAGCTAAGGACAGGACCTTCTTGGCAAGGAAGGAACTAGCTGCATTTATGAAGCATTTTTCAAAAAAACTTACCGAGGAACAGAGGAAGCTTCAGAATGATTCCACATTAAATGGTGATGAAGACCTTGCTGGAATTCAGGAGACTGGACATTTAGGAGAGCGAGAACATAATTTTATTGGCAAAAATGAAGAAGCTCATTATGGACCTTCTGTATCACATCTAAACGATAATGAAGTCTGTGTAGAAGAAAAGACATTAATGGGTGGGGCAATAGATGTTCAAGGTGAAAATAATGAACAGGGAAGAAAAAGTGGTCCATTGGCACCGGCCCATGAGAGACCATGAACACCAACAGGAGGAACAACCTGCCAACCTTAAATCAGGTAGTGACAATCCTACCAGGGAAAACACTGAAACCATCCCTGTAAATCAGGTAGAAGTTGATAGAGAAATTGTGAAGGAAGCTATAGAGCCTCAGATTACTGATCCGCCTCAGAAACCTGTCTGTGCTTTTTAGAGTGATGGAGAAGAATCTTCTACTGATGCAAATGATAAGTTTATAATATCTAGTGATAGATAAAAAATGCAACTCTCTCGTTGCTGCTCTCTTGCGTATTACTTGAAGTGCACTCATGCATCCATTATACTTATAAAGAGAGAAACCAATATACCTACTGTCAACTGTATCATAAAAAATTATAGCAAAAAAGAAAAACAATCAAAGCTTTATCATCTTCAGTGCATCTTCTCCTTTTCTGTTATTTTTTTTTTGCTTCCGTTGATTTCATATCATCTCCGCTTAAGTGTTTTTTGATTCGGGTCCTTTTCCATTTATTTTGTACTACTCGTTGAGCTTCTTGTTCTTCAACAGATCAACAAGTGGACAAAGAGTCATCAGCAGCAGCAACAGCAGAAGTCTTGATCTTTTGCTCTCTCCATCGTTGCTCTTCAAGGCTCCATACCAAAATTTCTTTTGCCTTCTATTCTACTTTTGAGGCTGCATGCGAGCTCTTCTTATGGTTTTGATCAATGTTTGCTCAGGATATTTTCTATTAACATGGAGCTCTTTGTACTGTAAAGTACTTTTTATCCTTCAATGTCCGCTTTGTGTTGTTTTGATTAATTTATGCTTCAATGTATTTAGTTTACGTTTGAATGCAATTGGAGTCAACTACTGATTTGAATGTTGACATTTTAAAGAAAAAGGTTAGATCTGAGAATTGACAACTAACTACTGGTTTATTCATTTCCATATGCTTTTCTTATTGGGACAGGGAGGACTAAGGAGGAAGGAGAGAGAGAGAGAGAGAGAGAGAGGAGTGGGGGAGACAGTGTGCTGGACCTTCAAGTAGCCCAGTTGGACCATTAAAGTGTTTGGGTCCAAGTGGTTAGGCTCTGCATGGAGCCTCGGGCCGCCGGAACTCGAAACCCTAACAAACCGGATGGAAATCAAACAAACAAAAACATTTTAATATGAAGATTTTTCTAAATGTACAAACAGAGAACAAACATTCCAAGTTTCCAACGTCTCTTTCTAAACCACGAAGGAAGAGACTAATCAAATACTTTGAACAAACTGATGTGTTAATAAAGAAAAACTTCAAAGGAAAGAACAAGATAATATGATGAAGGAGAGTAGGTGCCAAGATAATAATTTGACGATTTGATTAACAAGGCATATGATCAAACCATAAGATCAGATTTTCGACCATCCGAAATCCCCTCTTGTGATGACTTGTTGAAGAACTCAATGCAGTCAGCAATGGCCTCATTGTAATGCGAGTGGGACGAGTAATATGAACTGCATGAAGTCTTTGGTGGATCAAACCTGTCGCAGTTCTTTTGCTTGGGAGCCGTACTTGACGTGCCAGGAGATCCACCAGAAGGAAGAGAAAACAAGAGCCGCATAAGAATCTTGCGGAAACGGTGAAATAGCTTCATTGCAGACAAGTTTAACTTGGGAGAGAGAAAGCTGGCTTGAGGGGTTTGGTCTTGGTGTAGGGTTTCACTGCCTGGTCTTACTTGTACAACAAAGCTCTCTCTTAGAGGCCTGTACATTGTAAATTTGTAGTGATGGAATTTTTCTCACTCTGATTTCGGTTGCCAGATGCCCTCCGGGAAGTGTAATGCTATCATGTGTGTCGTTTGATTGTGAAGATATAAAAAGGGTGAGGTTTTCGAAAGGATGTGTTTATTCTATTTTGTAAGGTTCGTAGTGTATATTGAGAAGGAAAAATAATGTTGGCAAAGACCATGTGCCTAAATCATTCGTATTGGGCTTCACTTGTCCTCGCAATGTAGTTTGTTTATTCCAGTTCCTTGATTGATTATCTTCCACTCCAAGCAGTAGTCCAACAAAAATAACACCTGCCACTGATTATATCAAAAAAATTTATATTTCTTGTCTACTTTGAATGATCAGAAGTAAGCCAATCCATGCAGAATGCACTTGGAAAGATTAGAAGGCAAAGGATTACAAGTGCTGGTGAATGATGAGTGACCCTCATTGTCCCATAAAAAAACCCTAAAATGGATCTTTAACATATGACTAATTAATCAAACAGTTGTGGGGTCTATATAGAACGAATCAAGCTCATACTTGAATAATACTGTCTCTGCCATTGTAATCATTCACTTTTACTGTCTTGATCATAGATGAAGTACTTGAAATCCTTCATTAAAATTTTAAGCTAAAAATTTCATCTGATCTTTTTTCTCAATTCTTATTATCTCCACCTCAAGTGGGGGTGCCAGACATGCCAAAATTCTACCATGCTTTCATGTTCTCTGGCGACCTTAACAAGCTATGATCATTCATTGATTAGGCAAGTATGTATAAAGCTAAACAACTAAATCGGTTGATGAGATTTTTTAGCCAATTCTAAGCAAAAGAATTTGTGGTCCTAACAAGCTAAATTCATAGTTTAGCTCCTCCGTACATGGATCAATCACAAAAGTAAGTCCAAAAAACAGGAGGGAAAGAAAACCCAATATTTGAAATAGTGAAATAAAAATTGGAAAGAGTGAAACATGATGAGATTGACAAGAGTTTAGATGACATCATTGAGAGTGGAGGGTTAGGGCAATGATTTGTTAAGACAAACATGATTGTGTCTCGTACTTGCATCTTTAAACTAAGAAGTGGAAGAATCATGAGGTTTACCACATTCCTGTTGAGTTTCATTCACAATTATGGAGATTAAGATTAGTTTTTTCCCTTGTATGTTGGGCTTAATAATTAGCTTGTTAATTGACATTTGATAGATTCTGCTTACACGTTCTATCCCCCCAACAAAGCTGAAAAAAAAAAGATTGAAAACGAGTAAAGAAGAAAAGAACTTAATTGCCACGCGAATTGGACCTCTAACGTGCCTGGTTATATTTGGGTCCGGTTGCCTTTGAAGGACCTGAACTCAGGTTTCATGGGTGGGGCATTAATCCTGGTCAAGATAAGTAGGCCCAGCCTCAAAGAATGGATCTACTGTAGTATTAACGGCATGGCGTCAGTAATCTTTCAACTTAACTAAATGTGTTTGTTTCTTCACTTTCTACTCTTTGGATACCTCCTCAAAACATCAGGATGTTGGGAAAAGGCAAAAACCCCTTTATCTTATGTAAAGGAACAGCTTTATAATGTTGCAAAATATGACAGGTGAAACAGGATTGAAACTTTAAAAGTTAAAACTATAGCCATTGATCATGGATCCTTCACTCTGCCAAGTATTCTAGCCTTTGCCCTTTGTGTATCAGCAATGGTTCTTGCAAATCAGCTGGCTCTGTAAACAGCAGGAAGGTGCAGAAATTTAGTTATGGTTAAAAGATGCCTAATCATGTGTCCAAATCAGAGCTGAAACTTTCTAGAACAATGAATTTCTAAAGCATACCAGATAGAGGAAGCACTCTGGTTAGATTTACAGCTTTAAATGAGCCTGTACAATAAAGCAAAGACTCGTATGCAACAACTTAATTTCCTCTTGTTTAGGATGAAGGGAAAATTTTAAGTAAATAAACAACGAACTTCTTCAGCCTGCTTTCCTTCATAAAAATGTTCAATAATGATGACTTTTCCATATGGTCAGTATTTGAATTCAACATATATAAATAATATACATGTCACACCTGTTTATCTGCATGTGTTGGAAAATTCAATCTGAAATGAAATTGCATGTAGTATATTAAAATGAAAATGCTTACACTGTTTGGACCCCCTTTTTTTTTTTGTGTTAGGTTAACCCATCTCTCATTTCCGTCCAACCGAAGTACCAAACCATTCTTATAGTACTATTTTTCTTAGTATATTTGCAAATTATACGTTTTTTTTTTGTTAGATTTCGATTGAGATTAAGTTCGAAATTTTTAGAGTTGATTTCAATACCTTGGGATGGTTTTATCTGTTTGACTTTTATAACATCTGCAGGAGCAATACCAAAACTAGAATAGATGCTGTAGGCTAACGAAATCTACAATTAAGAAAAAGACCTGATTAATTACTCATCCTAATTAAGTACTGAATGAAATTAATGGTAGCTTTCACCAACAACTTTGATTAGGAACCACGGCCAACCATCAACCTGTCAACGCTCACTACCTACTTATCCCAAATGAATCTTAGTTATTAGCAAATCAGATTGAAATTAAATTTGATTTTGACTGTAGGAAACTTCTCATGACATGAGCATGGATGACCCCGGACTTAAAATATAGTTTAATGTGCAAGAATTTCAGTAATCTCAACAAAGATTGCGTTAATTAATAAGTATTATGATGTTGGGAAGGCAACTAATTCTTATAATTTAAGTCAAATTACAATACTAAAATCCAAACACTTAGAAACAAGAAGAACGCAATGAATGTGCATATGCTAGAGCATGTGTCCGCAATAATCATCTGTCCACTGTACTTTGTTATAAAACCCATCATCCCTCATGCCTGAACGAGGCCTTTGTCCGGTTTCCCAATCCTTGTTTAGTTGCGTGGTCAAACTCCACAGGATCCCACTTTTTTTTTCTTTGCTTTTGCAATTATTCCTAGATAATCTCACGTGGGTCTTAATAATGCTGCTCCAACGCCCGTCTAAATCATCTCCCTTTCAACATAATTTGAATTTTCAAGTAAAAAAATATTTCGCACCCCAAATATGGCCATACTTTTAACAATTTAAACCAGGTTCTTTGATTAATTTGATACAGGAAATGGGCTAGAAATGTATGACAAGGGATTTATTTGTGGTACCACAAACCCACCAAGAAAGCACAGATTGCAGGTGAGTGAATTAAAACAGTGAAAAGGTGTCCATGAAGATGACAATTCAATGACTACCAATTTATAAACCTCTCCCTACAAAAAAAATAAATGAAGCAGCAGCAGAAATTTTCCCGTTGCTTTGTTTATGTACAACGCAGCGCCTACATGGTAGACAAGCAATCAATTATTTTATATAAAAAACTATAATTTAAAAATAATTATCCGATTTAGTTGAACTAAATTCAATTCAACAATCAATGATTTTAGAGTGTTTAATTTAAAAAATTGAACCCAAAGTTTACCAACAAAATTAAATTTTTATGTAACAATCAAATATTTAATTTGGCCTATCAGATTTATCAGCCACGCTTGCAGTTGAGCTAGCAACGTTAAAATTTAAAATTAATTTTAAAAAAATGGAAGGAGGGAAGATTTGATCTCGGAACAACGTAGATCAACATTTATGTACACAGTTAACGTGGATCGCTTGATTTTAATTCTATGAAAACGAAGATATTTGACTTCAAAGGAGTCAAGATTCAAGGGCTTTGTAGATGACTACGAAACAAGGAAGGATAGCCCTTGGATTAAAGACAACCAACTCCTCGAGATTGGAGTAGGCCCCGGCGTACGCAGCTAGCGAATCGTACGAGCCAACCGATGAGCTGCTATTATCCTCCTCCAACGGCGCATCCTCCGTCACTGGCTTCACCCTTCCCGCGATCACACGGCAAACCAGCATTGCCCTACGCCCGTCCGTACATTTAAGTGAGTCGTGGGCCCTACCGCTACTAGCCGTAGTGCGGACACCTTTGAATTCTGCGGCCCCAGCGGTTCCACCTTTGTTTTGGAACCCATGTCTGATTATGGTGCAGACACCGCAACCCGGGACGGAGCCGCACAAGCTGGACGAACCACGGGCGCCGAGGGAGCACGACAAGGTAGTGCAGTGGAAACGGAGGAGCTCGTTACCGTCAGCTGCCAACCTGGGGTTTTTTCTCGTGCCATTGACTGCACGTGTCTTCACCGCGTCGCGGCAGTCCTCGAACCGTTGGATGGTCCGCTGTGTGTTGTGGACTTTTAATATGCGTTCGATCTTACAGATTGGATTATCCTTCTTTAGCCAGCTTGATTTGAAGATAATTTCCACAATATTTCTGCCCGAATCTTCTGGGCCCAACTCCGAAACTACACCACAAAAGAATCAAATCAAATTAAAATTATTTTTTAAAAAATTTTGTTGCATTAATTGGAACATTAATTGGACTTGTCGGTGGGGTCACGGTCCTCATAAACCGTGCAAATTTGGCGTTACAGGCGGGGGAAATATGCACTGATGTGAAAGTCCTTCCCTCCTTTATTTATGCAAACGACAGTGGTGATATTTAACATGGTAATAAATAGATTTACGGACAAATTATTGATGAAATGACATGAGAGTTTGTTGTTTTGAATTTCCTTGTAAATTATGAAAAAATATATTTTTTAAATTGTTAGATTTTATGTAAATAAATTTATTTAAATCAATTAAAAAATACTAAAAAACTTAAACATCTTTACAGCTAAACAAAGGATTTACGGCATTAAAAAGTGAGATTTTGTTAAAGCAATAGAAAAGGCTGATTAGTCAAATTTGCAAAGTGAAAAAAAGTAGCAATGACATAATTGGTAAACCATTTGACTGTAATAAGTAGTCGTTAATCATCTTATAAACTAGTGATTGTACTCCTTTGTTTCTTATGGATAATAAAGAAAAAGAGACACTTTTTCTTTAGAAAAAATTTGTAACTTTGGATCAATTCGAGAATAGGTATTAATTAAGACAAAATGAACAAAAAAAAAAAGATAATTAGCTTTTATATGTAATCCAATCGATTTTAATATTACAACTTATTACTTAAAAAATGTAAAATGAAACAATTCTATTTTCTAAACTATACATTAGAAATTGTAATTTTCTTGCTAAAGAAATTACTGTAAATAATTCAGGAAAAATATACTCCAGGACTAAAATTAGCAGATGAAGCTTAAGAGTTACATTTACCTGCATGACGGACAGCTTGATGAAGCTCCAAGCTTTCAATCTTTGGGAAGACCTCTCCGCACTGTGAGCAGGCACAGATAGTTGTTCTTGAGGATGGATGCCTGATAATATCATATTTGGTCAAATAACCAAGCAAAATTTAATGGAAAATGAGGAGCTAGTATTTCTTTTTTCTTTATATTTGTATGGTAATAAAACCTGCTGGGGTCAACGATCATGTGACACTCATAACAACCAGAAAGCTTCCTGAATTGCATAGCTCTTGATGAAGATGACGTCGTGTACGTTGAGCTGCTGTTGGATCTTGTTGACCCTGACAACGACCGACTTGACGAGCCATTTGCAGCTTTGCGTCTGAGTAACCCAGTTTCTTGATCCACTGTGCTACTCTCAGGTGAGTTATCAGCTCTGTGAACAACCTTCGTGTTGCTATGAACGACGTCCCTGAAGCTGCAGATAGAGTTGCAAGAGGAACCAAGTTTTGAGTACCCATGATGCTGAGGAGGGTTATTCTTTGAAGGGTCGTGAACTTTTGAGCCTTCGATCTGTTTGCAAGTGAGCAAGTTCTTGATTTGGTCCCATGAAGACGGTTGCTTTTTCTGCTTTCTTCTGCGCTTGGTCGACGGTTGTTGTTTCGTGGGCTCTGCCGCCGGCTCCGGTAAGAAAGTGAGTAAAGCCATAAAAAACAAAGCAAGGAGATAATAATAAAATAGTAAAAGAGTAGCAGATCTAGCTCTCTCTTTCATTAAAGAGAGGGCTTTTGATTTTTTTTTTTTTTTTCTTTTAGTGTGGGCAAATAGAGAGGGATCCAAGACGGGTAATAAGGAGGCAAAGTGAGAATGGTGGGAGTGGGTAGCTGCTTATTTACATCTATGTTTCTTCACTTTTTTTTTTATTTACCTCTCTTCCTTGCCATTGGACAAGTGCTTACATTTTGGACCACTTAATATAACTCCCGACGTGACGGTTGTTCCATTGATTTTGGCCCGGGTCAATGGAAAAGTAATCTCATCAAACGGCTCAGCACTTGACTGAATGACTGGCCCATTTAAATACTATGTATGTTTGGACGGCCAAGATGGCCTTGGCTGGCGTAATTGTCTTGGTACTTTTTTGTCTTCGTTGGGCTCGCAATAATTTTTACACCATTTAGTCTTATTTTCCTTTTAAGGATTGCATATAAAATTCACAGTACATAACTTTGGATAAAAAGGTGAGTTTGGAACCGTTCAAATGAATATTATTTCGTTAACAGTAAAAATTTTTATTTTAATGATCAAATTTAATTTCTTAAAATATTTATAAAACATTATTTTTCGTTGCAATTTGTAATTCGAATTTTAATATAGTTTGGATAATTAAAAAAATAATTCGGATACTTAAAATTTATTTAAATGAATGATAAAATTGATTTGGTTAAATTAAAAAATTATTATTATTATTATTATTATTATAATTAAAAAGTTTTAATAAAAATTGTATATTAAATAAATTTTGTTAAATTTAATTGAAGGTTAAAATTTAACCCCAAGTCAATAAAAATGGGGTCCAGATTCTCAAAGTTAGGAAAAGAAAAGGTGCATGAGCCGAAGGGAACATCATATAAGACACGCAGAAAGAATAGGAACTCCCCGTCGCAGTTTGCGTCTTCCAATGCCACTCTCAAATCGCTATCCATTGTGGTGCATAAAAAATCAACAACCTGCTCCGAATAATCTCCAACAAAGGCTTGAGCTAACGACTCAAATGTCTATATCACTATCGCATTGTCAACCAATCCCAGATGGGCTAGGTAACTTGACCACCCTAGTGACTTAGGTAGCCTGATAAAGTCAAGACATGCCTCACAACCTGGCCGTACGTAGGGCTCACAAATTGACTCACTCACCAAGAATGTTGAACCGAAGAGTTTTGGCATAAGCATTTTGGGGCTACCATTTATCCATTTCAATAAGATATCCATTTCATTCAGATGAAACCAACAGCAGCGGGAATCAAGATACAGTTTCAATAGAAGAAGTTAGTATCATAAGATGAGATTTAAGCTTTGATTCATACGATTTTAAGATTCAAAAAATTATTAATTTGATATTTTAGATTAATTTATTTATCACAGTTTATATTTTTATGAGGTATTAATTATTTTGATTTTTTTAATCTTATGTTTTTATCTTAAAAAAGACGTCTCACAAAGAGAAAGCGATGTGAACTCTTATATACCTTAGTAACCCTCCTTTTATTCTGATGTAGGATTCAACACTCTTTTTTAAGTCTGTGACATTTTATTTGTCACAGATCGAGACTTAAGCTCCGACCCGTGTGGTTTCAGAATCCGGGCATGCACTCATCCGTCATCTCAGATCAATCTATCTGTCACGGTTCACACACTTATGAGATATTATCCGTTCTGACCTCCCTGGGCTCACGGTTTTATCTTAAAAAAAGCATCTCACAAGGTAGAGGTGATGTTAACCTTTTTATGCCCCAGTGACCTTCCGTTTATGTCTGATGTGGAATTCAGGACTCTTCCTTAGGTTCGTGACATTTTCTCCCATCCAACCTCGTGACGCCCTCGTCGCGGAGGCTAGCCACTCTGTTTACTTTCCTTGAGGCATTTTGGCGTGGAACGAATGGTTTAGGGTTGGCTCTGATACTACTTGTCATGGGTCGAGACTTAAGCTTCGACCCGCGCGGCTCCAGGACCCGGACATGCACTCATCCGACGTCCAAAATCAGCCTACCTGTCACGGTTCACACCCTTGTGAGGTATTGTCTACTCTGACCCCCTAACCTCACGATTTTATCTTACAAAAAATGTCTCATAAGACAAAGGTGGTATGAAACTTTTTATACCCGAGTGACCTTCTTTTTATATTCGATGTAGGATTCATGACTCCTCCTTAGGTCTATGACATTCTCTCTCACTCAACCTCGTAACGTTCTCGTCGTGAAGGCTGGCCACCCTGCCATGTAGACCACTTAAGACAGGTGTTCGAGGTGTTGTGAGCACACAAGCTATTTGTCAAGAGAGATAAGTGCTCGTTTGCCCAGCATGAGATCTCATTCCTAGGCCACATAATGGGAGGTGGCAGGATAAGCGTGGATGAAGGTAAGATGTGTGCCATTCTAGAGTGGAAACCGCCAACCAAGGTCATTGAGTTGAGGTCATTCCTTAGGTTGATCAACTACTACAGGCACTTCATCAAAGCCCATTCAACAATAGCCATGCCATTGACTGACTTGCTCAAGAAAGGGAAAACATGGGAGTGAAGTGCAGGTGTGATGATGTGAGACATGGGAACGCCAAGATTGAAACCTAGGCAGAGTTTCAAAAGGAGTTCAGGGAACAGTTTTACCCAGAGTATGCCGATGATGAGACGCAAGCAAAGTTGCAAAGGCTGAGCCAGTAAGGGGACATAAGAGAGTATGTCTAAAAATTATTTGAACTGATGCTATAGATCTCAGATCTAGGTGAGAAATATGCCCTATTTACTTTCATGGATGGGCTGAAGCCGTAGGTGAAGCATGAGCTATAACGGAGGGAAGTTCATGACTTAGCTAAAGCCATGACTATTGCTGAGTCATTGATAGAGTTTAGACCACTGAACAAGTTCAAGTTTTTAAAGCCAAAGGGTAAGGGCAATGACGAGAAAGATCGAAAGAAACAGTCCAAGAGTAAGGATCGTGACCGGCAATCTAAAGATAGGGACCGAGAGTGTTCAGACAAGGATGACGAGAGGAAGCCACCAGCAAGTAAGTGGAAAGCTAAGCGGGAGCAAGAGCCTCTCGCATGCTACCGATGTGGAGGGAGCCACATAGCGCGTAATTGCCTACAAAATGGCAAGCTGGTTGTTATAGACAATGAGTCTGACGAGGAGCCAGATGCAGGGGCAGCAAAGCTTGGGTCGTTGGTGCTCAATACTGTCCAGAGTAAGGGGAACTGCAAGCCAAAAGGCTTGATGTTTGTGGATCTGATGGTTGCAGGTCAGAAGGTGAGCGCACTGATGGACACACGTGTCTTACATCTTTTTATTTTAGGTAGTATGAATTTTTTTATATTCCAGTAACCCTCATTTTATGTCTAATGTGGGATTCATGACTCTTTTTTAAGTTCGTAACATTCTCACTTACCCAACCTCATGATGCCCTCGTCATGAAGGTTGGTCACCCTACCTACCTCTTTCGAGACGTTTGACGTGAATCGAACGGTTTAGGGCTGGCTCTAATACCATTTGTCACGGGTCAAAACTTAAGCTCTAACTCGGACGACTCCAAGACTCGGGCATCTACTCCCAGATCAACCTACCTACCACGGTTCATACTTTTGTGAGGTTTTATCCACTCTGGCCCTCCTGACCTTATGATTTTATCTTACAAAATGTGTCTCACAGTGAAAAAATGGTATGAATCGTTTTATATCTCAATGACTCTACTTTTATATTCGATGTGAGATTTAAGATTTCTCCTTAAATCCGTGATACTGACAACGTTTTTGCTTAACTGTAATGAATATTAACTTAATTATTATAAGAGAAAACTAAAAAAAAAAAAAATGAAGTACCTTTCCCAAGAGTTGTTCGAACTCAAATACAGATTTGGCTAACCATTCGCTGAAAAAAATTAGAAAAAAGCTGTGTTCCCTTGTTTTAAGCCATAAGGGAACCAGATCACTCCATATCTGATCCATTATGTAACCACCAATAAAGAAAACAAACAATAAACAAACAAACAATCAAATACAAAACTAATTAATAAAAGAATGATTCCTCTCGAGTACGACTGAAAAATTATTACCTTATACAAGCAAAAAAAAAAAAAATACAAATATTTCCTAAGCTATTTCGAAGCCGATATTTTATTTTATTTAATTAATTTATATAATTATTCTTAAAAATTAAATTTATTTCATTTTATTATATGACCCCAAATTAATTGCCAATTATAAGAACATCACCAAATCTCAATTATTATGTTAGGTAACAATGATAAGTTTACACGTATGTTCTACGCATTTTATATCTTAAAAATTGATGAAATCTCCCAAAAGTGTAAGAAGAAACTTAGAGATGGATTTTTTTTTTTTTTCTGGCTGAGCAAAGGTTAATATTTGGTAGAGGCTCGAGTGAGTCTAGCACTAAAACCCACGTGCAACTTGGGGTTTGCTTGGCTCATATTAGTTGGCCGACCATGTTCACATCAACACATTTGAAGATTGATAAAAATAAAACTAAAGTTACAAGGTTTGCGGTTGTCGTGATGTTTTATAGAGACATACTCCATATATGCTGTTTATATATATATATAGTAGAAGCTGACCTAACAGCTGATCTCATGTATTTTTGGCTCTTTCATGCCCTTTCAAAATAACTCAAAAGAGTTGATAAAGTTAACTCGAATTAAAATTTTAAACTTGATCCAATTTGATTTTATCATAAGAAATCAACAATAATTAATTCAAAACTTAAATGATTCAAAACCAAGTGACTCATACGATTAGCTCAAAACAACATCATTTTTTCAACATGAAAATAACTCGAACCGGAATAATCTAAATGTAAAATATGCATAACCCGAATCCAAAACAATTCAAAATTTTCGACTTGGAAATGACCCGGCCCAACTAATCCAAATGCTACCTCTAAGTTCAGCAACTACGAAGGTTGGGCTGCAAAGAAACTCGTAGGATTTAATAGCCCAATGAAATTTATATGGGCGTAACATGAATGTCATGAAACCAAAATACCTCACACACTGATAAAATGGGCCCTGTTCTGGGTCCATTTGGAAAAGTTCTTTTGTTATTAATTGGGCTTGTCCGAGGATTCAGATCCAAACATGAACATCATCGTCAATTCCTTGTTACAACGTTTACCGGTTAAAAAGCTTTTAGCTTAAATCGTAGGCTTCTAAGGTTCTATGCTTTTTTGTTGGGAAAGTTGGGTTCCAACATGTCCGAAACTAGACCTCAATCGGACTTGATTCAAAATCCTAGAGTAACCTCGGAAGGTTGCAGTGTATTGCTTGACATCAATGACGGTGATCGCCTTGTTTTCGCTCGTCTCTCTGCCGGCTCGTGAGCTCCTTTTTCTGAAAACAGATGTTTTACTGATTATCAAAAGTTGGATTTTTCGTTGTTTGATTGGTTAATTTGGTTGACTATAATGTTTCAGGACCTTGAAAATTGGGAACAAGACATGCTCTTTGCAACCATTGATTGGATGTCCCTTTGGTTCTCTGTTTCAAGTTGAAAGCGGAAAGGAAAGGCCTTATCTTTCCCGCTTCGTTCCCAACTCCGAAGGTTTTTTCCTTTTTTTTTTTAAGACAATTATTAACGTTGTTTGTGTAGCTTAATCTTGTTGCCTTTTGTTGATTTCAAGGTAACTTTAAAAAGGAATGCTCTTTTGATATTTTTGCTGTCTATATTTCGCAGAGGACAATGTTGAAGATGAAGGAGGTTGTCAATTACAAGAAGAATCCCGAGACAACCGAGCAATAATTGATAATAATCAAGCCCAAAGCCTCACCGGTGAAGATATTGACGCTATGCGGAGGTGAGAAACTTTTTGTTATAGGTTTTTATGCAAACGAATCTTCGCTGATTGCTTATTCTTCTCATGCAGACAGGGGGCAACGGGAAATGAAATTGTTGAGGCTCTCATTGCTAACAGTGCAACTTTTGAAAAGAAAACGCAGTTCTCGCAGGTTAGTTCACATCATGCCCAGACGTTTATCAATGGGTAGCAATTTTGAATGTTAGCTGGTTTGGTAGGCTAATAAAAAGAAATTGAAGGGGAAACATAAGTGTTTTTGTGTTTTACCTGCAGGAAAAATATAGACTCAAGAAGCAGAAGAAATATGCTCCCAGAGTACTTCTAAGACGCCCCTTTTCTCGAAGGTAACTCCCTAACTCTTAACTCAAGTGGCTTTTCTGAGCTGTGGTTTTTTGAAATGGTTTTTTTTTTTGTTATTATCTTAGTTGTCTTTGTTGACACGTGTGTTTGCCACTATTGTATCAGTATATGTGAGGCATACTTAAAGAAGTATCCAGCTCGGATTGGGTAATCACCATTTTGTGTTAACTATGTTTTGATCATTTACTTCGACAGGCATATCAATTAGAATTCATTTGTTCTTCCTTGCCTATGATTCAGATTTTTGCGAGTGGATGCTTTATCTCTGTTGCTTTCAATGGCTAATGTTACTGCAAACTCAGATGTCCTTGTAGTGGATATGGTTGGTGGACTTCTTACTGGCGCTGTGGCAGAGCGTTTAGGAGGTATGGAACATATTTTAGTTCCTAGAGTCATTTAAATATTGTAACTGAAACCACAAGACCTGTCATGAAAAAGGGCAGTTTGACATTACTAATAAAATATAGTTTTAGTATTTTACTTTCCTTTTTTATTATGTGCAATGAAGTTAAAAAATTTTAATTGTTTTCAACTATCATGAACAATGAAGTCTTGGACCTTTTTTAAAGCTTTTCATACCTGAAGTTTCTTTGTTGCTGTCATTTTGTCTGTGAGAGAACAATTTTGGACCCATTGTCTAGTTTTTTGCATGATACCTTTTGGTCAACAGGTACAGGTAGTGTGTGCAATACTTATCTTGGAGGGACACCGTATCCTATGGAGATAATAAGGATGTTCAACTTCAGTAATGAAATTTGTGAGAGGTAGACCACCAGTTGCTGAGTTTTGCTAAATTTGCTTGAAATATTATCTTATAAAAGTAAATACTGGAGGCTATTATCTCATTTTCATGGAGCATTTTCCTTAACTAGTCACTCCTCTTTTCTTTTTACTTTGTCTCCCATACACAGTGCTCAGATGCAAATACAGAATTAGGTTCATGAATCATGGCATTCAAAATGTTTTCTTTCTTCCTATTTGTTCCAGAATTTTGCGGTGTTCACTCAATGACCTTTGTTCAGCCCAAAATGGAACTGGTGAGCAAGTTGGTCAACAGGAAGATGTCTTTACCGTGGAGAGTCATTCTAATGTTAGTCATGCTCCCTTGTTATTAAGTTTGTTCTTTTTCTGAAGCCCCCTAAATGTATCACAGTGCTTTCTTCAGGAACAAACATCCTTATCAGTTGGCATGGAAGAGGTTCATCTTTCGTCTGAAAGTGGAGTTGCGGGTCTTGTTCGTGAGAATGAACTCTCTACAGTAAGCAAGACTCACAAAGCCCGAAAAGCTGGAGGCAACGCTCCAAAAGAAGCCATTCAGTTATGGAAAGAAAATGGTTTCTCTAGGTACCTACAGCTACAGAAGTTAGAATTTAAACAATTGCTTTATAAATCTAAAAATAATATAATTCCTTAATTCTTACTTTCAATGTCTTTGTGTAGCCTAATTGTTGCTGCACCAGAGCAGGATGCTTGGAGCTTAGTGAAAGATTTGCTGCCCCTTCTATCATACTCAGCTTCTTTTGCAATCTATCACCAGTATCTTCAGGTCATTTGCTTTAATTTCCTCCCTGGTTACTGCTTTAAATCTTTTATAGGAACCAAATTTATAATTCTATTCATGTAGAAAAACAGTAGTTAAGTATGTGCCTTGCAAAAGAGTCAAGATGGTAGTCATCACCTTTCCCTTGCAAATGAATTTTTGTACATCTACGCATAAATTTGGTGCCGATCACTCTTTAGACAATTAACTTAAATATCTATACGTCGAAAAATACAGCCTCTTGCAACATGCATGCGCAATCTGCAACTTGAGAAGATGGCAATCGGGTTGCAAATTTCGGAACCTTGGTTACGCGAATATCAGGTTCACTTCCCTTGTTCCTTACAAATGTTTTTCTATATTATTTTGTTGTTTCCTTCAAGTAGGAATTGTAGTCCCATTAAGAGTTGTATTTGACTGTATAGTTATCAACTGTAATAACATGTAGTCATTTAATGTTATATATTTTATGCAGGTTCTTCCATCAAGAACCCATCCTTGCATGCAGATGAGCGGATCCGGGGGTTATATCCTAAGCGGTATTCGGACATATACAAGCCAATCCTCCTAGTTCCTAAATTTCAATAAACGAAAAGATCACGTGTATTAGTAACTCAACTCAAAATGGTTGCTAATGTATTATCACTTTTTTTTTATGGGCAACTTTGAGCATAATTTTTCAATGGAAAATTACAAAAAAGTTACGTTAAGGTCAAAATAATTTTGACATTTATCTTTGAATTTCTTTATTTGCATTTTTGTCAACATGGATAATATGCTTTTCTCATCTTTTGCCATTTTCTTGAACCCAAATTTTACACATTTTTTCTAAAAAATTTCTAACGATATTGTGGCCGAAAAAAGAACTATAATAGTGAACGAAAATGGGCTTGGCCTACTTAGCCATAGAATTTAGAGGAATGGCCCAGGCCGTCATTGTTTGGATTGGAAAACCCTAGAGAATAGAACCGTAAGCCCATTTAGCCCAATAGGCGAATGGAGTGAGAGTCAAAAGGCGGGCCGTGCAGATTCGAACTCTCGGCTTTTCTTATTTCTCTCCCCTGGACTTTCTTCCTTCCCGCTGTTTGCTCACTCTCTTTCTTTTTTTCCGTTCCCTTTTCCTTTTCAATTTCAATCTCTCCCTCTCTATCTTTCCTTTTTCCGTTTCCGTTTCCTTTTCAATTTCAATCTCTCCCTCTATTACTTCTCTTTATTGTTCTCTCAGTTCGCTCTAACTCCTCTATAAAATCGTCTCCCTCTTTTTTTCCTTTCTCTCCAGACAAAAAGAAAAGCTGGCGCTGATGGCGGATTCGAGCGAAGATCCGAACCCCGCACACCATGCGGCGCAATTTCAGTTTCAGCTGATCCATTCTCATTCACAGTCTTTAGGCACCGAAAACAATCAAAATCAGAAGCAGCCGTTCTCATATGGCGAACGAATATTCCCTACATATTCAGGGGGGCCGCCTCTCATCTTCTCCTCTTTTGATCAAACTAATACTCGCCTCGACCGCTCCCATTCCGCTTTCGCTACTCTCCCCGTAAGTTTCTTTCCCATAATTTTTATTTTAAAATTTGTTTATGTATCTTTATTTTTCAATTTTTTACGCTGCAGCACTTTTTTTTTTCAGCTCAATTTAGATCAATTTTTTTTTAATTAATACGGCGCCTGAAATTTTTTTTAGGGCATTTAGTGTTCAAATTTTCGTGTAGGAACTATAATCATGTTGAGGATTTTAGGGTTAAAATGTCTTCGTTGTTGATAAGCTCAATGGGGACAATAAAGATCGGTAAAAATTCAATTTTGTTGCATTTGACGTCTAAATTTTCAACAACATGAGATATTGTAATGATTGTCCGCAGTTGAACCAAACGAAAGAAAGAGAGAATGGTGAGGCTCAGACAAGTGGAAGAGCAGACGTCTCTGGAAATGGAAAAGTCATTGACCATCCCACGCTTGAAACTGAACATCGCGATGGTGGTAAGCCTAATAGCAAAGCAAAGACTAAGAAGAATGCCAAGTCTGGGACTCAGAAACCAAATGCTGGTATTGTTATTTGATTAACTGCAAGTGGTACATAAACAGACATTTGTTGTAATGGCCATGCCTGAGTTTTCCTTCAACTGGTCTTTCCTTGCAGAGTCTCCCAATGGACTGAGTGCAGCTGGTAACTGTAGATATGACAGTTCTTTAGGTTGGTTGTTGTTTCTTTGCTTTAATTCTTGCTTATGAATACGATTGCACTTAGGCATTGTTCATTGGATGGCTGCATCTTTTTTGGCAGGCTTGTTGACAAAGAAGTTTGTGAACTTGATCATGGAGGCCGAAGATGGCATCCTTGATCTGAACCATACTGCTGAAGTGTTAGAGGTATAAAAATGTGTCCTTTGTAAGATTTCGTGCTTCCCTTTTCTTCTTCTTTCTTTCTTTCTTTTCTAAAGATAATCTCCTTTGTAAGATTTCACTTTCTTATGTTGTAGAACTTTAGAAAGCTTTGATTTCCAATGTAATGATTCAAATATATATACATATAAAATCGAAGCAATTTTTATGTAATTGTTTAACACTTCATCTACTATCCATTTTGGTGCCATAAAATTGATTTACCGATGTTTGTTTGCTGACAAATTCTTTATATCGTCTTTGTCTTGTATGTGTTGGGTTTAACAGGTCCAAAAGAGAAGGATATATGATATCACAAATGTTCTTGAAGGAATTGGATTGATAGAGAAAACTTCAAAGAACCACATACGGTGGAAGTAATAATTCATTATCTTTCTTGAGTGGTTATATGCAAAATTAGAAATTGATAACAACCTGTAGGCTTTCTAAGCAGGAGATCTGATGATATGGAATCGAAGGAGCTGGATGATCAAGTTACTAGGTTAAAGGTGCTTACCACATCACTTTTTTTTGAATCTCCTTCTTGTATATAGTTGCTTTTATATTGCTGCATGTTGTATCATGCACATCTGTTTCTTGTCTTGTTCCTTGTAGCATATATACCATGACAATTTATTGTCATGGGTGCTAACATTGAACCATTCAAGTTTCTACTTAGCCTTTCTAATTGTCTACTGGTAATTGGTTTCATTACAGGCTGAGATTCAAAGTTTATATGCTGAAGAATGCAGGCTTGACAATTACATAAGGTTTGGGAAATTAAGATTTTGAGAGTTTTCTTAATGGTTTTAGATCTATTCAGGCTTTAAGCTGTTATAATTTTTTCTCTACAGAGAAAAGCAAGAGAGTCTATGGTATCTGGATGAAGATGCAAATTATCGGAAGTATACTCCTTTCTACTTGTCATTTTGATCTCATTTTCTGATGTGATTTAATTTTTCTGATTTTATTTACATACGTGGACTTTAAGGTATCTTTTTTTGACGGAGGAAGACATAATGAGCCTTCCATGCCTCCAGGTCAGTTATCCTTACAATGGAATTCGTTTGGAACTAAATCTGATATGACAGACATATTTTAGACTTCACTATCTGAGTATGCATTATTCCTTCAGAACCAAACAGTTTTTGCAATTAAAGCTCCTGAAAATAGTTACATTGAAGTTCCTGATCCTGATGAGGTGAGTTGTCTGGTGAAATGGGTTTCAAACTTCTATAATACATCAGAATATGATTGGTTAGCTGCATTTATTCATAATCAGGATATTGGTTTTCCACAAAGGCAGTTTATTGGTTTTCAAGAAAGGCAGTATAAAATGATCATCAGAAGTCATAACGGACCAGTTGATCTTTTCCTCCTGAGGTAAGTTTTTTATGTAATTTCACATGCTTGCTAATATTCACGTATACTTGAATTTGGTTTGGGGTTTTTGACAATTTTTTGCCTCACCCCCATTCTTCTGCTCTATGCTCTTTAGGCTTTTACTGTTTCCCGTTGTTCTATAACTGTTGTGCACTGGATGGATGTAGCAAATATGAAGGCCAAGTGGAGGATATAACTGTCAAGCAGGCTAAATCAGTGGATGCTTCTTGTAGTTATGGTCTGGGTGGATTGCAAAGGCAAGAGCTGTCTTCAGAAGAGAAATCTAGTCAAAAGAATTCTTCTAAAACAGTCAATTTACTTTGCCATGAGGCATACAGGATTCAGAAGATAATTCCGACAGTCAGCGATGTAAGTCTATTCCTTTTTAAGTTTTTCTTTTCTTGGAAGTCATAAATGTGCATGCAAAGTGGTAAAGGATACCTGACTGACTTGCTTCAATTTTGTCCATCTTTAGCAGATTGATGATGATTACTGGTTCCAATCAGACCCTGGAGTCAGCATCACCGACTTGTGGGATACATAGGAGTTAGGAGCTTTTAATTATTCATGATTTCACTACAATCAGAATGGTTTGAGCTATGAACATCCATCTGACTGGAAAACGAGTGGATAATAATCTATACTTCTCCATAACTTTAACTAAAGAGAGATCATTGGACCGCGGTAGAGGATCTTTCTCAAGATGAATGTTCTAACAATGATGCAGCATTAGTTAACATATAAGCATCACTTGGGGATACGATGTCCACATTGTAAATGAAAGACACGTAGTTTAGATAAATTTCATTGAACATGAAATTAGTGGGATTATTACCACATTTCGAGGATAGAACTTTCTCCTTTTAATAAAACTGATAATTGTTGATACAGATTTCTCACGGTCATGCTACATCCTGTCAAGGACAACCTATACGATAAATTTACTAATATCCTCTATTGTTTCAGAATTCAGACAATCCTGTTATGGGAAACGGGAATTTTATCTAACGAAATGTTTGAAGAATTTGAAGAAAAAGGAAAAATGCATTCCAGAATACCCCTTCTTTTTTTTTTTTTTATGATTGACGTATAATTAAAAAAAATGAATTAAAAAGCCCAATAAAGTGAAAACAAAAGGCCCAGAATACCTGTTCGGCCAGGCCCAGAATACCTCAAATGAGACAAGATTGTCTACGTATTTGTCGTCACTCAACATCAAAACGGACAAGCCTGGAAGAGAAATGGGTTGGTGAGCCCAATAAAGCCCAATTATAGGCCCATAATTCCTCAAAGGCAAACGGAAGAGCCGAATAAAGAAACAGAAAAAGAACTCTTCCCATTTATCTTCTTTTCTCCTCTGTTTTACGGTTTGCGAAGAACAGGTAATAGTCTCTTTCATTCATATTTTCCTTCAACAATTCGAATCTCCGCTGGGTTCCCTGAAGATCGCGGAGTCAGGTAATAAACACCATTTTCATGGGCATTGTATTTCTGTTTGATTTCATGATTCACATCTGCACGATACTGATAAAATCAAATTGGGGTTTCGGTTTTAAGTAATCGTGCTTCATGCACAAAATTACGACGTACAAAACATTTTTTTGTTGGTGGATTGGTGTTTGATGAATGCATTTATATGGGTTGACATGTAAGTTAATTTTACAAATGAATTATTTTAATCCAAGTTAATTACCATTTGCTTCACCATTTCCATTTGTTAATCATTTGTAATACCCTTCTATTCATTTTCTTTTTTCCCGTTGTTGTTCTTCATAATCTGAGAATTAGAAACATGGTCCTGAGTTGTAAGAAGTTTAGAATGCTCATCAATAGTGGCATTATCTGAAGATTACACATTTGCCAATAGGAATAAATTGCTTATTTAATTCCCTTTTTCAGGGTTACATTAGCTGACAATCATACGCACTCGCCAAGGAGATCATTTTTGTCCCAGATTAACTCAAGGTAATGATTAAAAGTCTCAGAAGTGTTTATCTTCATGTTATTGTGTTCTTTTCTTTTGGGTGGACTTAAATTTATTCATGTATGATGAAATATATTGTTTTTAGGTCAGATATATGATTTTCCCTTTGCTTAACTTACATTTGTATATTAGAATATATCTTTTGCTAAAGGGTATAAAACTATAAAGCAATGTAATTATTATGCTTAAAGTTTGTCAATGACTGAAGCACCACCATTTTGCTTATCAATGTGAAGCAGTAATTTTTGAGATTGTTTCTGGCATGCACTTTAAGCAATCAATTGAAATTTCATGGCTTTAATGGTAAGGTAGTTTGTAATATTCATGCTGATTGAAATACTATTTAATTTGAGTGTACATTGCTGTTGTAGATGGAGACTGAAGGTAGTCAACCAAAACAGGAGCGCTCAAGAACAAGGTTGACAAGAAAACATGGAATAACATATGTGATATTAACTACTATTTAATTTAAGAGTATTGCAGAGAGAAAAGAAAACGACCATCTGAGACACAATCTTCTTTGAGCAGAAAGGATGAAGAAATGTCGGAGGCTATGGCAGGAGCAATGTTGGATATGCCTGCTGCTTGGAGGTCGAGGACTACTGCCACAAAATCAAGGGATGGCAAATTTAGCATAACTAATTGCATTAAAGCATTGGATGAGATGTAAGACATTGAAGATCAACTCTATATTGCAGCTATAGACCTCTTTGAAGGCCCCAACTTAAGGGAAACCTTTATCTCTGTAAAAGGTGGCAAGATAAGGCTGACATGGTTGCAAGGGAAGTGAGGGAAACCTGCAAGGACTTCTAAGTTAGAGGGTGAATCTTTGGCTCTTTTGGTAGTGTAAAGATTTACGCAATCTTTTAATTTTAGGGAGCTAGTTTGTTCATACATTGGTTGCATAGTACATATTGTTCGATGAGATGTTCTTGTTGTGGTGCAAAGGCACTTGTATACGTGCAATTTTGCAAATAATGGAATCGTGCTTTTTGCATTGGCTGGCAACTGAATGCTTTAGTTTATAGATTTTCAAAGGGTGCTCCTCTAACTCTCTGTTAGTGGCCCCCTTCTCCAAGAGAGGGAGAGAGCGGCCATCACCTCGAATTGATTCTGAGTTCATTAAGGTGCATGCTCTTATCAATAAGCTCATCAGAGTCAAGAAGCAGCTAGATGGTAGATTCTCTTCTTCGCATAAAAGCTACTAAAACCAGAGGAAGCATCATTTCGGAAAAAAGAAAAAGAAAAAGAAAAAGCTCCCGCACTCGGCACATTGTTTCTTTAATCATCCAATACCACGAACAACATTGATTGAGACACTCACCAATCATAATTCTTTGGTCAACAATCCCCTCACTGTGAAAACAATTATCCCTCGTCCAAAACTAGCAAGTTGTTCCACTATTTAAGTACATCAAAAAGTTGAAAATGTAATAAAATAGAATGAGAAAAAAAATGTACGATAAATAGAAAAGGATTTTACAATATAAGGTTCTTTTTCCGGAATTTATCCAATTTATGTTGATCACCAAGCGAATCAAGTCCAAAATCATTGCCCTTCTGTCTTGTAGGACTTCAGTCATCATCTTTAAATTCCCTGTTTAAAACAAAACACACAATCATTCAAACAATAGTACTCTGGCTTTTAATCTCTTTGTTATGGCTATTTTCAAAATCTAATAAAAACACTTCTCAAGCAAAACTGGAAGCTGTTTTAGACATGCCTAAGCATCCTTTTTCATTCTTATCGACAGATTATGATCTCCATTACCCAATTATATAAGCTGAGTGTATATACCTGCGATCGAGATACCGAGGTTGAATCCCACTACCTTGGCAAGTAGTGCATGTTAAAGAACCAACGCCTTCACAGTTAATGCATTTCGAAACTTCTTTCTCATCCCCACCAAGCTCTACACCTATCGTCCCATTTCCCATGCAAAATCTACACCTCTCTGTACCATCACAAAAATTTAAAAATTACCCAATAAAACCTCATAACTAGATTTTTCAAGTAGAATTAGCAACAAATCATTGACAATTTTGCATTAATCAATTGGAAATACTCCAAACTTTGAAATTTTCCCCATAATTTCTCTTGATTTTGTCACTTAAATTGTTACACTAGAGAATGAATTACTTACGGGCACCGGTGCCATTGCAAGGGAAGCAGGGTTGGGTATTTTCTCGATTTGCCTGCAAAATAAATAGAACCCATTTTTTGTTATAAAATTTTAACCCATAAATGCTACTAAATTATTAAAAATTTATATTAAAGGAAAAAAGAACTAACAGCATTATCGATTTGGGACTCGTAGAAGACTGGAATGCCAATCCCAACCGCTATGCTGACAAGCCCAACCGACACTGCTACTATCTGAAAACAGCTTTCTCCATGTTACTTTATTTATAGAAAATTATGCAAAATTAAGTACATGGTGAGGAAATAGTAATTAAGGGTAGAGGAAGAACTGTGTTCTGATCAAGATCAACGGCTCTGATGCATGGATAACACGCTGGCGACCGTTGGGTTCTTCCACATTTGAAGGGCAATGATGGAGTGGAGAGCTTGAGTGGACAGCAGAGAAATGGAGAGTGAAGACGAGAGAGCGAAGGAGCTATTAACATTTTTTTCTTATTTTGGGAAATCAGAATTCTAAGGATATTAAAGATAAGCTCCAAGAAACGAGACCTGGCAACGGCGGATTTTGGATATGTTCATTGCGGGGTCGGCAACAATATCAGCCACGAACACAGTTGGAGGATTTTGTATGCTCCACGTGGCGATCTCTACTGCTTCCGTTTCGACTTGAAATTTTGTTTGGGCCTAGTTTTAGGCTGGTTAGATTGTTTTGGGTTTTGATAAACCCAAAGTTTCTATAACCCTCACCCACTTCCAAAGCTTACATTTTGGGCAGCTGAGAGATTCATTGGCCCAATAATATTGGACCATCTGCTTTTATAACATTAGCATTGAAAGTGCTTTTACAAAATTCAAGAATATATTCTCAAAAAAAAAATTCATGCAACAGGTAATGTCTTGGTTTGGCATGAACAAAGTTTATTGCCTTCCCATGTCCCAAGATAGACCAATGGCACTGAAATCAACCTAAATGATGTTAAACCCATTATGACATACTTACTCCAATAATCCTTTACTCATGTGCTTGCTTGTACTGTAAAACTTGGGACAATTCCCTGGATGTGCTTCGCCTCTCTCTCATTCATACAATGAGTTCAACAGAGAGAGGTGTTTGAGACTTGAAAGCATACTATAATCGAACCAGATCGTCATTATTGTCTTAACTGGCAAAATTTTTTTGAATCATTAGTTTCATTAAAAAACGATGAACTAAATAAATTTTTATTGAATTGGATAAGTTTGATATATGCTTGTAAAATGATCTTAAAATCATAATTAATTTAGCTTTTTTAATAAAAATTGTGAATTTTCATCATTTATAAAAAATAACTAGTTTTAAATGTTAATAACTCAAAAGTTAAAGATAAATTACAAAATTCAAACTTACAGGATACAATTTATCTTCAAATCACACAATCACATTATCCTTCAGGTATATTTTATCCTATTTTCTAATTATTGATTAATTTCTTTAAATTAAAAATATTTTTATTAATTCAATAATCGATCTAAATAATCTAGTAACAGTTAAGCAAATGTCCGATCCGTTTCTATTTCTACGTTTATGCAGCTATGCTTGAGAGCGACAGCCCACCAAACAGATATAATTCGGCGAGGCTGTCGAATTAAGTCTGTTGAGACCCATTGTCCCATGATGTCCAATGCCCATGGACCGATTCTTCCTGCCACTATTCCACGCACTCACCGCTGCGCTGCCCCCCCCCCCCCCCCCTTTTTTTTTTTTTGCTTGTTTTGGATTTGGCCGAGCACTTTCTAATTTACTGCAGCAATTGAGAAACTTAGAATCCAAGGTTACGAGAAAAATAAAAATAAAAAAAAACCCTTCCCCGTCACATGCCTTACCTTTTTCCATCATTTCTCATTTATGTGACCTTCCTTTTTCACTTCATGCCCCCCCCCCACCCCTACCCCTTTTTCGTTTGCTTCTAATTTACACAAAACACGCCAGTGATATATTATCCATGTCCTTTACGTTAGACACGTCCAAAGCATTAATTCATGTCATCATTATTTATTTCTAAGATCCAGTCATAATATTCTAAATACCACACTTGATTCACTTATAAAGATTGATATATATTCTCCGGCAGCAGCAAATGGACACCCAAAGCAAAATGTGCATCTAATCATATAATTTTTTATAGTTCAATTAGGGGTATTTTTCGGATTTGTCATACCATACCATAAAAATAACTCATTTTACGAGAACAATTATGACAAATTATTACGACCCAAAATGTGTTTGTATAAAATAAAATTGTACTATTTTTTTCACGTTTCACGCTTACAGCTTTTGACGATAACCAAAAAGGTGGGCATTAACAATTAGATATGGTTAACGCCTTAATGGTTAATTATGCAATGCCTTACAAAATGTAGGTCATTATTAATTGGTCTTAAAACTGGTAATCATTATTGTGCCTAATTAACTTTCTAACAGAGGCGATAATTACAATGGACCCCCACCGGACGCTTCAACTTTGTTTGGACTCAAAAAGCTATTGCGCTTATTTAGCGGCCCAGCTGTAGTCAAAGGTCGGTCCAGATTTACAATGGATTAAGATATAATGAATTGTACGTTCAACGATATTAAAATTGATTAAATTTTAAATTAAAATTTTAATTGTAATTAAAAAATACTGATTAAAATGGTGTGAAAAGCATATATAAATTATATGTATTTAAGCCACAATGTCAATTATTATTTGGTCATTTTATCTATATTTCGAAAAGGAAAAATAGCATTGTAAAAGTGTGAAATGTAATTAGCAGATAATCATAATATGTGATCTTTATGAATTATTGAAGATGTTTGTAATAACTATTTTAGGAGTTGAGTAAAGCCCGCACCAAAAGAAAGAAGGTTGAGTAAAGGGATGAAGATTACCTCCCAAAAAAAAAAAAAGGTGAAATCAATAATTCAAATATAAAACATATCTCATAAACGCATGCTATAATTAAAAGTTTAAGACATATAATTTTTCATCGTCGGACGAGATTCGATGTGGTTTGACAAATTGCACAAACCTAACAATAAAAGAAAAAAAAAGATTATAGAAATTGATATAAATGAAGTAGATGGAATCAATCTTTTAAAACTCAAGATATAAAAATAGCAAAGATTCTTCTAGTACGATAATTGACGATAAAATTTATAAATAATCATATAATTTATTAATAAAATACTGAATTATTAATTTTAATTATTAAAATTTATTTTTTAATACTCACAATATATATATAAAGCTACGAAAAAACCATTTTACAAATCTTACCTAAAAATAATATTTTTAATTAATATTGATAAAAAATTTTCATAAAAAAATTAGCTAGTAAATCTCTGCTCGTTATGTACAACGATCACTTACTTTGCCCGTTAATTGGCTATCGATTTTCCTCTTTTTGCTTTTTCCTTTTTCATCCTTATCCTCTTCATAATATTGTCCTGTCTTAGAAGGGTATAATAGAAATTTCATGATTCGAACCAAACAGACAAGCGATTATCTACAATCAGGAAAATCCCACATATTGATCCTTTGTTAAACCCAGAAGGAGGTGAGCCGTCCATCTTGAATCAGACGGTGACTGGCTAACAATAGCGGAAAATTTCCCAGTGTGATGCACTACACAAAAATATTTTCTCCTTAAAATTACAAATTCGGACATAAGGGAATTTAAAAAGGATCGACACAAAAGAGAGACTGCGTGAATTGTGATGCTATCACTCTCCACTCTCTTTAATTTTTTTTTTTTTTCCCCAAAAGTCCTCTCTTTCTCTCTATATCACTGCTACCGCCGACTTCGTAACGGTTAGCCGTCGTATTTCCGCTTATTTTACCGTTCGCCGGCGATCCTCCTCAGAAACGCATCTGTTATTTCCTTGAAATCCTCTAAACACTCGCTTCCGTGCTTTAGATTAACTCTCACTTCCGATTTTGTTAAAGCCGTTTGTTGTTTGCCTCGTTTTATTGAAAATACTCTTTAAAAGGTATTAATCGCTCTCCTATTTTCCCATCTATTTTCCTATATTTTCGTTTTTTTTTTAGGTAATTGATTCCGCAACCACCGGAATCGAACTATCATCTGGCATTACATTGTTGATAACGATATTTTCTTGAATTTTTGTTCTTTAACCGTTTATTATTCTCATTTTCTTGGTTTCTTGTATTTGATTTTCGTCATTTTTTTTTTTTTTTTTTGGAACTCGATAATGTTTGCTTTTCTCCTCCGATTATTTCTTTGTTTTCACTGCTAGTCGGTGCGATATGTTTGGGTAATTTTAAACATTTACAGTTCCGTACAGAAGATTTTTGGTAGCTAATTAGTTTTAATACTTGGTACTTTGTTATAACTTGCGTAATAAAGGGTAATTAGCTTAATCATTGTGGTTTTTGAACTTGTAAGATTACGTTAATCTTACTCCCCTGTTTGGTTGCTCCGAAAACTGAGGATAAATGGATATTCCTTGCAGGTTTTATGTTGTTTTCATTTCCAGTATCTGATAATCCTTACTCGACTAGGTTTAAGAGTGTTTTCATTATCAGTTAAGTGGATCTTGATCGTTAAGTGGTAACAAGTAGGATTAAGATTTTTTATCTTCTAGTATCTTTTTTCCCACTTTGATTTATGGGACCAAGAAATTTTTAAAACTCAACTTGATTAGGCCTTGTTTGACTAGGAATTATAGCATATTTGGATTTAGAGAATTGAAATAATTCCTCTTCTTTGGTAGTTCATTAAGGGAGGAAGTAAAGTGAGAGTAGGGCAAATTTTAGGTAACAATTTCTCTCTAGGTTTTCTTTTGAAAAGATTTGGAGATGGGACTAACTATTATTAATTTTCTTTCTTTTGAAACCAAAAAAAATTAGATTTTTGTTAGAAATTGTCACTTTGCTAAAATCTCGGGTATGGTGAGGAATGCAATTATTAATCTCTTCAGGAATGTGGATAAAGAGGCTGATATTCTGCATAAATTTCGTATTTGTTATTTTGTGTTGGTTGACTAGATTATATATTGTTCTAATTTTCTAAGATTCGTAATACTGATTTTGTTACTGATTTTTAACTTCAGGAAGTGTTTTCTTTCATCAAAAAGTAAACAAAATGATTGGATCCTTTCTTACCAGAGGACTTGTGTATGTTTTTCCTTGCAACTGTTTCTCTTTATCGTATGAGTTTTAGTTTATTCTTTTACTTGGAATTAATCTTTTTTGGTTTTAAATATTGTGGTAGGATGGCTTTTGGGTATGCTTATCCTGCATATGAATGTTATAAAACTGTTGAAATGAATAAGCCTGAGATTGAGCAACTGCGCTTTTGGTGCCAGTACTGGTAGGTCTCTAATTGCAATTTTTTTTCGTTTATGATTCTACAAATATTATTTATGTTGTCACTTTTCTTTTGTTCCCCCCCCCCCCCCCCGGTTTTTCTTTTCTGGTTTCAGGATATTGGTGGCTGTTTTGACAGTTTGTGAGAGAATTGGTGATGCTTTTATATCATGGTAGGGAATCATAAAAAGTGAGGATGTTTTCTTGTCTGTTTTTTCTTTTCTCACTGTGCTCTCGTTTGGCTTTTTTGAAGGGTTCCAATGTACAGTGAAGCTAAGTTGGCATTCTTTATATACCTATGGTACCCTAAAACAAAGGTAGGTGTATTACTTTTTAAAGAAAAAAGAACTTTTACTTGTCCATCTACGTGTTGATGGTGTTTTAATTGGCCTTCTGTTTTCATTTATGTCAGGGAACTTCTTATGTGTATGACTCCTTCTTTAGGCCATATGTTGCAAAGCATGAAAATGAGATTGACCGTAACTTGTTGGAACTAAGGACTAGAGCTGGAGATATGGCAGTTGTTTACTGGCAAAGAGCTGCAAGCTATGGGCAGACAAGAATTTTTGAGATCCTGCAGTATGTTGCTTCACAGTCCACCCCAAGACCTCAGCGTGCTCAGGTAGTTATTGAATTAAAACCAATTGTAGTTTGTGCTGCCATTACCTCCTCAGATTGTAGTTTCCCTGGAGTTGGAAAATGGCCTCTCGCTATCATGCATTAAACTGTCTGTACAGATGCAATGTTTTAATTAATTGAAATGTCTAGTGTAATTAATCTTTGCTAACTTTCATTTTTTTGTTCTGGTTTAGCTTCTGAAGTTTATTTCTCTTGTCTCCATAACTTCAGAATTCTCAGTCACATGGTGCTATGGCTCGCCAACAGTCCAGTGTGCCGAACCGGCAATCATCTAGTGAAGCACCAGCATCACAACCAGAGGCTGAAGAACCGCCTTCACCGACATCTAGTACATCTTCAAGTCAACACCAAAAGGAAGAAGCTGAAGAGGTAGGACCTTCAAAGGTGCCTTCACAGGTGGCTAAACCAGCTACCCCTTCAGCATCCTCAAATAGCCAAAAAGCAGATACTGCATCCGAAAGTACCAGCCACCCTGCTGAAACTGAAGCAGAAGCAATGCAAATTGAACCAGTGCCACCTTCTCCAGGGAATGAAAGCACAAACCCTCCCCCAAAAGAGACTATCATGGAAGAAAGCATACGACTCACGCGTGGCAGATTGAGGAAAACCCGTTCTGCAGCACGTTAAAAATAATTGTTTTGGTTCCTTTTCTTTTTAATCTACAGAACTTGCACTTAAATCAGTGGTTGTATAATGGTATTGAATCATTGTTGTTGACACTGATGTAAATTTCTCGTCTTCTAGTTTCCATTTCATTTGTTACTTTATTATTATTTATTTCAAACTGAATTTCCTACGTCCGTCCGCCCAATTGATTCAAAACTCCAACTGGGTGAGATGAAGATGTTTCCATTAGGATAGGTACATTAGGTATTGTATAAATAAATCTGATAATTTAAAATATGAAATAATAAAATGAACACAATATAAAAAAAAATAAAATATAAAAATAATACGATTAAAATTTTAATAATAATTATATATAATTTTAATAAAATAAAAATATTTTATACTGTTATGTTAATATGAGTTGTAATAAATAATTTTTATATAAAATGTGATATAAATATGTAAATTTTAATAATCTACATAATATAATTATATGAATAGTTGAATATAAGAAGAAAAGAACGATTTGGAGTTAATCTCGCCTGCGTCTTCAGATGGGAGAGATTTTACATGTACCGTTAACTTGTTGCATTTTGGTACGCAATGGTTGAATTTTTTAGTGATTGGTTGTGTGGAAGTTGGTGAAAGAGTGAATTAAAAAAGGATTAGGGATGGATAATCCCGGGGCATGAATGCTTTGCAGCTGCTACATTGGTCTGCTTTAAACCACGCAGCTTCATCTTACGTAGCTTTGGGTCAGAAGCTTAATTAAAATAAATTAAGTTCACCAAAGCTGACCAAGATGCCGTTTATGGCGACACTGTCGCTAATTAATTCCTACAAAACTAAAGTTAGGTTACAGAACGCTGCAATTAAATCCCACTGTAAGACAGCGTTAGGTGAAAGCATGCGATTTTTCCTCTCTTTGCTTTGATCCTTTCTGAGTTTTTTTTTTTTTTTTTCTCTTTTCCTTCCTTTTCGGACCTGTGGAAACTGTATTACAAAAGGATAATGTCAAAAGCTCGTGCATGAAAACAGTGAAAAGAACAAAAATGGTTGATGCCAAGTAATCCAAGGAGGGTGAATAATACCCAAAAGTAGCCTTCTTAGCCCAAAGAATCACAAGTTTAGCCCAAATTCTTGCTTGTTGGCCCCGTATTGGTTCCAATATAGAAGCAGCTTCGGCTTTTCATGGCAAAGAAAGGAGACTGCTTTTGCTGGAGGAAGTGTATCCTCAAAATAAGGAAACCTCACGTGTTAAAATACGTGGACGCAACGAAAATAGATAAAGAAAGGATGTTCGGCCCAAGAGATACTTGTCCCTCTCGCCCAGAAGATGACCATAGACCCTTCATCTGAGAGCTGACTCGTGTAAGGCCCAATCCAGGCACTGATAGAGCCGCTTAACCCACTTACCAATCACGGTTAAAACAAGATCAACCGTCATTCTCGTACACCAGTTCATCAGACGTTGGTCTCCAGTTAAATAAATGGCTGATATGAATCCTGCAAGTCTTAAACCTTAGAACCTGGGACGGTTGGACGCAGTAAAATAGTGGTTCCCTCGTTGCGCAAATCTCGCCTGACCAAACTAAGGGGCATATCTGGCATTAAAACATCAGGAAAAAAACAGAAAATATATTATGTTGTCCTGCTTGAAATAAACAGTGTCGGTGTTCTCTGTCCTGTAAGAAGAGTCACCAATTAAACAAATTTATGAAACTGATGAGGATCGATGTTTTGCTGATTTGGCACCAGATCCAGCTACTCTTTTTCCTTTATTAGCTTCTCTTTAACTAATCAACACTGTTTCTAAACCACATTTCCCTCACAATAATTTCAGAGCCATTCAACTGTACAGATCTTTTTCCCAAGGAAAATCCCATATTCTTCTTTTTCTTTCTTTTCTTAGCACATTGTACCTGTTTTAAACCCTGCGCTTCTCTTTTAATATATTCATTGTCCAATGCGCTTGTTTTGATCAAAGATCTTACGTTCAAGGGGGGATTTTGAAGTGACAAAACAATGGGAAAAGATTCAAAGTCGAGAGGATGTTTGGGGTGGTTTCTGGTGGTAGTAATATTAGCTTTGGTCTTGGGAGCCGTTGTTTATACAATCAAGAAGAAAATTGATCAAGCCAACGATAATAAGCCCGCTCCCGTTCCAGGTCCTCCTGGCGCTATTGACAAGAAGTATGCTGATGCTCTCAAAATCGCCATGCAATTCTTTGACGTTCAAAAATGTACCTTTTTTTTTAACCCGCATTCACTCTATATTCTTTTATCTGTTTACGTATAAAGTTATTCTCTTTGTTCGAAATTTGCTTTCTCTGAGGATACCTTTTAACATATTAACCCGGATTCGAAGTAGCTTGATATTTACTTTTAGTTTGGTTAGTTAAAACAAGTAGTTTCTTCATTAAACTTTTTATTGGGGTAACTTTTTACTAGGCCTTTCAAAAATATGAAATTTTAATGATATGATATTATTAGCAACTTTCTACTGCTTAAGATTGGTTCTTTTCTTGGGTAAATATTTTATTTGAGGTGGGGTTGTTGCTTGTTTGTTGCTGCAGCTGGTAAATTAGTGGATAATAAGATACCATGGAGAGGAGATTCGGGGCTTAAGGATGGAAGTGAAGCGAAGTTGGATCTTTCCAAGGGGATGTATGATGCTGGGGATCACATCAAATTTGGTTTTCCATTGGCCTTTACTGCTACAGTGTTTTCATGGGCTATCCTTGAGTATGGCGATCAGATGGAGGCAGTAAATCAACTGGAACCTGCTCAAGAATCTCTCAAGTGGATAACCGATTTCCTTATAAATTCTCATCCTTCAGAGAATGTGCTCTATATTCAGGTTATCATTGTCTTTAACTTCCATCTACTTTTTTGGATTGTGTGTATATGTACAGAAGTGATTGCGGAACTGGATTTAAATTGTTTTTGTTTTTCTCATCTTGCCTTTGAAATTTACGTTCTGACTTATTAACATGACTAGGGACTTTGACCAAAGGTAGCAATTATTAGAGATTGGGATATCTGGAAGTTTAGCAATTGGTTCTAAGCCTCTAACTTACAGCTTGGTATTTCTGATGTTGGTTGTGATGGGTTGCCATGAAAACATGAGATGAATTAGATTGTCTTAATAGCATGCTATTGTTCATAGTCTCATTTTGCAAAGTGAGAAACCTTGTGCCATTTCTGCAGTTGTATTGTAAACTATACTTGATTTGGAATCTAAGATGGTGTGACCTAATTGATAATTGCACAATCTTTAAGAAAAAAAAAAAGAAGAAAGAGCCTTTGAAATATATCTTAACTCTTTTACTTTTTTACTTCCATCATTGAGGCAGGTGGGTGACCCTGTAGCAGACCATAAATGTTGGGAAAGACCTGAGGACATGAAAGAGAAGAGGCCTCTTACACAGGTTAATGCATCTGTTCCAGGGACAGAAGTTGCAGCTGAAACTGCTGCTGCTATGGCTTCAGCATCTCTGGTGTTTAAGACAGCTGACTCCACATATTCAAGCATGCTTCTTAAGCATGCCAAGCAACTTTTTACTTTTGCAGACAAACATAGAGGTTCTTACAGTGAGAACATCCCAGAAGTTGCAACATATTACAATTCAACAGGATATGGAGATGAGCTATTATGGGCAGCAAGCTGGCTCTATCATGCGACGGGTGACCAATTATACCTTGAATATGTGACTGGGGAAAACGGGGAAGAATTTGCTGAATGGGAAAGTCCAACCTGGTTTAGCTGGGATAATAAGCATGCAGGAACCCAGGTAAGGTTCTCTCTTAGAGGAATTTGAAGCAAGATGCTGTGCTCTCTTTTTTACTGTTACCTTCATTTTATAGACTTGTCTCAAGCATTGTGATATATGAAAGGCCAAGCTCAATTCGTTATATTCATAAATTTACTTTTCCACCTATTAATGCATCACGTGTTACGAAATGAGCATGATGACTAGACTGTTTCAGTTTTAATTCTTTTTTTGCTAACCAGCATAACCTGAATGCAACTATTGTAGGATATCTGGCCGCTTTTGTCAGATTCTGCATATTGGCTTGTCTCTGCTTCATTTTAATTTGCTCTGAATGGATATCTGAACCAGAAATTTTGCATAGTATTATTCTGTTTTTTTTACTTGTTACCTGATTAAGCTACATCTATGTAGGTTTTGCTTTCCAGGTTAAGCTTGTTTGGTGACAAAGGTGCGTCTGGGAATTCTGGCCTTGAAAACTATAGAAAGTCTGCCGAGGATGTTATGTGCTGCCTTCTACCAAAGTCTCCTTCTGCCACATCCAGCAGAACTGACGGTAATGTCTTCGTTAAAGCTAAGTGACTTGGATGCATTTTTGTGCTATTTAGATCTTGAATTTGACGAAAGGAAGAGGTTGAAAGAAAGTTCCTTATCAAATTTTGACTAATAAATCAACCTAATTGATGCTCACCCTTCAAGTCACAAGTCTGTAGCTGCATGTTGAGACATCTAGAAAGACAGAAAGAGAAACAGGAGAGATATAAGCAATAAAAGTTGTCTTGAAATTAAATACCCGGTATATCTAGTTTACCAAATTCATATCCTAATTTTAGACAGTAAATAATTATTACTGTCAGACCTTTGTTAGCATACTTCACTTATTCTTTTAGGGGAATTACATTGTGCTCACAGGTCACTAAAGCCAATTCCAAAATGAATTAGCTCTGATTCTTGGGATCACTTTTGTTTACCAGTATAGTCTTTCTGGTGCAGGTGGTCTTATATGGGTCAGTGAATGGGATGCTCTGCAGCATCCTGTTGCTTCTGCATTCTTAGCTGCTCTTTACAGTGATTACATGCTTACGTCACAGACTGCAAAGCTAACCTGCGGTGACGATTCATTCAAACCATCAGATCTTAGAAAGTTTGCCAAATCACAGGTATGCTGTTTACATTATCGGAGAAATATGTTGCACAAATTAGAAATATTCATCTTAAAGTTTCATTCCCGCTTAATAATAGTACTATGACACTCTTTGCCTCCAGGCTGATTATGTCTTGGGCAGTAACCCCATTAAAATGAGCTTTCTTGTGGGGTATGGAGATAAATACCCACAATATGTGCATCATAGAGGAGCTTCAATTCCAGCTGATGCAACTACTGGTTGCACTGATGGCTTCAAGTGGCTTGATTCAACTAAACCCAATCCTAATGTAGCTGTTGGAGCTCTTGTGGGTGGGCCTTTCTTAAACGAAACATACATTGATTCCCGGAACAATTCAGTGCAAGGAGAGCCAACCACATATAACAGTGCCGTCATTGTTGGCCTCCTCTCAAGTTTGGTGACTACCTCTTCTGCAGTTAAATCCTTCACCCAAAAGTAGCCATAGTCAGTAACCGATTACACATTTATTTGTACTATATGTAGCTGTATTAATACCGTGTTTTCCTGCAAAATTTAGTGTTTTAAGTAGTTTGTTCTACTCGGGTGAACTCAGACACGGCTCGCCTGCACTGAGTTTTTTCTGGTGTATTTTGGAGGGATAGCCTCATATATGTATCTTTTTTCAACCGGTGATTATGTGAGAGTTTAATCCCTCACTCTTTCAATTATATTTCTTAGTCTGTGTAATTTCTGTTTGGTTTATTAATTTGAGTAAATCACTAGAAATACTATGTACTTTTGGGAAACGAACATTGATTTGAGTTCAATAACAGAGCTTGAAGACGAATATAATATCTACTTGTAGCAGGGGAGATGATTTTTTTCCCATCTAAAAATATACCAGCTTTAATAATGCAAATCACCAAAGGGGTTGAAGTAGAAAATTGTAGAAAAATCCTGACCAAAGAGTTACCTTCTCTACATCTTTCACGCAAGCATAGAAATGGACAGATGTATGATCCAGAGGCCCCAGTTAACCATTCACTTTTTGCGAAGGTACAATGACCTCCACATGACAAAATCAAGTTCATGCTTATCCAGATTCCAGAGCTGGAACATAACAAAGGAAATGCGATTGATTCCCTCCTTTTGCATCACAATGACAGCCCAAGTCATAAGCAAATGGCCAAATGCCCTACCCGCATGAAAGCCATTCACAAGTCACCAGCTTAGCGTCCCAAAGGTTCTTATCTACTGACTGACAGGCATCAACAGAAGCTAACCGTCGCCCAAAAATGTTAGGGGAAAGGTCCACTCAGTCTCCAGTCAAAAGTCTCCACCATTACTTTCTCACTCACCCTTTTGCACACGGAGCACTTTGTCTATGGTCCTTGCAGTACGGTCAAAACAGGTGTCCTGTACCTCTTCTCCAGTGTGCATCCAAAATCATCAACGTAGTCTTGTTTTCCATCCCCACTGTCCTTCCGGCCCATATTCACTCCTTGAAAACTATCAATCATGAACAATTATTAGCCTAACGCCTTTGCTCTTGCACGCCACTCTTAGCAATCCATCATTAACATTTCAGGCATGCAATGATTTCTACTAACTTCCACTGAAAAAAAAAAAAAATCACCGTTTAACTTGGTTGCAAATACCATGCCTTTAGTAGGCATCCCAGTGCTCTGTCATAAATTACTAAATTAAGATCAAGGAATGTAAATATGTTCTCGATTTGACAGTTGATTGCATTTGAAAGTTGGGAAGAGATTTCCATAGCACTGAAATATCTAAGATAAAACCCAAATGTAGCCTTAAAATTCAAAGCTTAATTTCAAACTGAATTTAATGGTTTTTATAATCATAATTCAAAGCTTAAATTAATAGCCTAATAGAAAGTACTGAAGGTTGAGGAAACATTGTTTGCTGGATATTTCCTGTTTTTTCTTCAGCTGGTTCTTTCCCTGTTTCCTGGTCCATCCCTATCAACCTCTTTTGTTGAAAGCAATTTGTAACAACCCATCATTTCAAGAAAGGAAAACAACAATAAAATATACAGAATTAGCAATCACCGACTTAGGAAGCTAATAAAGTCACTGACATTGTTTGTCCTGGTCAGATTCTAATTGAATTAACCAAAGGAAAAAAAGGAAAACTAGTAAGTAATAACAACAAACAAAAAAGAATTCACAGCATGATCCACAGATGAATAAAAGAAACTGTGGTGGCAAACGGCATTTGTCTTTCGGAGCTTGCATCTACAAGGTTGTTGTTGTTGTTGTTGTTGTATATTGGGGTAAGAATCTACGGTCATAAAATTGTCGATCATGTGTGAATGAATGTGATGAAGGGTCAACGAGCAATGTCTGATTTTGCTGTGAAACCCAATTGTTGCTCCATTTCCCAGCTTAGCTTGGAGGCTACCCCAGAATGTTTAGGTTCATACTCCTGAGTCAAAAGTAAAAAAAAAAAAAAAAAAAGCCGTACGGCTCAGATCATTTGACTTCTTTTGGCTATTGATCTGCAGTGTTGCACGCGAGAGATGGTATTGGCTTAGGGAAGATTTGAAAAATGTACCTCGAGCTTGCACATGAGTTCTTGGGCAGTTTGGGCAGAGACAATTATGTCACGGGCAGCTGGTGCTATGAAACCTTCATCAACAGCCTTGTCTATGAATGATAAGAGTGAGTTGTAGAACCCATCAACATTTAACAATCCCACCTGGTTCCACACACCCCCCCCCAAAAAAAAAAAAAACTCATTTATTTCTGAAATTTGGAGTTTTCAATTAAGCTATATATGGACGTTTTTTGCATGTGAACCTCTGAATAATTGGGTCCGAGATCTGTACACTTTTCAATCAAATTAAACATGAAAAATAATGCTAGTTTGAAAAGTTGGAAAAAAAAAAGTAGATTACTGGTTTGTCATGGATTCCTAGCTGAGCCCAAGTGATCACTTCCAGGAGTTCTTCCAAGGTTCCATAGCCACCTGTGAGTTGAAATTTGATCAGATCAATTATTAGTAAAAACAAGAAAAGAAAACGGGTGGTTGACACTTGACAGTTATTCCTACAGTTATCTAGGAAATTGTAAATTAAAAAGTCCTGTATGATTGAATCCAGATGAAACATTTTGGGATTTTAAAACAAACAAAAAAGCAGTTAAAATTGGAGTAAAGAAACAAACCTGGTAAGGCAATAAAGGCATCAGCTTGGCGAGCCATTTCAGCTTTACGTTGGTGCATGCCTGACACAGCTCTTACTTCTCCCACTGTCTCGCCTGTAATCTGAAATTTACACTGAAGATTTAGTTTTCCAGGTATTATCTCAATTCTCAAATAAAGAATCGAAATTGCAAAACTTAACATTAAAGTAACTATTTTTTTTATATAATCAAATGGGGGCCCCAAGTTCAGTGGGATTGAGTATGGAGTTATTTGAATCTTAAATTGTCCGCATATGGGAATAAGAATACAAGTTCTTCATGTGATACAGTGCTCACATACATGAATCTGAAACTTATCCTTATTTCCAACCATACAAAAAAAAAAAAAAAGGGTCAAGATTTTAATGATTTTTACCTCTCTTGGCATGAGAGTCTTGGGAATTACCCTACAAGAAAATGGAAGCAAAGAGTAATTAGAGACAGAGTCTGAGTCAAAGAGGACAAGATATAAAGAAAGAAAGAGTGGAAATAGTAGCATGACTTACCCCAACACGTGGCGACCTCCATCAAAGACAGCTTGAGAGACCAGTCCCATTAAACCAATGCTTCCTCCTCCATAAACCAAGTCAATGTTCCTTTCAACCTGCATGTCTTATTTTATTATTAAACTTACGTGTTTAATCTAAACATATTCCTACAATTACTCTTTTAGAAATAGTATAATCACACTATTTTATTCGTTTCTAGTTTTAGACATTTATTTTCTTCTATTCAATTTCGCCAACTGATTCAAGTTTTGATCCAACCAAAAACAGAGAAAACAGAGGATGACTTTGAACTGACGTTATCTGATCTCTTCTTTGCTCAAACTGGTAAAACTCTTGAATTAGTGTTAGAAAAGTGAAGATTAGCAAACTTAAGCTATTCCTAGTATTTGAAGTTCTTCATAAAGCGGTCTTGCTTTTTCTGTCAATTCAAAGATGAAGAAGGCTCAATTCCTGTTAGCGTTTCAAGTAAATATTTCCAATTTTCTATTAGTCTCATTATAGTCAAACTTCTTATATATACATATCTCAAAAATTTAGACCCCATATTATCTTGAAAGAGTTCAGCTTTGGTCAATGTAAAGGCCAAGAAGCCTAAATCATTAGGCAAGGAAGACCAAATACTTGAATGCCAACTAGACCTACTGATCAATTCTAGGACGAGAAGAGGAATAAAAGACGATTGAAAAAAACAAGTATTTGTCTCCTTTATGAGAAGAGTAAGAGGTTTAGTTTGTACCAGTTGTTTGCCAAGCTGAATAGCAGCAAGCTGGTAGCTAGGATTCTTGCCAGGGCTGCTACCACAAAAGACACAGACACGTCTGAATCTTGACTTCATGGAATTAGCTTGACGTTGTAGCTGCTGCTGCTGTTGTTGTTGCTGGTGTTGGAGGTGGTGGTGAAGGTAGAGTTGTTGATTTTCCATAACAGGAAAGGCTTGAAACCACTATAATTTTGCTTCAAATAGTTTTTTTTTTTTTTCTCTCTTCTTTATGGTGTGAGAAAAGAACCCAAAAGGAATGTGTTTTTAGCGTTAGAGCAGTCAGCAATCTCTTGAACAACCAAAGCCCAAAAGTTAAGGGTTGGGAATGAAAATTAGTGTCATTGGCCCCCTTTTTTATATCAAATCAAAGCCCCCACTGCCCCCACACTCCAACACATCACGTCTCTCAACTTCTCGTCTCATGAGATATTTCCCCAAAACGAATTTCACAACTGTAGCTGAGGTTGAGGTTGAGGTTGAGATATCATTTTAATCCCCTTGTTTTGTGGATTCAACTCCGCCTCAATTTGCGACTTCTACTTCACCTCAATTCACGACACACTCTCTGATTTAATTGCCTTGGTTTGCCACCGCACACTTACCTAAGATGATCGATTTTAACTACCAAGGAAGGGCATGTTAAATCTGAAATCTAATTTATTTCTCCACTTTAATTAAAACGGCTCTGGATATATCATCTGCATGATTGAATGTCTATATTGAAAACTTACTAGCAAATCAAGTTACATCAAGCGTAAAAATGATACTCTTTTATCTTTTCTATCACATTATAATGATTAATGCAGTAATAAATTATAAGTTATCATATTAATTTGCTATATTTGTTCATTTGGGATTTTACTATATTCGTAAATAAAGATTAATACTAAAAATTGTGCAAGTAATTTGATAAGAACGGCATATGCTAGAAAAACATTCATTCATGAGTAAGGCTTTTAATTAAAATGATTGGATAATGCTAGTTGAACAAATTAGTCTTAATTGAAATTATTCTCTTTTACAAAAGAATATAGATGTGACAACACTTTATAGAGCAAGATGAAAGACAAAATGAGATTAGCAAATCAGAGAGCTCGACCACCTACTTTTAAAAATCAAAATCTTTGGCCGAGGATCTTGCTAAGATTAAACAAGATGGTGATCAACATTATCTTAGTTAGATTAAACAGTTTCAACTTTAGCATTTGGTCTCACTTGGTGGTGTGGGGTTGGAGCCATTTTGGAACCTAACCCTTGGAAAAGAGTTGTGCAATGGGACAATGGATCAATAATTTTTGAGAGAGGGAGAGATATCACCTCTCGTGTTAACTTTGTCCACTTATAGTAACTGTCCCACAAGATTGAGATATATACCACGCATCTGCATCGATCTGCCCACACTCAAATCTCATCTCTCCTCTCCCACGTTAATGACTTATAATGTAATGATTTTTCAGACAAAAGTTATGTGTTTGACAATGAAAACAGGCTGCTGCATGCAACTAAGAGAGATGGGGTAGTGAGAAGGTACAATGAGGCAATGAAAGAAAGAAAGAATGATATTGCAAATTGATGAAGGTGGAGATTGGAGAAGATATTAGAGAACAATATTTAAGGAACAAGTCGAGTGGGGTGGACACGTGATACCATGAATTCGAGTCTGTCCCACTTGGGGAATTATATGATCTGAGAGGAAAGCAACTAAGGAAGGTTCTGAAAGTATATGCACATGTGCTAACCAAACCCAAAAGATATAACTTTGAGAAATCATCAAATGAGAGAGAGAGAGAGAGATCACCAGTTTACATAATATCTCATGGCTTTCTCAGCCTCTTCTCTCTCTTGTACGATCCATTCATGGAGTTGGCACACTGTGAAGCTTAGGTATGTGTGAAACAGCTGTATTGGTGGTTGCAACCTATGCTGCTGTCTCAGATTGGACATAGACTGGGCCTTCCCTTTCACTTCAACTAGATTTTCATCTTTATTACACTCTTATTATCATTTATTTTCTGGGATTTTTCCCCTTTTGTCGTTCCTTTTTTTTTTTGTCAGTTCAAAAAAATTTTCACATTAACGTTTTTATATAATTATAATAGATTATAAGAAAAAATTGAATAAACTTACATAAGCTAACCATATCTGACATATTGCCAATTAAACAGTACTTTGTTACTGAGTTTTTGGGTGTCTTTCGTGAATGTAAAATTTTTTCTAAAATAAAAATCTCATCCAATGAAAAAAGCATGGACATTATATATATTAGCCGAAGCATTATTTTTTTCTTGTTCATCAAGCAATTACATTTTTACTTCAACTCTTTAAAAAATTACCAATTTATCTATAAATCATATGAAGTTGTTGGCTGCGTTTAGAGATAGCAGTTTTTGACTAATATATATTGAAACATTGAAGTTGAACAATGACTATGTTAACGTCAAATTAGGGTTTGATAGAACTGCATGAAAACGATTACGAACGGTCAAACCCGACCATGCACCGAAATTCCCTTTACCTTATCTGTTAAAATTCAAACAAAAGTACCCTCAACCCTGGAACATGTCTTAGTACATTAGTAAATTTGTCTGCAATGAAATTGTCAAAGAAAATCATTACAAAAACCATTAGAATAAAATAATTACTATTACCATGGAGTCAATTTCTTGCTAATTTGTTATACTACATATCTTTGACATAATAACCAAAAGACTAGTGGTTGAACTTTGAAGAACACATAATTCAATAGATTTATTGTATTCTTTTGTATATAAAAATAAGTCGCAATTAAAAAAAATTATAAATATTAAAATTTGAATTCAAACCTTAAAAGTGAATACATGATAAATTGAGCTAACCCTCAAGGTTATATATATATTTTTTGGTGATTTTTTTGTGTATTAATTCATTAAATTATCAATTTTTAATAACTTTCGTGCCACATTTTATTACTGAGTGGATGTAATAGATAATCATATGTATGAAACATTGACTTTAACTTGTTTCTTCTTTATATAACCATTATCTCTTTTGTCCAAATCAAATTAAAAAGAGATCAAGAAAGAATAAAGTGAATTTTTTGAGATGGGAGAAATGGTATGCAAAAGACAAAAGCAAATCCAATCAAATTCAACACTTTATTTTAGTTTTTTTTTTTTTCAATTAACTAATATGAAAATGGATTTGAATAATCATTTTGAACGCCAGATAATCCCCCATGTAAAGCAAGAATTATAGCTACGTGGCTTACCATGAATGGAGTCAATATTTCTAAATTCAACATTCAATTTTTAAAGAAAAAAAAAAGAGGGAGGTGCATGTTGATATTTGATAGCATGCAAATTTATTGCTAATTGACTGTTGCTTCCCCAAACCCAATCTATGTGCAAAGAATTCCCCATTTCCTTTCCTTTTTTCTTTTCTTTTCTTTTCCTCCAAACATTTTAAAATCATGTTTGTTGAATTCAATAGTTCTTATCCAATAAACAGCATTCCCACAACACTTATCTAATTTAGTTGGTCGTTGCCTCGTGTTTCGTCATATTGGTCACTGGTCTCACCTAAAAACAATATTATATTCCAAAGAGAGGAGGGTCTTCGGATTAACCATCTCACTTTAATATCCATTTCCTTCATTTACCTCTCTCAGCACTAAAGAAAGATTGTTTTTTGAGTCATTTCCATAAAAAAAAAGGGGGGGGGGGGGGGTTTTTCTGACTAAGGCTATATATTGCATTAATCAAAGCATTAAATAAGAACTATATTAGTGATTAAGACATGATTATTAGTTTTAATAGTATGGTTTAGGAAAGAACACATCTCCTCTCCTAAGGGCTTTAATTTGATGCCTTGATCTTTTGGAAGGTGCAAGAAGAAATAACCTAACACACCCTAAGGAAAAAAAGGTTTATTCATTTGGAATTAATATATTGGATAAAGGGGTGTTGGTGGTGAGACCAGGGCAAGCCAATGACAAAGTTTTTTTGGAATTTGTATGACCTTTTTGCCTCTAAGTAAGATTCATGGCATTTTTCGGTTGGCAAGTCAGATCTCTTCAAACAGCTATAATATTAGTATAGGGCATTGTCCATAGCCGATTTGAGTGACTAAGTAAAAGCTTCACCATGTATCACGGATAATTAACAAATTAAAGTTATTTTGTTTCTTTTCATTAGTTTTGCTAATCTTTCTTATAATTTTTAAAATGCTTAATGTTTTTAATATCATTATCGATCAAGTACTTATCAAAGTTAATTCACGCGATGTAACAATGATGTATACGTCGGTTCATCATTCAATATGATAAAGATATTACACCAAAATATTTGATTCAATAATTATATGTATCGTGTTCGTTTCTTAAAATTATACCTTGATTAAATCAATATTTGTGGATGTTATTGAAAATTGACAAAGAAACTTAACTATAAAGGCTAATGATTTGAGATTTTCTCGTTCTACACTCTTGATAATTAAAGGATTAGTACGAGTGTAATTGATTTTTTCCCATGAAAGAACTCTTCTGGGGCATCATCTCAAATCTTATTTCAAAGGAATCAAGGAAGGTATCTCAATATATATTATCTCAAAGTACTGTAGTTATAGCTCCTATCTTAATCTTTTTATGATGGAAATTTGCAGCAACTTGCTTAATTACATCTGTTTTGTCTGTAATTTGGCAGCAAATGGGTTCTATTATTTTCGACATGAACTAATGATTGAAAGTGGAAACATATTGCAATTTGCAGCATGACAGTAAATGTGAAGTAAGATGATGCGGTATAAATGTATGTCTTTGGATGCATCTTGTCAGACTTTTCTGCCCTAAATAAAATGCTGTAATGGAAGAGACATATATATACATGATTGGATTCATTTCAACAATAATGATGAATAACATGTCAAATCTAGATTTTGTTCTCAATTTGCTCTCCCACTAATATGAGGGTTTTCCATGCCTGTTCATTATTTGCATATAATTAATTAATACTTAATTATTATTGATAATTTTCTACTTATGGACTAATTCCATTGTATGAATAACTTGATTAGCTTTCTCGTTATAGGAAATAGGCAACCATCAACGAATACAACAGTCACTAATGTCACGCTCCGAGATCAAGACGTAACACGATTATATTACCTTAAAGAATATCTCAAAGTAATACGAAGGCTTCTTTCTTAAACATTCTAAAATTTTTTAATAAACCAATCTATCAAGTAAAATTCATATCTTTAATCCAACTGATAATACATTTTTATATATCCAAATACAAACCATATAAAATACAAAACTATCTCTTAAGATCTCATTGGTCAACATAGCTTCCGACGACTAAGTAATCTTTCCCATTTCATCTTCTAGCTTCACACAAGACTAACCAAACTTATCACTTAGTCATCTGTAAAGAAAAAGTAAAAGGAGAATGAGTAAACCACAGCTCAGTAAGTATAGGCTCACACACCTTATCAGATCAAGCATCGTTTTCTTACACATCATATAGACCATTTAAAACATTCATCAAATCATAATATCAAAACATTTCAAGATCATCGTTTTGTCAAATATTTCAAAAATTCATAAATCAATGTCAAAATATGTTACTTCATAAATTATTACAAAATATGCTATCATTCAAATATCATAATCAAACAAAATCATGGATCAATCATTAAAAATTATCATAAATCATCATCATCATAAATCATCATTATCATTGGTTTATCGTTAGCTACGATCACTGCTATAACCCGTGACATTGACCGTATTGACAATTTCATTCTCATGATCATTGCTAACTATTATAACCCGTTAGTCAAGGCTTACACTAACTACTATTATCTGTTAGCATAGTCATATGATCATGTCTTTGCTAACTACTATTACCCGTTAGCCAGGATCGTAGAACTAGTTCTGGTGTCAATGATCCCATTTTTCAAGGATGTAAAAACATAGCCATCACAAAATCATTCTTTAAACATAAATCATTTTCTCATTTCATTCATAAGCATGATCCATCATTTATATAAAGAAACACAAAATAATCATATGCTTGATCCTATTTTCATACATAGAAAATAATGAAATAAAATATTCATTCATTTAGAAAATATACATATATACATATATTTAAAAACAAGCAAAGTGTGTGAAATTCTACTTACCTCTATTCGATTTCACCACTTAGTTTTTTTTTCCAAAATAATTAATGGCCTATCCAAGATCATTTCAACATATCAGAATTTAATCAATCTTTTTTTAGACCATTTATACAAAAATCAACTAAGTTACACAAAGGGTTAACTTAACTAATTAATACTAGCAGCCTGACCTCTTTTTATTAAAACAATCATATCTCAATATATCCAAATCGGAATTATGATCTCTTTAATGCGTTAGAAACTAGACTTAATAAGCTTTCTAACCATATATGGCACACCTCGTAATTCCTTGTAGATTAATTATAACAATTTTTGAAATTCACGTCATATATTGCTGCCAAACAGCTTGTATACCTTCTAATAAAAACTATATATTTATTCACAGGAAACTCCAAATTCAATTCCGCTTATTTCATTAGAAAGTAGACTCAATAAGCTTTCCAAACATATATGGCTTAATCTGTAAATCCTTGTATACAAATTAAGAAGAATTTCATAATTCAACCTTGATGTTGTTGTCTTACAGCCTGCATATCCTTAAGTTAAAATTAGATAACTCTTCATAAAAAATTCGGATTTGATTTTCATTTATTTAATTAGAAACTAGATTCAACATGCTTTCCAATGATATATAATAATCACAGCAATAATCTATCCATTAATGCAAAATTCTATTTTAATTCATTATTATAGATCACAACATCTCATCCAAAAATAGAATTTCTCCTTCAATCTTTAAAAATTTAAATCCTTACTTTCAGCCTTCAAACTCCATTCAATAATCATCAATAAATCTTAAGAACATGAAATAAACAAAGCTCTATAATTTATCCAAATAGATCATCAAGATTAATGAAGGATTTCTTGATTTTTTCTTGGTTTTGCTCTCAAAACTTCAACTCCAAATAATAGCAATTAACTTGATATTTCTTTTTAAATAAAAAAAGAGCATGTACTCACTTTTAAGGGATTAATTTGATGGTAGCCTCTGATTGTGAATCTACAACTTGATTTTTCATATTCTCTAACCCTAAGGAAGATGAAGAAGAAGAACTCTATTTCCTTTTTGTTTCACGATAATTAAGTTTTCTTTCATCTAATACTTCAACCCTTTTTCTTTTACTAAATAATATCTTAATAAACTAATAGGCTTTAGTATTAGTCTAACCCAATTATTATTTGAGTTGGGGTATTACAACTAATGACTTCATTTGCCAGTAATAATCTTTGAGGTTTTTGCTGTTTAATTAATTAATCAATTTCCGTCAAAACCCAGGTAATAATTAAATTAAGATGCCTTGTAAGCATTACACTTGCTTTGTTAAATACTCCTAGTCTGGCACTGTCGTTCATGTAGACTTTGCTCCATATTTTGAAAGCATTTTTCTGTCCTAAAATCATTTTTTTTATTATTAAAAATAATTATATAAATCAATTGAATTATATCTTAATTTTAAAAAAATAAAATTTTTTTATAATAGTAGGTAATCTCGTTTAGACTTGAAAAGATAGTTAATTGCTTGTGTTTTAAGCTGATAATTAAAGTTATATATAATTAATATATGTCTGGCTTCGCTAGAATCTTATAGATACATACTTTTCGTGATTTAGTTCTAACTCATGAGATTTATTAATTAGACTGAGATACTAAAAATATAATTTTAATTGGCTTCTTTCTGGCTTTCCTACAACACAACATATCTGTGCTAAAAAGCAAAGATCATTGTGGAAATGAAACAAATTACTACTGGTTTGAATGTTTCAAACTGTGTTTGGACCAGAAAAATCTTAGAGGATTTTGGATAAATTTGCATTGGATTTTGTTAAATTTAATTTAGATTTCCTTAAGATAGCTTTCATACCTATAGCAGTAGAATGAGAAATATTTTAAGACTAGGGTTAGCAGAAGTGAAATCATTTAAATAAAAGTAATGTCCCAGCAGCTGTCTACAAAATTATATACTTCCAAAAATCTATTCTAATTATTAGGAATATTAAAGAAAGAAACAATTTTGGGGTTTGGGTTACTATTCCTTTATCAAATGAAAATAATAAATCAACAAATTTATGTTGAAACCTTTCACAAATTTAGTTGGGGGAGAATCTTTCTTTCATGCATAAAAAATGCAAAAATATATACATACCGTGAAGAATTAAGGGTGGTGACGTGTGGTATTGTCGCAATCCGATGATCCAAATGAGACTGGACTCTACTTTAGTTTTTGGACAGTTGCTTGAGAAATGGACAACCTAACTACTTTTGTTCACACGTGTAACATATAAACCAACGAAAGGAAAGCCCATGCCATGTGAACCAACATCTTTAGCCAAAAGCCAATTGGTTGGGTTCCATTTTCGAACATTCCAAGAACTTGGCCCTTGGGTGAATCACATCGAACCCGAGACCAGAGTCGCAACCGCACACTCAAAATTTTTTTTCTTTTTTATTTGAATTATCTTGTTTTCTTTTTATTATTTTAGAAAAAGAAAAGAAAAAAGTATTACAACTATCGGGGTTAATAATTATTATTCATATTATTATATTGGAAACTTTTTTTTTTATTACCTGAAAAGTAGCATAAACTCAACACCCGACCATTCTAAGCTGTGACTGCACTGCACACGTGCAGCTTATTGGATTCTTTCTATTTATCATTTTCATTTAAGATTTGGCCACGCTTTCTGCATGAATGGTTCTCTTCCAGTTCCTTTTTTTTTTTTTTTTTTGCCCTTTTAAGGGCCCAATAGCCAGATTTCTTTTGCGAAAAGCAAAAAATTTTAGAAGTAGGCCCAAGAACACTCACAAGTCTATATAAAGTTGTTCCCTATATTACTATACATATATATATATATATCATCATTTATTGCAATGCTACATCCATTCATCAAGCAAAAGAAAAATTAAAATAAAATCTTATTTTCAAATGTATAGCATCATTATCTATATCTTTTACAAATTTCTTAGAGAATAAAGATAGTAACTCGTGGAAAGAGAAGTTAAAATTTTGAAAATATTGAAAAGAAGAGAACTCAACAACCAAAAAACAGACATTTCTTTTAACTAGATGCCCTTCTTTTTAAATGAAATATCTGCTTTTTTTTTTCAATTATCATCATATATTTACATTTATATTTATATTTAAGAGCCAGAAGAAAGACAATGCAGTGATATATTTCTTGTCCTACAATGCTGGGGCTGCTCCTAAATTTGTACATTTATTGTCAATAGCGCTTGTGTTGAACAATCCAATCTAAAAAGAACAAAAAATGGATGTATAGAAAGAAATGATAAAATTTTTCCAACTTTGGGCCACGTTCTCCATTCTTCTTACAACCTAGTCCCAGGAAACAACAAAGGCCCCATTTTACAAACTAACGCAGCAGCCCAAAATCTTGGGCAAGAATTATTAAAAAAAACGAAAAACAAAAAGCCTTATTTAAATAATGCTTGAAAACGGAAATAGGCATCTTTTACCTTTTCCTAGAAAGGAATCCTAGGCCACTCGAACAAACTATCATACAACAATTCAAACATCAAGACCTAATAGTTGTTAGAGGAATCTTTCAGTGGTTATTCTCAACTGGTACTGGTGGCCTCTTATGACCCTTTCTGTCTAACGTAGAAAATGGGTTTCCTCTCAATTGTTGATTGCCTTTTTTCTGTCGGTTGCTTCCGTGTTGTTGATTGCCCCCGTGTGGCCGGCTCCCTCTTTGCTGATTATCTCCCCTCTGATGATGCAATTTGCTACCTCTTCGTCGCTGATGGTCATGCCCTCTGTGAAGACCCTGTTTAACTCCACTTTGTTGACGTACAACATACCCTCCAGAAACATTCTGGTTGGCATGCGGAGCCATTCTACCACCCCACTGCTGAAAACTGTCATTTAAACTTGTTTGATACTGTGTTCCATACCTTGGTTTGTCATTGTAACTACCCGGATGAGAAGGACAAGGACCAGCTTCATTTGACATTTGCGTCATAAGCCTGGGAATGTGCCTTGATGCACCATTCTGACAATGTCTAGGAGGGTAGTGCAGGTTATTGGCAGCTACTTGGTTTTTTATTGGGAAATGATAATAACCATGGGCATTGGGAGGATGCAAAGGAGGATTCTGAGATGAGGCGCAACCTGCACTAGAATTATCTTCGCTAGGAGGAACCATTCTAGGCTGTCCCTGGTTATGAAACCCATAATTTACATTGGAATTGACAGGTGGGATGTAGGGAGCAGTGGCATATGATGGTGGTGGAGCTTGCATATTATTACTGAAGCCATTAGTATCTATCTTCAACCGTAAGCTATTAGCAATAAGTCTGTGTGATGCCTCCCCAAGCTTACGGCCAGAAACAGATCCAGGAGGGTTATGCCTGTAATGAAAAGCAAAACATATTTCAAACAGTTAGATGTTTTCTCTCACTAAATGACATGCAGTATGGCAAGAAAAATGGAAATTTCAGAAACAAAAATATATACAATCTTTTGAACATTGACCTTTCCATCAGATGAAGACCATGTGCAGACATCCTTCCATTTTCCCAAGGTCTCCTCCCAGAATCTTCATGCCATAACCCAGGTTCAGGTTTTAAATCACCGAATTGCACCTTCTGTGAACCACAATGTTGAAAAATATCAATAAAAATAATATGACTAAATCAACCATGATAAGCACTTCAAGTAAGCTTGCTCATACAAAAAATCATCGTAACTTCTTTTTCCTACTTTTTGGTGTGTTTTTGCGGATAGAAAAAGTCTAACATTGTTTTATACTAAAATTTGCTTCTTGCTTGAGTTTTTGAGGATTTTGCACACAAGCATGTGTAGACAATTTTCCAGAATGGGCTCCAATAATGCCATCCAGAAGTTATTGAGTTTGCCAAGCAAGAAATTTTATGAGGAATATGTTTAAGCAAGCAGAGTTCAACAAAACTCAGCTGTTTCAATTGGTTAGATCTCATATTTACAAATTCAGAAAATTCGCTGCTGGTACAATATTTGGTCAGCTACCACATCCAGATTACTTCAACAATTCAATCAATAGCTAAGTTAATTTGACCAGAACAGGCAAAAGTAGATCATATTACAGTTGATATAGCAATACTTAAAGAAATTAAAATTAAAATTAAAAAAACTACATCTACCATTAAGCAGAGAACTACAACTGCTACATACCTTAGGAGGGAATTTAACTCCAGCTGGAGGACGAGTGATATGTTTATGAGTTTTTGGAAGTCTATATATACAACATCTGGAAAGCAGGCATCCAAAAATACATTAATGTATCTTTATTCAATAACCAGTCCCATGCATATGATCAATAAATTAGTAGATCATTGATAATTGAAACTTACATGACTTCATTGGCCAATATATCTTCCATGTCCTTGATTGGAGACCTGAATATAGGAGGGTGAGTATCTCCAGCACAAGGGGATATGTAACCATTCATCCCATCACTGCATGCAGACCGAAATAAATCAGAAACAAAGTGTGACAAATCTTAAATTCACTGTTAGCAAGCAAAGTAGTCAACACAGCTTGAACAAAGTGGGACATATTTTAAAATTCACTGTTAGCAAGCAAAGTAGTTAAGACAGCTTGAATTCTAAATTATTTCACAAGACCAGCATTCAAAACAAGTTTGCTGAACTATGTCATCAATATCAATGTCTCAACACAAAATGACACACAAACATATCCATACCTGTCCGCATTTATTTCTATAGACAGCAAGAGCAGTGTACCAACAATTAAGATTTAAAGGAATATTACTAGTTCTAGGGTATGAAGCACAAGTAGCCCAACAATACCAACATGGTGAATGAGCTATTAGCTTCTATCATGACTAACAAAAAAAAATACATATCAGTATCAACTTTCCCTTCTGCAAACTAGCAATTTGAATCATGTGATAAAAAGAATGCAATGAAACTGAGACAGAGCATCAACACATACCAACAATTCAGAATTAATACAGCTTTAAAACACATTAGGCAAAATGAGAAAGCATCAAAATCTCCATAATTGACAATGAAAAGTAAGAACCAAAATATCCTGCACAAGCTGTATTTATATCTCCATACTGACAGGAAGCCATCGATATAAGATATTTTATAATTCCAATTGATGGAAATGATTAAACCATAAAAATTTTCCCACAATAAAAATGGCACAGATCTCCCATTAAATCCTAGCAGCATTGCAGTGTTTTAAAAGAAGAATAAAATTAGAATAATAGAATTCAACAGACTTCCTTGATTTCAACAACAGTCTGAATAGTACTTGGAACAAATCACCAAACAAAAGGGGGAGGGGGCACAATCATAGCAAAATGAATGTACAATGATTAAAGCTTTCCAACACAAACCTCAAATCAAGTTTGACTTCCTCCTTGACTTCAATCCGTTGCCTTCCTGTCAATTGTTTACGACAATTGTCAAGTGAATATATTTGTTCCGAGAGACGGTGTGATGATGCCACAAAAAGCATGTCACACATTGTACTGTTTCTCCGTGCTTCTTCGTCCTGCATAAGATGGTAGCATTTAAAAGACACAGCTAAAACAAATTTCTGAAAGAACATATAGATTCTTAACAAAAGGAGAAAGGAGAAAGAGTAGAAGGCATGCATGAAAGACGACTTGATTATAGGGCCATACCGTTAAAGTATGTTCTATTTTTGCAACCTCTGCAATAAGGCGCTCTTCATCAATGAAGGGCAATTTTGCAATACCCTTCAGAGAGCAACAGCGAATTGATCAAATTTCCACTTCAGTAAACCAAAGACTATTTAAATAAACCACTTGGCATATGAAACTAAACCAAATGAGACTAAAGGATAAACTGACCTGCCATGAATACCGCTTCCCATTAATATCAACGTCAAAATCTGATAGAAAGAGCGAGTTCAAATTTCAGATCTTATTAAGAAATTAAGAAGAAATACATAAGATGCCTATTTGTTTAGCAAAATTGCATACCAGTTGGATAAAAATCAATAATTGGTGAATTTGGATCAGTCATCAATTTACTATATTGTTCGGGAAGTGCATGGGAACTGCAAAGGAAATATATTCAATATCCTAAAGGCTCAGAAACTTGCAAGGTGAACAAAGTGAACCATGTAACAGTAGTTACAGTACCTTGAAGCAGGAAAAACCCCCAATAACTGATTGAATGGTTTGAAGGGCGAGCCCAGCTCAAACTTAATATCTAGCTGACCAAGATCCTTTAGATCAGATGCAAAGGGTGCATAATGATAAGGATAAAACCTGAAACAACAAAATTCAGTGGCAGGAGAGTGACAAATCAAAGAATGATGTCTATTAAAGTAGAAAGATGAGATCCCAATCAACAAAATTCTCACTAAAATAAAGCGCACTGAGGCTGAAAAAAAATTCAACTCTATAGATCCCAAAATGAATAAGATGACTGATTCTCCGCACAAAATTATAATATCCACTAAGAATGATTCAAAAATAGACCACAACATGATAGATATAAACGAGAGAAAGCATCACTCTATCACTAAATGCCCAACAAGACCAATAAAAACTTATAAAATACCATCACTGACCCTAGGCAAGGGGGGGGGGGGCAAGGACAAGCAAATACAGAGGAATCCAATCCAACAGCAAGTATCCATCAAACAATTAAGAAGGGAAAATAAACACAAAAAAAGCCTGGTCAAACTTCCCTTTACAACCAGTGCTAGAAAAAGAATAAATGTAAAAGAAACTCACCACCTCCAAGAACAAACCCCTTCATAATAATAGTGCATGACCCAACATAGACCTTCCGTGAACTTCAAGACCTACATAAAAGAAGCTCCAGCATATAAGATCATCACAGAAATAATTCAAAAACATTGTATGCCACATACTCAAAAAAATTCAAACTCACAACATCTTTTCGTATTGCTTCCATTTCTTCGGGAGTTTGTGCCAAAAACTTTTCTTGATAATACCTTTCTTTCCATCCTGGCTCTCCCAGTTTAATCTAACACGAGCAAACCACCAATAAAGCAGCTAAGATACTCAAGACATAGACTAAAACAGCAACCAAATTCCAAGTAGAAAAGACAGAGAAACAACAGAGATTTTTATATTAAGGCTGCATGCAGCATGTCACATCCAAGCATGCCCGTCTCAACTGCCAAAAACTTAAAAGTATGAAACTATATCAAGCACCATTAAATTTTACATAAAATAACAAATCAATATGAATTATTTTCCACTTGGTAGAGATACGATGAGGGCGGCAGCATACACTTTGAAAATAGAAAAAACAAACAATTTCAAGCTGAGTTTCAAATCTAACTACTGTCTTTACCCAAATATTAGCCGAAACAGGATAAAAAAAATGATAAATTGCTTATGAATAGATAACATCATATTCAAACCTTGTCTTCCTCATGATTTTTGTAATTAAAAACATCAGCTTTGTCACGGATCAACTCCTTAAGTTTTGCTTTCAATTCTTCTTTGTTCTCCTGTACCTAATGCCAATGTGAAGATAAGCAGCACGGTAAGTGCCATTATTTTGACATACCACAGTCCAGCAAAAACACATAGAACGATAGTTAATACTCTCTTAACTCCTCGCCAGCAAGGCTCATACCAAATCATAGGTTAGCTCATGGAATATGAGTCCTAAAGAATGGCTGAAGTCAGAATTACATTAAAGTGCCTCTCCTGAAGGAGGAAAACATACATCTGTTTCAATACTATTCTCCGCTTCCACAATAGCAGCACCAATAGTGTCCCCTGAAGATAAACGCTGCACTTTGCATGGCCGATCAGAGAACCCATTACCGTTAGACTCCATTGTTTTCAGAAATGGTGCAGGTGAAGGGCCTGAGGCAAGACGGGAACCATGAAATCTATCCACTGGAACCAGAGAATCTGGTTGAACTTGAGGCTCCGCATCATCTCCTCTTATAGTTTGGGCCTTTTCACGCTTGATTCTTTCTGCTTGGCGCTGTATGATACCATCATAGAACAAATTAATACTGAATTTTTTTTAATGGCTCATAGGATGAGTAAATAAGTAGAGTTCATATCTAATACATTCATTCCAAGAATGGTCAAGTCAGACAGTTCATTTAAGGTGCATGCGTATACACTCAGAGACACATTGAAGGGTCAATGGCCTACACTCTAGTCTTAAAACATTAAGACTGCTAAGTGACAAAAGAACAGAGTATCGCTGCAACCATAACTCAAAATTTATTCAATTACACAATAGGTAATCTTGCCAATGAAGAATAACAGAAAAGTGCCATTTCAGGATCACAATAGTTTACAAGAGTTGGGTAATAATCTTATATCTTGCATGAGCACTGAAAGAGGGCTGAACACGTAATACCACATGCAATGATAAATAACCAAAAGAGACCAACAAACCAAAAGGAAAGACCCCAACCATTTTTTTAATGGAAAATGAAACGCAATTATGAGCAAGTTTTCCTGAATAATTTGAATCATTAACAAAACCTAAACGTAAACGAAAATTAAAGAGAATTATATTGATCCTGAACTCAACAAACCCGATGCATTCGTGCTCTTTTCCAGAATATTTTATCTTCATAGGATCCCACAGCCTGGATAAAATGCTCTACCCTGCTCAAATTTGGCTGAAATAGAAATCAAACAGTCAAAAGCATTAGTGTACCAGATAAAATTTGATGATTGGAATAATACATAGCCGACAAATTTAAAAGTCACCTTGCTACCATTGGTCAAATAACCACCCAATGATCTAAATTCCTTCTTGTATACTGCCATTAACAAGTTAATTGCACCCTGTAAATTAACAAATGTAAAAGAGAAAGCTTCCTATTAAATCCTCAGTTTCATATATAAAACTAGAGTTTCCATTCACAAAAATCACTATAATAAGCCAACAGTAAAATGATTACTTCAACCATATACAAACCTCACGAATCTCTAGTGTAGGCATATGAGGTAAGAAATCATTGCCAACAAAGAAGCACATGAATATAAAATCATCCACAATGCGCTCCAAGTCAATTTCAAAAGGAGGATTGCGGATTTTCATCTCATATTCCAGATACTCCCTAAGTGTCCATATGTTCAGAAACTGCAAATATGAAGCAAATAACAAGTTGTAGTTCATCGAAATATTTTATTATAAATATTTCAAATGTAAATTCAATAGAAAAATTACTTGGTACGGCTTTCTAGGAAGAGCTTTTCCATCATCTTTCTCATCAAATTCTCCAGCCTTCCGCTTTTCCTTTCCTTTACAATTTGCCGCTACATGGCCCATTTGACCACATAGGAAGCATTTATCTTGTCCAGGGGTGAAGACAATCTGAAAGTATTCAATAAAACCTGTTACTATACGGCCAAGAGGGAACAGTATAATATAATAATAAAACATTCTTCAAAAAGGTAATTTAACTTGTAATATCCACTTATTCCTATAAATGAGTTATCAACCTCAGATAGAAGTTACAAAATGCAAGAAAACCAGATCTTCAGAAAACATTTCATGCAATTTATAATGATTCTCGAAGTAGAAGATATCTGCAAGTTGAAAGAAATACAAACCTCTCGGAGGATTGAAAAGTGAACTTCATGAGTGGCCAAGGCCAACATAATTAAATCAGCATCCTGTCAAGTGTCAACAATAAGCAGAGTGCATGATTTTAGTCCAGCCAAGTTGGGCAAAGAAAATAAACAGAACAAATACATAAAATTTAAATAGAAAAATTGAAATCTAAAATGGAAATAATGAAGGGAGAAATATACCAAACCATACAGGCAATGGTGTGTGTTTGGATCAAAACCAGGAAGGTTCCTTTGGAGCCGTATGTACGAGATAATTTTATGTTCTCCTTCACCAGGAACATTTGCATCAGATAGAATAACCTTTAAAAAGATGAAAGTATGAGAGAAGGCCAAAACTCCCCACCATGTCAAAAGAAATCAAACACACAACAGAAAGTAAATAAACAAGGAACCATAACATTAATACTACCTTAATATTTTTCCATCCAGGGTCATAATTTAATCTCAGGTGGATATAGTACTGCAAAGCAATTGACAGAACAGCCATAAATGGAGTGCCTGGTGTAATAACATTCGAATCAAAAAGTTGTGATTCCTCTTTGGGAGGAAGCTTTCTGCCCTCCCTCTCAAACTGCTCACGAAGCCGTGCTTCTTCAGCTGCCTACAAAGGAAAGTTAAAATGAATAAAAATCTTACCATTGGCTTCTTTTGTTGTGACAATTTCTTTCGTTAAGTGTGGGAGAATTCTTATTTTGGTCCTTCATCATGGTTTGACTATGTTTTACAATGGCTGTCCTATCGCAACCTCCTCCTTTATCTGGGCTTGGGACCGGCAGTGTGATAATGTATAGCCAACCAGTACGGTATATAAGGCTTAGTGTGTTGTTGTAATTAAAGTGTGGGAGAATATAAAATACTTACCAACAAATTCTCGATAATCTAACATTTCATCTATTATGCAAATTAGCTTAGGAAATAACATAAAAAAAAAAAAAAACTACCCTAGCAATGATAAGATAGCATACCGCCTCTGCAGCATCTTTCGCTGCTCTAAAACGCCTAGATCGCTGTTGATTCATTTTAGCCCGAGGGGCAACGCCATCTACCAAAATTTTCCAGATAAAAAGTTGGTCTCACCAAATAAACAAAAATACACTTTATCTGCATCTCAAAAATATCAGAAGTCTTTCAACCTAACATAAGCACTACTCACCAACAGCCATATATAAAAGCTTTCGAGGACGGACCATAACAAACAATCTATCAATGTAATCAAACACGCACTTAAATACTTCATCAAAAGTTGTTGGCGAAGGCTGCATGAGAAGAAATGAAATTCAGCAAATTACATTCATTCCAACAATTTCAACGAAATATAATATTGAAAAATAAGATGAAACTTTTTAACGTGTTGAGAGGGTTACTCTGTCTTCGGGGTGGAAACAAGGATGAATGATCCCGTTCATATCGAGATAAAGATTATCGAATTCGAGTCTATTGGGGTTAGGTTTACTCGTATCCACCGGAATCGAGACGCCGTCTATCTCCACCGGTTCTTCCTCGATAACGTCCACCACAATCAGCGGATACTTCTCCGCTAACCATCTGTAGAACGCCGGCACTCCCATTAACAATCGCTCCCAATTCCAATCTCTCAAGGATCTCTAAATAAAACGAACACCGATGACGAAACCCTAACCTCAAATCGAAAAAAAGGCGAAAGAAGGAAAAATATCGGGTAGCTCCGAGTATTGTTTATAACTGCTGCTTTTTTGTGAATCTGTTTGGCACAACGTCGAATTAGGGCACGGAGGATAAGTGATGGGACAATAATGCCCCCATGAGATTTGGACAAAACGGGGATAAATAGGACGGGGTGTTTGTGCCATTATATATGGGAAAGTCGGTTTATAGGTTTTTTTTTTTTTTAATATACCCCTCGCTCTGGGGATAAAGTGATAGGACAATAATGCCCCAATGAGATTTGGCCAAAAAGGGTATAAAGAAGCGGGAGGGCGGGGGTGTTTGTGCCTTTATACATGTGAAACTCGGTTTAGAGTTTATTTTTTTTGGAATAAACTTGTCGGTCGGCGGTGACTGTGAAGGTGGCTGTTAGAAAATTGCATGACAGACCAAAATATCTAAAGGGAAGGTAAATATATGGATTTTGAAGTGGGGCCGTTCTGCCTGTTTCTATTAATCAAACGTACCGCAGCTTGCTGTGATCGTGGCTCAACGACTGTGATTTTAATTAGCCAACTCAATTATGAATTTCAAAAGGAAGTACGATTTTTATTATTAATAAAAAATAAAAATTATTTTATATATTGCAAAATCTTATACTATTCACATTAAATAAATCATTTCCAAAGGTAATAATCAGTAAAAAAAAAACCTAAGTTTGAATTTCTTTTATTATTATAAAGAATTTAAAACTTGTAATGTTGTTATAAACTATTGAAAAAAAAAATGCATTTTGTATTACAACATACCTTTTCTCTTTGAATTATCAAAATTTTATAATAATAAAAATAAAATATACCACATAATCTAAGTGTTAGAGTATGTAGGGGCGTTTGGTTAAAATTAATTCTTAAAGTTTTTTTTTATTTAATGGTAGATATTTTATTTTTATATTTGATTTAAAGTAATTCAATTATGAGAGAAAGTAACAAAATTTTAATAGTACTTAAAATCCTGTAATTAAAAATTCACATTGTGATATTTTATGATTTTGAAGAAAAAAATTATGTTATTTTTAAATTTGATTAAAATAAAAAATTATGAAATAGTCGTTACAATTTTAAAAAATATGTTTATAAGTGACTGTAACTTAGTTGTATATTTTTTATGCTAAAATTTTTGTTTATTGCAATTAATGACATTTGGTATTAAATAATCATTAAACAATTAACAAATATTTTATTTTTCATTGCAATCCATCATTTAAAGCATTTTTTGTTCAAAAATATTTTAAATAATTCTCTCAAAATTTTTAAATGACATTATTTAAGGAGTTTTTTGAAATAATCTCCTAATATTTTTTAAGATGATTATTTAAGTCGTTTTTTGTCTATAAATACCTTAAATAATTTATTTTTTATTTTTTAAAGAACATTATTTAAAGTATTTTTGTTGACAAAAAGCCTTAACTAATATCTCAACAATTTTTAAATGCATTATTTAATGTATTTTTTTTCAAAAACATTTTAAATAATCCTCTAATATTTTTAACATATATTATTTAAAGCTTTTTTTATCAAAAAATACCTTAAATAATTTTCACGTTTTTGTAAATAAGACTATTTAAGGTATTTATAGACTAAAAATGCTTTAAATAATATCATACAAAATTTTAAATGACGTTATTTAAAATATTATAAATTATTTAAGGTTTTTTTTATTGATAAACACCTCAAATAATCTTTAATATTTTTTTATTTATGATATTTTATAAATAAAAATATCATACAAATATTTATTTTATTTTGCTGCTAAATGCATAATTTGTCATTCGAATATTTATTATTAATAAAAACTAATGAAAAGTTAACATCATATATATAAAAAAATTATGATAATTATTTACTAATTAATATATATATTTTTAGTGAATTTGAACATTAAATGTCTTGAAAAAAAAAAAACTTAGGTACCACATTCTTTCAAATATTACACTTTTCATCAAAATTTATGATTTTGTGAATCAAACACTCCTGTAATGTATTATATAAATGATCATTTTATGTTGATCGTGCATTTGTTTTTTTTTAATTTGAAAGTATAGATATAGGCTTTATTTTAAAAACAAATGTGAGACACTAAACCTATATATTTAGTGTTGTTCTACGTTGGACGGAAATATCTTCCCATCACACTAACAAATGCTACTTTTAAAATTATTATTATTATTATTATTATTTAGATTTGAAAATTAAAATCCTAAGCACGAATTAAGTGAAAAAAGTGAATACTAGTAGTATATGAAGCAATGGAAGAATATAGCACCTTAGTTGAAGTTGTCAATGGGTTGAGCTTTAGCAATCCAGGTATCTTAAAAACCAATAATCAAAAACGGCAAGCCACCTTAATTATCTTTGGTCGAATTTAATTAAGTCTTGTTGGTGTAGACATATTATATATTGATAAAAATTTAATTACTTTTCATTGAAAAATCAATCTTTGACTGTCATAATTTGTTTTTTATAATGCATTTATGGTATTCTCAAATTGCATTTTAATATAGTATATTAAACATATATTTGATACATAAAATTATAATAAGATAAAATAATATTATAAATATAATTAAATTAAATAATATTATCTTATATTATGTTTAATATGTATAAAGATTAAGATAAGATAATTTATTTATTTATCAAAATTATTTTTTTAAATTTATATAATTTAAATTATTAATGTAATTTTTAAATATATAATAAAATATCTAAATTCAATTTTATAAATTTAAAATAAAAAATTTCACTTTAAAAAAATTATTAATATTTTTTACAATTTTAACTTTTTTGTCAAATATAAATAAAATATTATAAAAATAATTATCATTCTATTTTGTCATATTTATTATTTTAAGCACCAAAATAACTATGCATGCGGACTCGGGCCTATATGTGCAGTGAAGGTGACTAAACTGGCACGCGGTTGACCACTAAAGCAAACAAAGAATAAATCAAGATACAAATACAAAACTGCGGAACATTTCAAGGCTTCCCGTTCATGGAGTCGACAATTCTTGGGTCAGGATTGGGTTACGAGTTACTTTCAACCTTTTCATGTTAGCGTTAAGCTTTGGCCCATAAAATTTTTACTCCTCAATCACCCAACTCAATACAATAGCCATTGGTTTGTTCTGGTCCCCCCAACGCAACTGTGCCACCCACCAACTTCCGTCCACAAACACAAAAGCGAGTGCAGGAAGCAAACGTGTGGATCTCTTTTCCAGGCCGAACTCTTTCTACCACCACCAACACCAAAGATGTTCGCCAATTTTAAAGCCTCAGGCTCAGCTTTTATGCCCCAGTTTTCCCGGATCTCGCTGTACTTCTCTAACAACTTATTCTTCAAACCAACTATCGCAATTCCCTACGATCATGTCTCTAACACTTAAAGTACACTTCACTTCCACCACTTACCTTAATTTTAGAAGCAAACACAGTGCCTTAACCAGTTATAACACCCAAATCCGACCAAAACCCATTTGCCATTTTAACCCTTTAACATCAACTTCTTTCAAACCCAAAAAAATGCATGCTCCGGTTCAGTCTTCTTCGACTTCAGTGATCAAGAGCTCGTTGATCGAGCCAGATGGTGGGGTCCTGGTCCATCTGGTTTTGCCAGAGAGTGAAAGGGGAGTGAAGACGGTTGAGGCTGAGTCAATGCCGAAGGTGAGGTTAACCAAGATCGATGTGGAGTGGGTGCATGTAATTAGTGAAGGATGGGCTAGTCCTTTGAAAGGGTTTATGAGGGAAGACGAGTATTTGCAAAGCTTACATTTTAAGACTTTGAGAATGAAAGATGGGTCTACTGTCAACATGCCACTTCCTATTGTTTTGGCGATTGATGATGAGACAAAGGAGGGAATTGGGTCTTCTTCCGATGTTGGGTTGGTTGGGCCTGATGGAGACTCGATCGCCATTCTCAGGAGGTTCATAGTGTTTTAAACCCTTTTACATGGACTTTTTAGTACATACATGTGACAATTGAGATTGTATATTTAGATAATCTAATTGTTAGTATTTTTTTTCTGGTCAGTATTGGAAGTTCTAGTAATATATAAGCTTGCTTTAGAATTCCGGCTTGTTTGGTTTAATTTATTCTGTTAGATAAACATTCAAGGAGTCTTGTTGATTTATGTGCTTAATTGCTTGGTTGGTGATCTAATTGTCATTTGCATCGTGCAAGATAAAATTGTACTAGCAAGTTTTCAAACCAGTTAATCTACCGTTCTTGAAAATTTTAAATGTTTCGGAACTTCGATTGCAGCATTCAAATATACAAGCATAACAAAGAAGAAAGAATAGCTAGAACATGGGGAACGACTGCACCAGGATTGCCATATGTTGAGGAAGTCATCACTCCAGCTGGAAACTGGCTTATTGGCGGTGATCTGGAAGTTTTGAAACCTATCAAGTATAATGATGGGCTTGATCACTACAGACTTTCCCCCAAGCAACTCAGAAAAGAATTTGATAGGCGCAAGGCTGATGCTGTTTTTGCTTTTCAGTTAAGGAACCCTGTGCATAATGGACATGCGCTATTGATGAATGATACTCGGAGACGACTTTTAGAAATGGGTTTCAAGAATCCAATCCTTTTGCTTCATCCTTTAGGTGGATTCACCAAAGCTGACGATGTGCCCTTGGATGTTCGGATGGAACAACACAGCAAGGTTTTTTCCATCATCCCTTCTGTGTAACCACTACTAATTTTATCCAGGGATAATTGCTATAATGACAAGATATGTGCACACTCTTTAATAAAATTCTTTGTTCTTCATGCCACTGAATTTTGGTTCAGGTCCTAGAAGATGGAGTCCTTGACCCTGACACTACCATTGTGGCCATATTTCCGTCACCTATGCATTATGCAGGTCCAACAGAGGTACAGTGGCATGCCAAGGCAAGGATAAATGCTGGGGCTAATTTCTATATTGTAGGTCGTGATCCTGCTGGCATGGGTCACCCAACAGAGAAAAGGGATTTGTATGATCCTGAACATGGGAAAAAAGTGCTAAGCATGGCTCCTGGCTTGGAAAAGCTTAACATTTTGCCATTTAGGGTATGTTATATATGCTGGTTAAACCTTAATTGTAGGTACTATATGCATTTATCATATAAAAAACTCTACCAAGCATTATTGATTGATGAATATCTCAAATTGTTTATATGGGTTAGGCCGTCCTTTTGCTAAATCTTCCATGTATGAGTTACTACTCCCCTTAGCAAGAGTATTATCACATGGTGACTCAAATTTTTTCAGTATATACTATCTGGTCCTTTCTAGAAACTTCAAACTTAATCAATTGTAACAGATGCCAATAAGTAGTCCCTTAATCTCAATAAATACTGATCCAGAAATAAAAGTCACTCACCGATTCAAGAGAAACCTTTACCACTCAACCAGGACAACATTGTGCTAAAATTGTGGCTTACATTGATTTTCTGCTCCTTTTGCACTCATTTCCCTCAATTATGGTCTCCAGGTGGCAGCTTATGACACAGTGGCAAAGAAGATGGCATTTTTTGATCCTTCACGTGCCAAAGATTTCCTCTTCATATCTGGAACCAAGGTAAAGTGTTGGATTCTCTAGATTTCAGTAGTGTTTCAGGCTACATCATTATAACAACTGGAAGTCTATTGCAGAATTACATATTCAACTAAATTTGATGCTTGTTGTTGAGCCTATTAGTATTGGTTCTCACTTGGTGCGCAATCTACCTTCATGTTAGTATTGAGAATCTGCAGTGGCAGGTTACTCAGGAAGCAGGGTCTACTCAGAAACTTAAGGGATTTGACTTTTTCTTCATTAATTTGTATTAGGTTATTTAAGAATATCATGAACTGGTTTGGGACAATTCATTACATTTTAGTTGAAAAAAATAAATTAGTGAAGAAATTTATGATGAAGAGGATCTATGATATAGTGCATGGCATGTGATGGTAGTTTCAAAAGAGTAAGTGCACTCTATAATCTGGCTGCACAGACGGAGAGTTCAGATTATTCAGTGCTTATAAACCTTAGTTTCATCCTGGGAATATGTTCCAGTATTTATAATAATTCTACCCCTGGATGTTGAAGGCTGCTAGCAAAGCTTCCTTTAACATTATCTTTTTTTTTTCAGTAAGCATCAATTTTGTCCTTGGAGGTTTCCATATGACTGTTTGAGATGTTGTTGAACTTACTTTCATTAGCATCTTCAAATTGTATGTAATTATGAAGCTTCTGACTCTGATATGTATTGCTGCAGATGCGAACCTATGCAAGAACTGGCGAGAACCCTCCTGATGGTTTTATGTGCCCTGGAGGATGGGAAGTCCTTGTCAAATATTACAAGAGTTTGCAAGCGGAGGAGGCAACACAACAACCTGCTGTTCTACCTTCTTAGATGCATAATTTAATAATAGATTTTGCAGCAAGTTATTATAGCTAATGAGGAAAGAGTGTCCTAGTTGAGCACCATTCAGCCTAATTTCAGCAGCTCCAGTAATGAATTCAACATCTCCAAGTCTACTTTATGCCTTTTGTTCAACTCCTGGTGATTGGCTTTCAGTTTTAAGCGGATTATATTCAGTAGTGGGATAAAATATTTATTGAATTTGTTTATGATTCATTATTTTAGGGGAAGTGATAGTCAACAGGGGTCCCAACCTCTGAGGACTTGGACTGGTTTGAAATCTGAATGTGTCAATGTGCTAATTCTTTTCTCTACTCAAGTTTGACTGTCACCTTTTGATTGCACACATTGTTTTAAAACTGCTGTAACACTCTAGGTATTGTCGCATTAATGCCCGAATGCTGAATTTTTCAAGCTGTGAGGTAGGGGTAAAGGGGAGGGATTCGTTGAAAATTGCAAGGTTTTTCCATGTATCTTTTTGAACAGAGCACGCAACTCAGTCTGAAGCCTCTTTTCAAGCTCCCTACAATTCATTAATAATTCTTTCAAACAGCTACTTCTACAATAAACATGTCAATGTGTTTGAATGTTGCGAGGGTGGAGAATGGAAAGCGCAAATGCAACAAAATCTAAAAACTAAGTCACCCTAATATCCCAAAAACAAAGTTACTTTCACGAATGCAGTATCTTTAGGTCAAATCCTCAAGTTCTATCTTCTGCATGACATAAAATCCTCTTTCGTATCTTGTCAGTGACCTTCAGGCTTCAAGTGAATCATTTACATCAATGAGGTTTGATGATGGGGGCCTACTCATCTTGGGCTCGCCAATCGCAACAATAGCTCCAAACCGAACTAATGTTTGGCCCACAACAAAAGGCTGTAAGGTGGCGAGCCTAATGTCCTGCTCTGACTAATCCAATTAATTAAGGATGGAAAGTTCAGAGGTAGGATTCATATTTCATAAACCTTACACACTTAACTCTTTAAGGATTACATGGATCCATGTCTAGCTTTTTCTTCTTTCCTACTGTAGCCAACATCCAGTACAGAGTACAGCATTTCATCAAAACGACAGTTGAAATGTTAAAATCTTTCCAAGAATTTTCAAATGGCAAGTTGCTACGTGTTTATTATAAAATTTGGATTGTCACAATTTTCTGCTAGCAAAAATGTCTGACTTCCAGGTCTCCCCATGGCGCGAAGGCTACTCGAAATTCCTCGAAACTTCAAGGGTGCAAGGTTAGGACGTCCTCTCTCCTCTGACCCCATACACAACAAATTATCCACCCAGCTGGCTTGGACCCCTTCTCATAGGACTATTGCTCCCTGAAATAGGATGCAAAACACCAACAGATCATCATAATATAGCTGTGTCGTAAACCATCATTGGGAACACGACATTTATTGTGTCCTTCATCTTACCAGTGTCATTACATGTGCTTCCATCTCTGTTTAACGTACATCCGTAAGTCTTGGCTTTCCGGATTCAAGGTCTTAGGTGTAAAATTGGACCATATTCCCGTTTACATTTAATTTTTAGATTGGGTTTTCATAAAGTTTATGCTTTCATTTCCTTGGTTATGTCTGGTTTTGATAAATTGTCACATTTGAAATTCCATGAATATATTTGGTCGAGCTGGCTACGCTTCTAAGGGCCACATTCTCCTCTCCCTACCAATTTTTGGTTAATTCCTAAATTAGAATAGGGCATTGGATAGGCTATTTGCCTCTGGTTTGTTTAAGTATTCCTTTATATTTATAGATTGTGAAGTCGGTGTCTAGCTTTTTCTTGGCGTTTAACATGTTTATTGCTGTCTATACTCTATATATGTTTCTCTTAAAGGACCGATCGCTTTCCATGCAATTTGCTTCCCTTTAAGATCTGTCCCCATCTTTGATTGCCTGAAACACATTCTAAATATGGCTATCAATGCATAATTTGCAGGTAATGGTCACCTCTAACCAATAGCCTATGCACGTTAACTAGGCTTACTTCATCTCTTTGTCGAACCATTAGTCTAACAATTCTTGCACCATAAGATGATTACAAGAGTTAAGCTAATGAAGCGGTTAGCTAGATGAAATGAGACTCTGATCGATGGACCTTACCGTTGTGTCTTGGAAAGAAGTTTTGGGGGGGTAAAGGTAACATGGCCTTCATGTGCGACCCTTTTAACACGAGGCCAATTTCCTCTACCGTATAATATTTGGCTTAGCTCTCAATGCCTATATATGCAATAGTCACGGCCATTCGGCTTTCGATGATTATATTGGACCCACCTCCGTATTTGTAACTGTTTTCAAGTTTTCACCCTCCATTCAATGAACAAAGTGATTTCAATCACAGAACATGGTGTCGCTTCCTTTGAAAATTCCGACCCCTTTGGTGCATGAGTTCAGCCATTTGTTCAAGCCTTCAATCCAACCATATAGTACTAAACTGAAGCATTGCCTGGGTGGAAAGACTGGCTTTGGTTCTTTCTGGACCTTAGAACATGGGCGGTGAGAGAAGAAACAAGTGGCTCTCATTGAATTTGAAATTTATTTCTGATTATGACAATGCTCATATATGGAAGTTCGATCAGATTGCCTAGCTCGAGGACCACCAAATACCAAAGTCCTTAATATTATATACCAAGACATCTTCAAGCAAAGAGCTCTTTCGCCCTTTTTTCTTGGGGGGGGGGGGGGGGGGTTTCAAATTAATCAAATATATTGTTTAATCGGTTAGGTTCATTTTTCTCGAAGAAAAATTTTTTGATTCGAGTTCTGTCGATAATCACTTGTTAAAATTATTTCGAATGCACGACCTGCAGTCACTTATTTTAGATTGTCAAATACGATACATCTTATCTTAATCTAAAAAATTAAAGAGCCTATTTACACCAAAATTTTCTTACAAAAATATATATATATTGTTTATTAATTCTAATATGTATGAACAACTTTAAATACCCAGATTGACTGGACTTCCTTTTATGGTAAAAAAATAGTTTAATAGTAGATTGAGAAATTAACAAATGTTGTTGAATATTATTCTTCAAGCACTTAGCCTGCCTATCATACAGGTCCCCTATTTCGTAGCGTTTCTATAACAAATTGAAGGAGAAGAGGGAAAATGCAGTAACAATTAGCAACATGCAAAAGACTGATAACTTGATTTGTCTACCATATAATAAAGCACATAAAAAAAAAAAAAAAAGAAAGCAAGAAATAGAATTTGTGGAGCAACAAAAATGAAAAAACAAAAGGGGAAGAGAAGAATAAAAGTAATGGTATTTTTTTTAGATCAAATTAAATCAAACAGTCAAATGTGCTATTAAATTGTAGCCAAAGTGAGCAATAAAGGAATTATGAGTACGATCAGATTAGATTTGTTCAATTTTATAAAAAATTTCTTTAATATTCAATTTGATTTGTTAGATTCAAAGAGATTCGAAATTTAAGAAATATATATTATTAATAATTTTAATATATACTTCTTAATTAAAACAAAATAAAAATATTTTTTTATTCATAATTTAATATCTGGAACCGGACCGAGCAAACTTCGAACACAAAAATATATGTCTAAAATCTGACTAGAGTCAAATCAGACCTTCAAACCGAACAGATAAATGAACCAGTGAACAGCTGTAGTGAGCATGGGGTTTTGTTTGGGAATAGCCAAAGTCTTCATCTTTCTTGATATTTTTCAACACTGTGGTTCAGTGGGACATATTGTGTTCTCCAAAACTCTCCATTTCTTTTGTTAAGGTGTTTTGGATAATGCATGAAAGAGTCTTCAATTTTGTACGGTATGGTATGGCAGCAAAGCGTTGGTTGGAAATGTCACCTAATGCCTATGTATTGTCAAACTTTAACATAAGAAACCTTGGTTACAATTGTATTTGGAATACTATTACTATCGATAGGGTGTAACTATAACTTTGAACTTTGATCTAAGGGGTTGTTTTTCAGACACCAACTTTGACTAGTTATAGTCATGTTACTGCTAAGTTGAAATTGTTGATGGATTTTTTAGGATTAGATTGTAATATCAATGGGAAGAGAAATGAGATCATGCAGATTTATTTGACTGAAGCAAATTGTTACCTGGTTATGTATATGACAGGCAAAAAAAAAAAAGGGACAGAATTGCTGTTAACTTTGTGAGGTTATTGAACCCTGAAAACTCTTTGCAGATGAGATAAACTAATTGCAAGCATCTAAAACATCAACAGGAAATAACTGAATTACATGTTGAAATGATTTGAGTCGATAAGGCCATCAAAAACCTGTTAAAAGAAGCATGAAAGCTAGCACGTACATGCATGTGAATCACTGCTATTTCATCTGCAAATCGATTCTCGGAATCGCAAGCTCAAAAATTAAGATGGCCAAAGACCCACAGCGGCAATTCAGTACAGTCAAATTATTGACCTCTGAATTATAAAACAAGTATAGCTAAGGAAGAATTCGCCTTGGGAATTTCACATAATGTCCCTGCTTATTCATTCACTTGATCACATTTTCGCTCGTCAAATTTAAAGGTTGATAAAGGCATTGCTTCTCATATACAGCCTTGGTATTTTATATCTTCGAAATAATTATGAATGATCTCTTCACTTAAACATGTTTACAAGAGAAAATGCAATTAATTAACTTTCATAATGGGATTTTCAAAGCCTGAACAACAAAATGGAAATATGTGTCCAGTAAACCATGATGAAGGGGACAAAAGCAAAATAATTTTGACTTTGAAACTTGAAAATTAGCATCCCAAACAGAAAATTTTTGTTAAGAAAATGGGATCCAGCCTTATGTAATTGATTTTAGACCAATCAAAAGTCATGAGCTTTAGTTTTTTTTTTTACACAGAGCCCTAACTATTTAGTAAAAAAATGTGGGACTGTTTTAAAGTGGCGTCACAAACCCAAAAAAGAAAGAAAAAAAGCCAGAAACATAAAAAAATAAGAAGTGAGAGTTAGTTGAACGAAAGTTAATCTGCAGTTTGATTGAGCTGAAATTTTATCGGCAGGTTTATGATTCAGAGTTCTACATTCTTAATGTTGAAAATCAGGTTTAAAGCTCTCTAAGAACAAATTCAAGGTGTATTTGTAGAGTCACATTTTTTGTTGAGATTTTTCAATGTTCTCTCTCTGTTGTTCGATTGTTATGTTTTAACTTAAAGAAGAACTATGTATAATATATTATAATATTATATATATTTGTAGGAAGATTTCTAGTGGCTTGTGATTTTTCTCATATACGGAGGTTTTTCACGTAAATCTTGATATGTTTTATTTTTTATGTGTTGTTGATTATTGATTGTTGTTTATTGTTGTGGGTTTATTGTGATATATTATTTCTACGTTGTTGTGCTTATTGCTTTAGGCCCAACAAGTGGTATCAAAGTGATGGTTATTTTGAAACATCGATACAGAAGTAGCCTAAGACATAAGCGAATTTAGTTTGATATCATGGAGGGAGATATAGGTTTCATGATAAAATTAATAGCATCAAATTATTCAGTTTGAAAGCCTATGATGGAAGATCATTTATACTGTAAAGATTTGTATGGGCAGGTATTGAGTGATTTGGCTAAACTTGCAAATATGAAAGATGAAAACTAAAATAAGTTAGGCAAAAAGACGCTGGCTATAATTAGAAAATTGGTTGATATCACCATGTTTCATCATGTAGCACAAGAGGCAGATACTTATATTGTTTGAGAAAAATCGATAGTATTGTATGAGAGAAAAACATGTATGAATAAAATTATATTTGTTAAAAGCTTACAACTTTACAGTACAGGGATGAATGATCTATTACAGAGCACTTGAGTGATTTTCAAGATATATTTAATCGGATGACTACTGTG